AAAAAATATCAATTAACTTTAGCAAAGCTTAAAAAGTCGCAAAAGAGCCCGGAAATTCCTAAAAGATTTCAAGTGAATAGTTTAATAAGCTTCCAATTAGAATGAAAATAATCGAAAACGTTGATTTTTGACATTCATTTTAGAACATGTAAAAAAATCACAGAGATTTTTTACTTGATTTGTTAATTATTTACACACATGCTTGCGTAAATAATATAAATTAGCAAATGAGTAAGAGTAATTTCGATGGTGCAAGTGGAACCGAATTAATTTTGCTGACTTTTCGCGCCAAAAATTAGGCTCCGAAAGAGCGAGTTCTCAGGACCTACGCAAGCGAATTGCGAGTGAGCCTTTTTTTAAATTTTTTTCCGGCTGCTTGCCCGCGACCGAAGTGTATTGGCGGGCGCGGAATTTCCGATGCATGCGGTGCACACGCATAATGCAAAACAATGTCATGCACTCATGGTCTGTGCACTTGTATGAAATCCACACCGCGCGCCGACCGAGCCTCGCAGACGCCCGAAGCGAGTCTGCTCGGCTCAGGCACCAACGCAAGAGCCCTTGCCACGATTTGGTGGCAAAAATGTTAACCAAAACAGGTGAATCGAAATTATACCAAGATAATTATCTAAAAAAAAACAGTCATAAATCCATAAAATTCTATGATAATTAACAAGAGCCTTAAAGTTAATAATTTCAACTCAAACAATCAGCACTGGCGGCACTTCATGCAAATTTATGTCACTACCTTTATTTAAAGTTATTTTTATCAACAAATTATTGATTATTATTTTCATCAAATTTCATAAAATTAATTTTCATTTAACTTGAAGAAAAGTGACGAGAAATATTTTAAATGCTTTAAAATCTGCTATACAAGTTGAAACCACACCCATGATTTAAAATGGTTTATATAAATCGGAATAAAAGTGAAATTTCGTTCCAAGGTGAAATCGCGAATACGACAATCAGTCTGGCAATAAACTTTCAATTGAGCCTCTTTTTACTCCAAACTGACCATAAAACAAAGCGGCGATCAGATTGAGATAAATCTCGCGGGTCCATCCGCGCTCTGCATTTTCTAAAAACCGGATAGTGAGCGGAAAAAAATCGCCGCCCCTCTAAATAGAGCCATATAAACTTTTTACGCAATTATAAAAAAAAAACAGCTCTCTTTGTTCACTTGAATAAAGAGGTGGTGCGAGAGTAATTGAGTTTATTTGTCGGACAAGAGAGAGTCATTTATTTATTTCTCACGGTGCGCGAGTCGATTCGCCGGCGACCCCTGACCCTGGAAATTCATTTTCCCCGCGCGCACCCAATTTACCAATCAATCAATCCAAAGCAACCACCTGTCACGAGAAATGCCCTGTTTGCTTTTTATCTCGGAACAAATTTCATGAAAAAGGCAGTTTATTGTGGAAAAATGTGCACGCAATGGAGCAAGAATCACGGAGATGCACGCGCGCGGGGGAGGATAATTTCAGAAGAGACCGAGTGCATTTGAAATTAAATCAAGAGCCAGAGAGGTGCATTATTTTTTTTCATTGCACACGCAAGGGACTTGTTTGAACACACCCGGGAGGCATATTTTGTTCAATGGTGACTTTCAAAGGAATTAAAAAAGCAGAAAATACACAAGGCTAAAAAATCTGAATCGAAAACTCTCACAAAAGGCTTAAAATGTAAAGCCGTATTGGAGCGAAGCAGTCTTTATAAATCAACTTTTAAGGATAATTTTATTTGTTTTTCATATAAATAAAGTATAAAAATGGTCTAAGTAAGTATTTAAAAAAAGTAAAAAGAAAAAAAAATGCAGAAATTTATAGAGAATTCAAATTCTGAAAAATAGTAACTTATTTGCTAGAAAAAAGGTTTATAGTAGCATTTCGTATCGATTTTAGTGAGGTTTGTCAAATTTCATAAATAAAATAAAACACCTTTTCACCTGTTTATTTTAAGAAACTATAACAAGAATTACATATTTTCTTCATAAAGAATCATAGATTTTAATTAAGTTTTTATAATTTCTGCAGAATTTCTGTTTTTCATATCTGGAACTAGCTACAAAATTTCATTTCATAATATAAAAATTATAAAGAAAAGATGGGTAAAGGACTTTTTATAAAATTAATATATTTGGAAGAATTTGGCGTGGAATTGAAAATTGAAAAATAAAATAAAAAATTTATTAATACTGTTAAAACTCTCTTTAATTACAAACAAATATAATAATAAGTTTTTAAAATAATAATCTCTTGTAAATATATAAATTAAAATATCCTTATAATTTTCACACCCATATTGTTTTCAAACATATTTTACAGGCAAATTTAAATAAAAATAGCTATCCGTATTTATTTTAAATTACGCAGTCTAACAAACACAATGAATGGCGTAGATTTTGACTTACGTCGGCGTCCATAGGCATGTTTGAGGCCGTAAATAAAAGGCAAGTATATAAAATATATATACAGAGAGATAGGAAATAGTCATTCAGAGAACGGGGGCGGTGGCGGTTAATGAGAGAAGCCGCTTCATCATTTCCGCTTTGGAAAACGCCGTCAGGTAATTTGGATACTTGATGGCCATATTACCTGCCTGCATGACGCATGCTTTGTTGTTCACCCCGACATTAATAAAACACAAACAGTACATCAGAGAGCGAGGTAAATAAATAATCGCCGTTTCGATGAGATGCACTTTAAATAAAAAGATCGACGCCCATTTCAAAACAGAACTTGAAATTACTATGAATTTTAAAAAAAAGTATCAATTTAAAATAATTTGATATTTTTCAACTATTTTAATGCGTATATTTTTTTATTTTACAATTCGCCGAATTATTTTCTTTTTGATGGATGAAGCTCTCGGTGGATTTCAACGCGTGCATTACCCACGAAAAATAACGAGACGATGATGATCATAATGATCTGGCGCGGTACTTGTTTGGAAATCTGATTACATTTTCGCCAAATTGCCGCAGTTTCAGATTTCGCCAGATATTTATTTTTATTATAAATCGCTCTCGTGCTCGGCCGAGGCAAAAAAATGATACAAAAATGTGTGTTCTGGGTGGTTATTCATTTTCACACTGGCTGCAATATTGTTTTTCATGCGCGCGGCGGTGATTAAGGATCATTTTCTCTTCAATAAATAATAAGGGCCATTAAATTGTTGCCGAGTTTCATATAATAATGATATCTCTGCCCGGCCGGCCGACTCGCGATTGAGGTTAAAAGTTGGTTGCTTTCAGAGAGGCCACCTTGTAGATTCATGATAAGTCGTGATCTTTCTTAATTCTGCGCCAGATCAAAAAAGTGCTCCGAGTGATTTAAGAGATCAAACTCTTCGTTTGCGCGATTAAACGGTAATTACGAGAATTTCGGCCAGATTGGGTCTCATTAAATTAAGTTGTTCGACACAAACTTTTATTTGTAATGTGGTATACAATTTTTACAAGTTGCTCGATTATTTAAAAAATAAAAATAATTAAACAACAAATTATGGATAAAAAAAATGAGTTATTTTGATTTAAAAATTTCTATATTTTGATGAAAGAGAAAACATAAGAGTTCGTTTGCTAATTAATTGGGATAAATATATGTTAAACAAAAACATAAAAGTTCAGAAAAAAATAAAAATAAAAATTAGATATTAGATAAAATTATAAAATTTGAATCCATCTCAAACATATCGGAAATTTAACTAAATTCAAAAGCAAATACTGGACCTTTTCACTAAATTAAACTTTTAAATTTCGTGCAAATTCAAATGCGCTTTTTTTTAGAGGGGTGCAATTTGTGTTGTAATCGCTTCATTTCCCACGGTCCTCCCTTAATGAATTCAGCATAATTAAAAACTAGAACTTCCATAAATTTATCTCGTGGAAAATGTAAATTCAATGCGAAAGAGGGTGAACCGAAATTCACGTCGAGCACATGTTGCCCCCGCGCGTTTTTACAGCAACTTCCGGTCGGAACTTGCAGTGGCAACAGTTAAATCTCCATTGTGCACCACGCATCAACGATTTCGCCGCCGCCGCCGCTCTCTGCACTTGTGCTTTTTAATTTTACACTGGACGCGCACTCGGAAGGATGAAATTAGAAAAAAAGCAAATCCGACGGCGTTCGTGGAAATACCTGTTGACAATGAGAATGCAGATTAGTCCTCGGCAGGCCACACACCAGCACAGCAATAATTACGTTTCTCGTCCAATTGTTGATCATTTGGAAGTGAAAAACTTAAAAAACCATTAACCTCAATGTTGAATTTTGTTCCATTATTTCATTTATAGGAATTTGCTGATATCATCACTTATTTTCTTTTATTCTATTTTCGGTAAAATTTCAAAAAAAGTGCTAAAGAAATTTTTACATAAAACTTATTACACATTTCATGTAAAGAAATTTTTCCTGCGCAAATAAATTATTAAATAATTTCAAATTAATTTTCCATTAATTTGTTTAAGTTAATTCTCATGAAAATTTAAGATTTAATCAGAATTTTGTAAAATTTGATCTGGATGGATTTGTTTTGTTTGAAATTCATCTAGAATTTTCAAAATTTACTCAACATTGATCAAGTTGAAAGTTCAAATATAAATTAATAGAAAATAAGTGAACTAGTTTTGACCTGGCCTTGTCATTTTGATCAAAGGGCGGAGAGCAAAAGACCCAGTGAAGCGCGGCAGAAGCAAACAAGTCCGGCCAAATTGTCGAATATCGCGCGCGCCGGCAAAAAGTGACGAGCAGAGCCGATTTCATTCATTCCCTCGGAAATTCTCTCACGGTGTGTGACGTCACAGGATTCTCTACAGCTCATTGAGATTTTGCGGTTGAATGCAGCAGCGGCTCGATTCCTGCACTTTTCATTGATAAATTTATATAAAACTATGAAATGCGCTCCTCCCTCTGGCAAGAGAGAAACTTGTAGAAAAAGAAGCAGATTAAATTTGCAATACCGGTTTTTTAAAACGGTAAAAATACAAAATATTTTTAATCAAAATTTATTTTCAGGTAAAAAATAAACTTATTTTCTAATATGGCTAAATTGTATTTTCAAAGCACATAAAATAAAGCTGCTTTCATACTGTAAAATAAATGAGGTTAGTAATATCAATAAATGCGAGTAATATCCACATTTTTCCTCTCAAAAGCCGAAGGAAGAATATTATACAATATCTCTGTATTGTCGTTTCAAAACGAACGAAACAAGTCAAATATTAACAATTTCTGGTATTTTTGTGTTGAATTCAAATATCAATTGCACTACTTGTTCTTCTGGTTGAGCGAAGTGACGGCCAACACCTGTTCGAGGACCTGCTTGTAGCACCAAACGTCACCCTTGAGTCTCTTGCGACGAATGCCAACCTGCTTGCTCGGACCCACAAAGCAGATCTCCAGCTCAAAGGACAGGCGCACTTTGCCGTCAGAGTGACGAATTCTTCCCTCCAAAGTGTAACTGAAACAGACAATTTCAAATATTTGTAAAAATAAATATAATCTCAACATTTGTCATTTTTTCATCTGATTCAATATTATTTTATTCTAGATTACAATCAAGTAATAAATTGTGAATTGAAACTCTCCAAAGAGTCTGAAATGAAACTAAATATAATGAAAATTGTCTTTAAATTGAACTCCATGAAATTTTTATTTTAAGAAACTTAAATTTATAGATAAATGATGTGTAATTAATTTTAAATTTTTTTTTTTTTTTATTGTTGTTTATTCTTGTCCGACAAATTTGGCATTATGGAATGTCAATTGACAAATTTTTTTGCAATCTGCGTCATTCTTGATGTAATACTGTGTAATATAGCACATAATAATTATATATAAAAAAACTACACAAAAAATCGAATTGTGTCCCAGCGGAGAACCACCTGCGGTTTGGGCAGAGAAAACGGTGGCAGCAGCAACGCCCTGATCTCAATTTGCTGCTCAGTTGGAACCACAAAGAATGACCAGAAGCTTGTCAGAGGCACTCCAGGCCTCAAAAACAAGAAAACATAAAAGTCGTTTGGAATTTGTATTGTATTGAAATTTAAATAAACTTTATATTTGTAATTTTGCAAATAGAAACAAAAAACATTTTCTAATTTTGATGAAAATACAAAAAATAACCAGGGCAAAAAATTTAATGGGCCAAGAAGAGGTGATCGGCGTGTTTGCCCACCTGGCCTTAAATCAAACGCACCCTATTTTTTGTTGATAGACAGAAATAACTTTTAAATTTTTTTTTTTTTTTTACCACCCCTTGTGTATACTTTTTGTCGGAAGGGCGAACATTTGATACGCCTTATTTCCAAGTCGGCTTCTCTGTTTTTCATTAATTTTTTTTGTCTCATCTCACAAACATCCTTACTTGTGATTGCACCACTTTGGATCTTATTTTAAACTGATTTTAAATTCAAATCAAGCACACATGTTTAAAAAAAATCACATTTTAAGTGATTTAAGTAAATTTCTGGTCATCTTAATTTTAAAAATATCTTGGGAAATAAGTAGAATTCCATTTGTTCCCATCGACTTAGCGGATATGAAGCATCATCGGGGTATAAAAAGAGGCGATAATTTCATGCTGTGTTTTTTGTTGTTGACAAGTTTGATGAGCGAGTGATAACGCGCGTTCCCATCGCAGGTGCTCCTCTCGCTCAGTCGAGATTGATCATAAGCCCCTCTTGTCGTTCACATATTGTTTTCCCCGTCAAACGCTTTTTGTGTTCACTCGATTTGAGATTCAATAAAATAGCCTCTTACCGATTTACTTTTTTCCCCCCGCGCATGAGAAATTTCATTTGCGGCTGCCCAACGCGGGTAATTGTGGAGTGGAACTAATCGGCCCCGTCATCAGATGCTCCTTTTTAGAATGGCCATTATGTTTCTATCAAACGTGTTGGAAATGCAGGAACAATGCGTGCATGTGTGTGTGTAAAGCACCGGAATTTATAAAACACCTGTGACGGACGATGAGCGTGCAATAATCGCACCACTCACGCCAGATTAGGCGGCACAAAAAATCGTATGATGATGAAGAGCAACGATTTTCCATATGCAGCTCCCACTCCACGTGTGCGCACACAAATATATTGATTACAAAAGCTTCCAGGAGAGGAGGAGGACAAGTGATTCGCTCTAATGATGAACTTGAGGTACACTTTTGTTGTCAGTTATTTATCCAAACGTCCAGTTTCATAAATTTTGTTCAAAAATTAATAGGCTGAAATTTTTAATTTATTTCAAGATATTTAAGTTTAATACTTTGTGTTTCGTAAAAGATGGAAATTTTAAATTAAAAAAAAATAAAATAAATTGGTTATACTAAATGCCCAAGATTATCATAAAAAAAAGGGCGCAACAAATCATGAAACGTCACTTACTGCAGCTTTGAGGGAAAATAATAACAATGAAAGTCAAGCCAATTTAAGTTAATAGAAATGATCTCATTTTGGTCTTCTGTACATAAATGAGAAAATTCAGACTTATCTCTCACTTTTTCAGCCAAGTTGAAAGTCTCATCAGGCTGTAATATAACCTTGGCGGCGCAGTAGCACCAAAATGGCGGCCAATTAACGGCAGCGCGCGCTCGCGTGTGCCAATTAGAGTTGGCGGCGGCGGCGATTAATTAATCAGCGTGCGCGATTTGTTTATCAGGCGCAGCAACAAAAGAAGAAAGAAAGAAATAAATAAAGCGCGCGCAGAGAGGAAGGAAAGAGCTAGGGTTTTGCACCTGTCCCAAGAAGTCTCTCCACGGTGTGCTGGGCAACAAGCTGTCACGCTCGGTGCCCCCGGAGGGGGTCATGGTGCATAAGCAGCGGGTCAAAAGTCGTGTGCGCCGCGCCGACGAGGAGGCATCACTCTTAAGAATACATAAAATAACTCCTTGGCACGCGCCATCTTGCCGCAGCTACAGAAAAAGTCACGCTTGGCGTCGCAACTTAAACTCTCGGCGGCGGCGGCCCAAGCCTTCTGTTCTCTTTTAATTACTTTCTGTCACACGCCATGAGCATAAGATTATTGTAATAAAATATAAATACGCGTTGGTCATTATGTGCAGTTCTTGTTTCGCCCCCTCGAGAGTGGCATCCGCTTTTGCCAGCAGGAAGAGCCAGCGCGTGTTTCTCGACTTTTTTCCGTTCGGTGCGAAGTTGGAGCAAAAAAGATGCTTGTCGCATTCTTTTTTTGGCTTTTTAATTGCCGCCGCTGGCAATAATAATCATATCGCTTTCGAGATCACGCCGGTTTAATTAGCAGAGTGTTACAGTCGAGGATTTGCTGGTATTTGAGAAAAATTGTATCAAATATGATTTACGAAAATCGTCAGAAACGTCCCAGTTTGTTGAAAAGATAAATTATTTTTGCCGCAATGTATTGATAAAATCTGCACAAAAATGAAAACCTTCAAAGATGAATCGAGTTTTTGCTATACATTCTTTTCATTCTCAATTCCAGTAGCCTTGATTTGCTTGAAACACGTGGCCAAGAAGACTCAATAACGATTGCTTTTGGTTAAAAATTTTAGTTTAGAGATTCTGCGGAAATAATGTAGAAGGCCTTAAAGTAGCGCGTTTTATTTGAAAAATTATTTTCGTCAGACGACTGCAATCAAGTTTGTTATTAAAATTGCGACAAACAACAATGACGTCTTAAATTAGGAAGAATTATTTGGTCCGGTCTTGTGAGTAAAAACCGGTAAATATTTATTTCAATGAAGTTTTAAAAATCACTTAAAAAGTTGCTCAAACTTGGCATTATTTTGCTCTGCCAATGAATTTGAATAACAAATTTCTTGAAAGAAAGTCTTGTGTGGAATTTCAATCATGTGAGAAAAATTGGTCTAAATTGAAGCTAAAATATCACTTGGTTTACTCAAAAGTTAATCTTGAAGCATATCAAAGCTTATTTTGCAAACATCTTTTGTTAAAATATAATTTTCAACGTTAAAATTTCAAATAATAATAATGGGATAAATTTTGATGAACATGAATTCCTGAAAACATACTTTCAATCTAAATTTTAGTAAAATGTAAAAAATATCAATCTAAATCCTTTTTTCTTTCCTTCAGTTATTTTCAATTTTGTTCTTAAATTAAATTTCTTTAGAATTTCAAACAAGTGCTTTTATTTTTCGAAGCGAGTCTTTAAATGTAAAGAAACTATTGTTTAATTTTTTTAGAGATTAATTGAAAGTCCATCTCTGAGCTGCATTTTTTCTCCGTCGGAAACTCGATCTCTCTCTACACTTGAGTTAGTTTCCCGTGCAATTGCACTTCTTTAGCTCAGCCATTTTTCTTTTAAGCCCGTGAGAAAATCCGCGGTATTAAATGGCGCCTCCTGAGAAAATCGCACAGCTCATGACAAACCATGACAGCAGGAACTGCATCAGTGCGCAGCGAAATAATTTCGAAGGCTGAGTTTTAAAAAAGCGCCTAAGATTTGGCGTCATCTTCCGGACGACACAAAAAAAAGGCAGCGGTTATAATTTGTAATTAAAGTGCGTGTTGTCCACAATTATGAATAGGAACGCGAGCGCGCGAACGAACGAACTCACAATGAAGTCGAAAAGCATTATTTTTCACGAAATTTTGTTCCGCGCCGTGATTTTCAAGGTGCGCGCGATATGTCATCTCTTGTGAAGAATAAATAACGTGCAGAGGCATTTTCGGAAATTGGGGACACGCGCTGCGCTTTTTGTGAGTTGGTTTGTTGTGTGATTGTATTAAAGTGGCTCATTTTGTGAAAAATGTCGTTAAAATCACCACCGTAGAGCCGGCCCGGACCACAACGCAAAGATTCAAGTGCTCTTGAACTTGAAAAGTTTACGTTGCAGAGGGTCGTTGAAACTTCAAAAAGTCGGATAATAAAACAGTAAATTCTGATAAATAGGTATAAAAATATAGTATAATATATCATTTATAATAGTTCAGTTTATTCTTGAAGCAAAATTTTTGTTTGAAAATTCTAGATTATAATTCCAGAGAGTCTTTTCTAGTTGATTTCTAATGAAATTTGATCATTTTCTTTTAAAAAGTCGATTGAAATTAAAAAAATGAAGCACTTGCTAAAGGTTCAATTTTCTAAAAATCGTCTTGGTCTTCAGTGTTTACAAATGATTTTGAAGATGTGAAGAAGAAATGTTAAAAAAAGATCACTGAACGATAAAAAAAAATGCTCATTGTTGTTCTATGGAGCAGTTTGAAGTAAAAAAATAACTTCTGCTCCAAATTGTGTTTAAAAAAGAGCAAGAGATTTTGTTTCAGATTTTATACAGAATTGCGATTCGGACACATATTAAGAGATTATTTCTTTATTAAAGATTTCACCGACTAAAAAAACTCATATAATTAAACAGCTCACTTAGGACTCCTTGTTGGCGAAGTCAAATTGAATTTTTACAACAATAGGAGCCCTTTTTTCTATTATTGGAAAACAATTGGAAATTTTAACCATCATTTTGTAAAAAATATTTCATTTGTGAATGTTAAATTGGGTGTTTTAATAATGATTTTCCCTCTTCATTTCTTTAATAAAACCCATTTCTTTACTTTCTATATATTTAATTGCTTTCTATGCAATAATTCACAAAGAAATCGATTTTATATCAATTCAATTAATTGATAATTAATCGTAAATTTATCAAATCTGCAAATAAAATTCATTTTAACCGAAAAATTGATAGTGAATCGAATTTTAACAAAATGGAAACTCAGTGTTAAATATTGAGATAAAATTAATATTGTTAAAGATTTTAGTTGCTCGTAAATTTGCTTTTAAAGAACTTTTACTTCAATTGCAACTTTGTACGAAGCGTATTTCACGAATATAAGAAAAGTTGGTTTTACTCTGGTTTCCAGTGCGGTGCACATTGGCAAGTGAGTAGTTTTTCCCTGGCGCACAACCAGGAAGAGGAAGAACAAAGCAATTATTCGTGCCGATTGTATCCTTTTAACCATATCGAATGGGAATTGTGATGCTGCGCAGACTCGCGGATTAAACAGCTAGTCCGGCTTTGATTGTTTCATTATTTGCTGCACTTTTGATAATAAATCCCCGTGCTCTACGCGGGCAGCCGTCACCGTTACCAGAGCCCAAATATACACTAATTGTCGTCGCTGCTTTTTGTCCGGCCCCGGCTGCGAACGAGAAAAACTTGTGAATGCAAAAAACGGTGGCATGCAAAGCAGTTCAGTTACCTCTGCGGCTCGTGCGGAAGAAAGAAGCGAGTCTTGCTCGAATCTGATTTTGATTAACTAGAGATCTAAATGTGCATTTGTGTGTGCTGCGCCTGAATTAGGCAATCGCACTCCGTGACGACGATCGTTACGGCGAATTTTGAAATTAAATTTAGATTACTTCAAAATTGAGCCGCTGGTTCTTTTTAAGTGATCACTTCAATGTTTTAATTTTAATTGTTTTTTATGTCATGTAAAAATCTAAATAAATAATTAAATTTGCTTTTAAATTTGAAAAGAATCATAAACTTAAAGGAACTTATGAATTTATGAAATCAGAACCCCTGCAAAATAACTCTCTGTGGGAGAAATTACAGGGAAAATGTATTTTTTTTTTTTAATCTTCGTCTTAAAAATCCACTTTGAATTAAATTCCAATATAAATTAATTTTAGAAAAATTAAAAGAATTAAAATTATTAAATCTGAAAAATTAAAGTTTCCGAGTAAAAAATCTTCAGAACTTTCAGAAAAACTGATTAATAAAATAGTTAAACTCACCCTTTTTGGTGACATAAAATATTCTGCTTTCTCAGGGCGAGTCGCAGTTCCTTCAGAACGTGGTCAGGATCGTCACAAGCAGTTGTCGAAACGTTGTTCATGGCCTGAAATAACAAAATTTTCACAAACTAGGCTAATTTCCCCTCTTTTTCATTACAAAATAACTGCATTTTTTAGGAAAACAAACTTATACATTCAAAAGCGGCTTTATTTGAAAGGTGTTTAGAAACCAGTTGAGCACCAACTGTTGGTTTTCTGAATGTGTAGGAGAAAATAAAAATAGAGAATTTATTTGGCGTGCACGAGTAATTACTTGGAGCTCATTCATTTCTGAATTGCGATACAAAAAGAGCAGCAGCAGCAGAAGCGCTTCATGCTTGGTTGCAGTCGGAAGTCGAGGAACAACAGGAAGGCAATCGACGTCCAAACACAAGAAAAGAATAAAATGCACAGACACTTCTACAACAGTCCGAGCAGGAGGAAATTCCTAATATGCGTCTTTCCGGTCTCAATAATGAAATAAAACTCCCCCCTTCCGTGAATAAGTTTCCAAAAACGCTATTGTTGCTTTTTATAATATTTACTTTCCATTAAAATATTGGTAAGAATTTCTCTCATTTTAATTTAAATTATAAAAATTCTTTAAATTCTCTGTAGATTTGACAAAAAAAAGTAACGTTTTCAAGAGTCTTGTAGCTAATTATTATTGTAAAAACTTAATTTATACCTTCTCATCAAGAACTTTGGGCGAGTCCTTCTGGTTTTTGGGTCCGGGCGTGCGGAAGATGCTGTTGATGGCGTGCATGACCCTCTTGCGGGTGGACGGCGTCCCTTTCGGCTCGATCCTGGAACGCAAAATTCAGATTTGTTACACCGCGGGCAACGCCACATGTCACTTTGATTTCACACACGCGGCACGGTCCACGATCGCACTTGATTTTGTGGTTTGCCGCTTGGAATTTAATCGAAATCAACGAATTTTCTTTTGTTCGGAGTCAAAAGGAGAAAATTATGGTAAAAAAACTTGCTCTACGCAGGGGGTGCAACCGTTTCGGCTTGAAAGTTGCGCGGGTTGCATATTTTATCTTTTTTTAATTTGGTAATTCAGAAAATAGATATTAATTTCTTATTTGAATTAAATTATTAACAATTATTTAAGTAAAGTTTTATTAAATTCAAATTTAAGAAAGTGATTTCAGAATATTTTTAAATATATATTATGTAATTCTGAACGCTTTTGGATAAATTCTAATGTAAGGAAAAGAATGTCTTCCGTAGGTTAATAAAAATGACAGATTATTATTTAAAAAACAAAATCTACTGTATTTTGGATACTTACTAAAATTTCTTTCATTGTATTAAAAAAAATAATAATAATTCATAGAAACTTTTCAACATTTTTCGTTTCATTTAAAAACTTATTTTTAATTCATTAATTATGTAATAAAACTGGAATTATTAAAAATATCTAGAAATTACTATTTTTATGAATTCTTTTAAAATTTCTGCTATTTTATTTTCTTTCCAAATCCCGCTGGCAATTTCAGCAGCGGACGCGCACTTTGTTTTCCACGAGGGTCCCAAGAGAAATTTGCATCTTTCTCGGCGCAAAAATCCGTCAAGCCAGACGAGGACGGCGAAAAATGCGGAGCGACGCGGAGATGATTGCCATTTGTCAGGCTGTGTGTTTTAGTTTACGTGGGAGCAACGCGAGAGAGGCCAAACTTGAGTAATGATCTCATTTGGCCGCCGCCGCTCGCGTGGGGTGACGCTCGGGGGATGATCGATTGGCTCGCCACTGATATATTTCACGCTCCGTGACCGCGCAGATTAAAACTTTGACGGCGTCACTGGGGTGACTTGGATTTTCAGCCTCCAATGCATAAATTACCCGCCACACCATTATTTTCCTTTTTCGTTTCCATTATGAAAATTTAGAAAAGGAAAAATGGTGTTAATCAAAGTGGGATTGCGGCAGTCGGAGTCGAATTTTTCAGCTCGACTGCAGCTAATTGCAACTCATGCGGTGGCAGCTTTTAATAATAAGTGGGGGGAGAAGAGTTTGTAATGTTCAAGTTAATGTTATTCAAATTTCACAAATGGACTGGCGGCGTGCTCAGTATTCCGGAAAATTGCTTTCCATCGTTAAAAATTAATATACAAGTTGTGTTTTCAGAGACTTTAATAAAAATCGGAGAACATTTTAGGATTTTAAAGATGAATATAATAAAAAATACTATAATTCGAAAAGAGAATCAAGAATGGAAAATCAAGGTGAAGCTTCCTTCAAAATAATAATTTTTATTATTCAGTTTACCTCTAAAAAACAAAAACAATCCAACTTAATTTTATAATATAAAGATGTGAAAGTGATTTAAAAATTTTGATGCTGATAAACAAACGGATTCTTTAGCCACGTAAAACCTAGGGCAGAATTGTAACTTTTCAGCACAAAATATTTTAATGTTAAATTTTTGTTGCTTTGGAACTATTTTTCTAAATTCAAAATTTCTATACATTGAGCTGATGTAAAAAAATAATTCTGCATTCGGCTGATGTAGAGAAATATTTCATTCAAAGTAAAAAGTAGATATCATTCAGCACATATTTTGCTTCCGAATGCTGTCAATGGTTTTTTAAAAGTTTTAATTTGAAACCACAGTATAAATTGAACTTTTCGTTCATTTTTACAAATGAAATTATAAATTATTCAACCTTGGTGAACAAATTGGCTTTGCCGGTGGTCAAATATTTGCGTGATTCTAGAATGTTTTGCATAACAAGCCAAAACGCACCTCCAAATTAGTAATTTCCGAGTTAGATTCTCTTTAATTATATTCCTATCATGCTCTTGTCTAATTAAATAATCCTGGTAATGAATCGTCAGTTACACTTGAGCGGCGAAAATGATTCAATTATCTAATTCCCATCTGCAGAGTTAATAATTAAATCTTACCACCAATAAATCAGGAAAAAATGCAAAGCGTTCGTTTTGGAAACGCCGGCGACCAATTATTCACGCAGTTTGATTTCCAGGTAAGCGTTAATTTATAATTATACAAAAGCGCAAAAAAATCTCGAGATTATTAAAGCACCGCAGAGAGAGAAAGAAATTTGGTTCGTTCTCTCTTCGGGGAATGAATAGTATAATAATTCACTGTGTTGGTGTGAAAAGGGTTTTTTTCCAAACAAAAATGTGGAGGAAACACACGGATTTGACGCAGTTTCGAGACGATTAGTTCAGGCTTTGCGGGGGGACTCTTTTCTTTTATCCGCGCGGCGCTCGGTGCAAATGAAGCACACACAAATATTTGATAGCCATTCAGGCATGTGTTTTTCTTCTTTTCATTCGCGCGGTGCTTTATCCATTTGCTGGCCGCGCAGCTGGACGCTCGCTGGGAAAGACTTTGTCTTTCGTTTTCCGTGGAAAAAATCGAGTCTTTCTTTAATCAAGCAGAGCGGCGGCTAAAAATCGGACGCACGCTTTTGTCCCGAACGCGAAGAAACGAGTGCTTTGCAGATGCGCAGGCTTTTATGTACGATACTCTATTTTTGTGCATTCCTGGTAAAGATTTATTTTTCGGCTATTGAACGTATTCGCCATTGTGCAAACTCTTTGATTTCAAAAGCATGAGTACATGTCTGGGAAAGTTTCTGCTTGCTTTCAAGTTTCAGTTAAAAATAATGATAAAGAATCAAAAGAGGAAATTCTCGAGAGTTGTATTGTTAAATTTTTAAAACTTTACAAGTTTCAACAAAGGTAACTAGAATAAACGATAAACAATTGACAATGGTTGGCATTATTATTTTGTATCGAAGTTGATTTAAAATTTAAAAATAACAGATTTTTCAGTTTTTAACAAAATACTAAAAAATCTGTATCAATTTTGACAATATTCCGGGAAATATTTTAATTACTTGCTTAATCCACTAATGTAAATATAAGATTAATCTCATGAGTCTAACCAATAATTTCAATAAAATTTTTGAATAAAAATACATTTCTAATTAATTACAAATGTTATTTAGCTGAACTGATTCCAAGAATAAGAAATCATTGTATTACTTTCGTAAATTCGATCAATTTTTGAAAATTCTTATTATTGATGAAATTTATTTTACCATGTCTCATTGGAATTGAAGCTCAAAACCTATTTAATGAAAAATTGCCATCAAAATTAATTGCAACGTTTTTTTTTTTTTTTTTATTAAAAGTGAAATTTTTAAATTAAATTATTTATAAATCTAAATCGAAATACGAAATTCTTAAAATTTCTTTGCCCCATTCAAAAGCCAGTGCTTTACCAAACCGTTATAGGAAAGGTCGATTCTCTCCTTGAGTTTTTTTTTTCGATCAATCCGAATGCAAATAACCGTTTTTCTGCTTTCCACCGCGCACAATGCGCGTTGCAAATCGATGGGAAACTTGTGTGTGTAGAGAAGATGAAAAATGCAAAAGCAGCCGAAAGTTTCCCACAAAGCGATGCAACAAAGAGGCAAATTGTTGTTGTCGGACGGACGGACGGATAATCCTGTGTGTGTGCGCGCGGGTTCCGTTTTGCTGACGGTGGTTTTAAGTTAATTTTATGGGTGCCGCAGGCGATATTGTACCATCAAATAAGTATGGGGTATCTGCAGCTCGGCCAGAATTACAAACCATTACACGCTCCGTTTAGTTGTGACTGCTACTTGGTCGGCGGCGGCGGCGACCGCTCTTTTCCAACAGCACAACAAGTTGTGTGCCGCCGATGCAATTTATGTCCGATACCCGCAGCACATCACTTGGACTTGTTTTGCGTCCCTTCTTGCGCACTTTATCGCACCCGCCCTAGTCTAATTATTGTACCCTTGCGAGTGGGTTGGCGTCGAGGATTTTTTTTCACCGGTCGCAATTGCTGCCAGGAGACGCAGATAGGGACGGCATCTTTATTGAAATTGCTCCTCTGAATGCTTTAGTTGGTAGAATTTTCCCGAGACAAATCTTTCAGTAATTTACGACGGCATTTTTTAAATCAAAATTTTTTAGAGGAATTATTTAGTCAAGAAGAGAGTTTAAAATTATTATAAGTTAATTTAATAATTTAATCCATAATTTAAAAAAAGTTTTAGAAATAAAATAATTAATTAATAATAATTATGAATAATCGTTAAAATGAATAATTTTTTTACCAGAAGCCTCTACTTAATGTCATAGTTTCATTTTTAAAACAGAAGAGACTTGATTGGAAATCAACTTTCATACATTTTTACATTAAGCAAAGCGGGATTTTAGATTGCGATATGAAAAGTTGAGGCAAAAAGTGGATTGTTTTGCTCGAAAGCACATCTATCTCTGTTTACTGTTTTTTTCCCTTTCTTTCTTGATCAGCCTTCCCGTCAATCATGTGTCCGTCCATTGATGAATCGGATGCGGAATTTCGCCTTGCCGAGGATGCGGACAATATGAATCCGTCCGCTTCCGAGACGCTGCAATTTGGCGTTAATTGCGGCAATCGACCTGAGCCAAGCAGGAAGCGCCCTGAAAAGGGAAGTGCCCGGCCAGCCACCCCTGCTGCTCCGCCACCAGCCAAGATGCACTTCCGCTCTCTTGCACCACGGATAGCATAATTGCTTCTTTTTCGAATTTTATTGCACCAGCGGCGGAATGCAGGAAAAAGCAGTTTTTGATGTTTTATTCCGTTTTATGAGAAAAATGAAAAATGCGCCGATAATTCATCATTTAAAAATCAAAAAATTAATTGATAATTTATTTAAAACTATTTTTAATTTGGATTTTTAAGATTATTTAGTGAATAAAAATTAATTTGAAACTTCAAATTATTTTAATCCGGATTTCAAACATTTCACGCTTTGATCTAAAATTCAAACGATCACTGTTGTCACGCTCAGCTAACGACGGTCATAATTTCGAATCGCGATTAATCAATTGATGGCCGGTGCGCCAATAAATAAAATTCCTCAGCGCAATTTATCAATTCCCTGCGACTGTCCGCTCGGTTTGATGGCGAATTTTGCACCGTGTGTGAAAACAATCCATGCCTGAAGTGTGTCGCGGCCGTTTCTGCGGCTGATTGGTCACTTTTTTGCAGAATCGTGCATGCAAAGCGGCGAGAGGAAGCGCCGATTCATTAGCCGATCAATAATGCATTAAAACTCAATTCAACGGTGGGTGACCAATAAACCGCGCTTTCGTTATTTATGAGACTGACGAGCGGTCCAGCGGATCGGCTCAATTTGACTTTTGACACGGATACATGTCCAATCGCAAGATTTATACACAAAAGCATTATTTCGTGACATTTTTGAATCCAGTTAATTGTTTTTTAAAAAAAGTAATGAATTCAAATTTTCCAATTGATTGAAATGCTAAATTTTAAAAGTTGTCTTTGTACTGGAATTTTAATTTAGCGAAAGAAGTTCTATTTTTGTATAGAAAAAAAGGGGGAAATGATTATTTTAAGTAAAGTAATGAATTAAGAAAAAATAATTAATCTTAATTCATAACTTTTACTAACTTCCTTTTTTTTAATGGATCCTAATTTTTGGTGAAAGAATTTTTAAATAATCATTTAGATCTCCAAAAGCTCTCAACTTGATATCTAAATTTAAAATAAACCTCAATAAATATAATAAATTGCATGCTTATATAAAAATCGCCTTTTCTTACTTTTGTTGAACTGGAGTTTTCATGGTGGACGTCGGCGTGGCACAGACCCTCTGACTTTTCGGCGTTGCAACATTGCATTTGGGAGTTGTCAAAGGAGACCTCACTGCAGTCGGGGCTACAGGCGTCCGAGGAACTGATTATTACAATTATTAAAAACTCTGAAAACTGGCAAACTGCATTTTGTCTCACTAGGTGGAGGATTTCTTCGAGCTGGAGTTGAAACTTCGTTGGTCATTTTGGGCCTTTTGGAGACCCTCTCTGGCACCTCAGGTGGTGCTTGTCGTTTTGCTCCCAGCTTGGGCGATCGAGATCTCAAACTCCCTAAATGTTTAAATTCTTCATTAATTATTTGCTTCACAAAATCAATGGTAATTTATTTTATTAAGAAGAAAAAACAAGTAAATTTGTTTTGAGAGCAAAAATAAGTACCTGAAAGTTGAATAATTGAAATAATTCTTAATTAACTCTTAATTTTGTACCTGCTCTTGTCACCCTGGTCGGAGTTTCTCCAGTCCCACTCTGCTTTTCCTCAGGCCGGGGCGGCGCTCTGCTCTTGGCGGTCAAGCACCTAAGTCTCGGCAGTGGCTTTCCTTTGTCCTTTCTCATGCGCAGAAGAATGTAGGTGCTGGTTTTCTCGTCGTATTTCCACCTTTTCAACTCCTGAGCCATCTGCATTGTGTTAATTTGTCACAGTTAGTCAACAAAGTCTATTCTATTTGTTGTTAAAACTAGAGAATTAACGCTTCAGTAGGTTTCTTTTCACCTTATTGTCATCCGTGTTAAAAGCTTGGGCCATCAGCCTGACTATTTCGGCATCCAAATTATCCAACTGACAAGATAAAAATTATGTTTAAATGTACACAAAAAATATTAAATATTACAAAGCAAGGCATTTTCCAAGTGACTGGTTTTGAACCGTCCGCAAGCATCCAGGGGTGCTTGCAGAGATCTTCGATGGTGATACGTCTGTTGACGTTCACATCCAACATTCTGTGGAGAATGTTCAGGGCCTCAGGAGAGAGCGGCTTGGTCACAGAGAATCTCCCTTTCTGATTTATTGAATGAACATTTTAGAAATAGAATTAAAATTTGGGTAAAATATTTAGTTATACTTGAATTTTGTTGTGCAAGTTTTGAATGTTTTTGTCCTCAAATGGAAGCTCACCACAGAGAAGGGTGAAGAGGACGACACCCATGCTCCAGATATCAGCCTTGGTACCTGAAATTCAAAAAGTGGACCAAGTAATTTAAAGTGGTTTTGGTGGTTTTAAGTTTAAAGAACAAAATAACAAATTCACACATTTCTTAGTTTGCAGATTCTTTTCAAAGAATACTGAAATTTTATTTTTTGTCTGATTTTGGATATTGCAACCCTTGTCAAATCCCATCTATTTTTGCCTCTTACAAAAAATACAAGCAGTATATTTTTTTAACAAATAATACTTCAGGCCAAAAAATAAACTGGAAAAAACTAAATTTAATTTACCTAAATATTGTACGCCCCGGAGAAGTTCTGGCGCTGCGTATGCATACGAACCACAACAAGTGGCCAACTGCTCATCTAATCCGCCAGCAGGATTTGCACACAAACCAAAATCGATCAACTTGACTCGATTATTCTCATCCAGCAACATGTTTTCCTGAAATTTCACAATCATTTCCACTTCCAAAGAGATTTACTGCGTGAATATACTGGTTTAATATCTCTGTGCGCGTAGCCTTTGTGATGAATGTACGCAACGCCGCTCAGCATATCCCGGAAAAACTTCCTCGCCTGGACTTCGGTCAAATCTTGCGACTTGACTACGGGATTTATTAAATTTTCAAAATCTCCTTTTTAAATCAAATTTACCAATATAATCAAATAATTCCGATCCAGCGCAGTATTCCAACACCAAATATATCCTCGTGTTTGTTTCAATAACCTGCAGAAGACGACAAACATTGGGGTGGTCGAACGATTTCAACGCCTCTATTTCCTTGTAAATCCGTTTTAATTCATGCTGCCAAAAAAAAGAAACATTAGAAATGAATTAAATTATTAGTTTATTTTTAAACTTAATACCCCGATAACTATTTTGTCCATGCACTTGATGGCAACGTTGAGATTCGTGACTCGGTGCTTTGCCAATTTGACCTTGGCAAACCCACCCTGGCCCAGGGTCTCGCCAAGGTCGAAGTGGGCCTGCAGTTCGCTGAGAATCGGCTCGTGCTTGGTGTCCTCCTCGTCGACGAACAGTCTGTCTGAATCATCACTTGCATTCTCTGCAAAAATTTATTAATCATAAAATTGCTCAATTCTGATGAAGGCTTTTGTGCGAAATTTGACTGAAACCGCGACTCACCAACGCTGGGATCCGATCTGGAAGACATTTTGTGCGATTTCGCGACTGCCTTTTTTTCAAAACATGCGTTATTTTTGGCGAAAATCGCAATTTTCCAGCAACGAGTGTCGTTATTTAACCGGTGCAGCTGAGACACTCCCTGGGCAGCTGGTGAGGAGAATTCGCGCCAAACAAAGCGGACCAATGGGATCGCCGCTTTTTATTTGCGCCGACAGCCACCAGGTGGCCAATTCGTGGTAGGTGGGAGTGCAAATAAAACAAAGAGTAAACACGAGAAAATTGAAGTCATTTAGTGCAAATTAGAATATAATGCACTCAACAATTTGTTAGGGTTTTTTGGCACTAGACACGTTAAAAAGAAGTCGATGAAATTTCGCAAACTCTAAAAACATTTAAAAGGTTTTGCTCTTTTTTGTCCGTTTTTATAAATCATAATTGCCATGTCCACACAATTATTGTTATTGTCGAATTGATTTTCCTCGTTGCATATGTTTCTTTCGGGATTAGCATTCAGGACTTTGCCATCTAGGGCTGCTAAATTACTGCATAGGTAAGAATTTTTAAACAGAAGAATTTTGATTAAAAATTTGATTAAAATTTCAGACCAATAGTAACAACTGCAGTATTCAGAATGACGTTCGTGATCGACAACATCATCAAAAGCCCCGAGGACAAACGGGACTACAGAGGTTTAATTTTGGACAACAAACTCAGGGTTTTGATCATCAGTGATCCTAAAACGGACAAGTCGGCAGCTGCCCTATCAGTCAACATTGGTAAAATAAAAATTGAAAAAATACAATATAAAATAATTCTGCGTTTTTAGGCTACCTGAGTGATCCTTGGGAATTGCCTGGTCTGGCCCACTTCCTGGAGCACATGTTGTTTTTGGGCACGGAAAAGTATCCGAGTGAAAACGAGTACAACAAATTCCTCTCGGAACACAGCGGCTCCTCGAACGCCTACACCTCTGCTGAACACACAACCTACTATTTTGACGTCGCCCCTGAGCATCTGAAGGACGGACTGGACAGGTTAAAATACCAATAACTTCTGCAATTTTTAAGTAAAATAAATAAATCCATAGGTTTGCCCAATTTTTTGTGGCGCCCCTTTTCACTGAAGACGCAACTGAACGCGAGGTGAACGCCGTCAACTCGGAGCATGAAAAGAATTTGGCCAACGACAGCTGGAGACTGGCCCAGTTGGAGCAGAGCTCGAGCATCGAAGGTCACCCATACACCAAATTCGGCACTGGCAACAAAGACACCCTGGAAACTATTCCCAAGAGCAAGGGCATTGACGTCAGACAAGAGTTGCTCAAATTCCACAAGACTTACTACTCGTCAAACATCATGTCCCTGGTCATTTTAGGAAAAGGTACAAATTAAACCAAAAACCAAATAACGAGTTTTGGGTTGTCCCCTCAAAATGGCTTATAATTAAATCTCCTCATCTTCAGACCCACTCAAATATTTTTTCTTCCTTCCAAAATAATCAAATTTTTATAGACCCTCTTGACGAGCTGCAAGAGACGGCTGAAAATTTGTTCGGGCCAATTGTGAACAAAAATGTTGATCTGCCCAAATGGCCTGGCAACCCCTTCGGACCAGAGCAACTGACCAAGAAGGGCCTCGCTGTGCCCATCAAAGACTGGCGCTCTTTGACCGTGACCTTTCCGATTCCAGACTTCCGAAAACATTACAAAGCAGGAGTAAGTTTTTTGTTTGATTTTGAGCTCATTATTAAAAATGAATTTTCAGGCTGGCCGTTATTTGAGTCACTTGATCGGACACGAAAGCAGCGGAAGTCTTTTGTCGGCCCTGAAACAGAGGGGCTGGTCCAATCAATTGAACGCCGGCGGACGCAGATTTGCCCGAGACATGACTTTCTTTGTCATCTCGGTTGATTTGACGGAAAAGGGTCTGGAACACACTGACGACATTGTGGATCTCATTTTTCAGGTACTAAGAGATTAAGTTCTCTAAAAACATCAATTAATTTTATTATTGCAGTATATCAACATGCTTCGTAAGGAAGGACCCAAAGAGTGGATTTTCAACGAGTTCTCTGAAATCGCAAAGATGAACTTTCGATTTAAGGACAAAGAAATGCCTCGCAGCTATGCTGTTAACTTAGTAGATAATTTGCTGGTAAATTTTATCTTTCCAATAGCAAAGATTTTACATATAAATATTTGTGTGTTTATAGGATTATCCAATTGATGAAGTTCTCACCGGACACTATTTAGTCTCAGAATGGAAGCCTGAACTTATTGAACAACTGCTGAGTAAGCTAACTCCGGAAAACTGCAGGTAAAAAAATTATTATATCAATTTGTATTGTATTAAAATTTAAATGTTGCCAGGGTTGGAATCGTGTCCAAGAAATTTGACGAAATTGCTGATCAATCCGAGAAGTGGTACGGCACAAAGTATAAACTTGAAAGCATTTTGCCCGAGCTGCTTTCCAAGTGGAGGAATTGCCAGCCGAGCGAGGAATTGCGACTGCCCAAAGAAAACGAGTTTATTCCATCGAGCTTTGATCTGTTTCCAAATGAGAAAACTGTAAGATTCAATGGGAACTTGAATTTACTCTTAAATATTTTTCTTTTCTAGGAATCAAAGCATCCAACCGTGATCCACGAGACACCCTTTGTCAGGGTTTGGTATAAAAAAGACGAGGAATTTCTCCTGCCGAAAGCAAACTTGATCTTTGAGCTTACTAGGTATATTTTAAAATTGACAATTTACTGTATATAATATCAATTGCTTACTTCAGTCCTTTTTCCTACTTGGATCCCCTGAGAGTGAATTACACCAACATTTACCTGTCACTGGTGCACGACGCCCTCACTGAATACACTTACGATGCCATTCTGACCTCGCTGAAAGGGGATGTGAGCTGCATTAGATATGGTTTAGTGGTAAGCAAATAGTTTACAGGTTTTTCAGGTTTTTTGAATCATTTTTCACTCAGGTCACAATCAAAGGCTTTCACGATAAGCAGAAAAATCTTTTGGCTAAAGTTTTGGACACATTAGTGAACCTAGAAGTGGACGAGGAACGCTACGAAATCTTCAAGGAATGTGTAAGTATAAAAATTTTATTTTGAAAGCTTATTTATAATTTTTTTCTGATGTAGCACATTCGAAGCCTCAAGAACTTTGCAGCTGAACAACCTCACTCTCATGCTCTTCATTATGAGATGGCCTGTCTTTCGGAGAAGGCTTGGGTCAAAACTGACCTTCTCGAAGCAACCAAATGTAAAAGAATCAATTTCCAGAACATTTAAAAAATTCAAATTTGCAGATCTGACGTTCGAGGGTCTCAAGAATTTCATACCTCAGTTTTTCTCAATGGTGCATGTCGAGAGCCTAATTCATGGAAATGCAAATAAAGATGCAGCTCTGAAGTTGGTGGAAGTTGTCGAGGGAAAGTTGATCAAAAAGACTCAGCCGCTTTTACCACCACACCTGTTGAGATTCAGGGACATTCGTCTAGACGATGGTAGGATTTTTTCAATCTCTTTATTTCCTAATTTATTTGTGTCATTTCATTTCAGGATGCAGTTATGTTTACGAGGTCACCAATGCCACGCACAAAAGCTCATGTGTCGACATGTACCTGCAGTGCCCACAGCAAAGCACCGAGCACAACATGCTGCTGGAACTTTTCGTTCAAATTGCCACCGAGCCCTGCTTCAATATTTTGAGGACCAAAGTAAAGTTTGACACTTTTTTTCGAATATTTTAAGATTTAATTTCCCAAAATCAGGAGCAACTGGGCTACATTGTTTCGATGAGCATTTCTCGCAGCCAGGCTAGCCAGGGTCTCCGAATCCTAGTCCAGTCGTACAAACACCCAGCCTTGGTTGACCACAGGATCGAGCATTTCCTGCACGAGATGAAAAGCTGCATTGAAAGTATGAGCGAGGAAGAGTTTGAGCGGCACAAGCAGGCTCTGGCTGTGCACCGGCTGGAAAAGCCAAAGAAAATGTCAACCTTGACCCAGCAGTATTGGTACGAGATTTCGTGTCAACAGTACTGCTTCGACCGAGACAATATCGAGGTGGCCTTTCTGAAAACCCTAACCAAGGAAGACCTCCAGCAGTTTTACCAAAACTACATCAGTGGCTCTGGAAAGTCCAGACGCAAGCTGACGGTCCACGTCCTGTCCACTGCCGAAGGTGGTGCCGGAGCTGCTGAAGTCGAGTTGGAGGAATCGACTCCGCCGGAAGGAGTTGTTGAGGTTGGAAGCTTCAAGTTGGTCTCTCGGAGTGACAAAATTAATTGTATTTTTGTTTTCAGTCGATGAAAATTGAAGACATCTGCACCTTCAAGAGTAGCCAAGGCTGCTTCCCCTTCCTGCGCCCTTACAGCCACCACAGGCCTCAAGGCTCGAAGGCTAAACTGTAATTTTCAGTTTTATACTTACTTAATAGACCTTTAGTGTATTTATGCCTGTAAGATGTGAATTCACATTAAATAAAAATAGCAAACTTGTTTTTGTTTCTTAATGGCATATTTATTTTCATTCATTAAAAAGAATAAATGACACACATTTAAATAGGCGCAATATTTTAATAATATCATGATTACCAATAGTGGTGAATGGAAATCAAAGGGCTCACAGAATTGATTCATAAAATTAATGGAACAAAATATGGTTTACTTTTAAAGCGAAACAGTTTTGTAAATATAAAAGCTGAATAATTCATAAATTCTTCTTGCTGAATTTGATTGGTATTTATCTTTTGAGGAACATAAACAGGTAAAATTATAGCTGTGAACGTAACCAAAGCCCTGCAACGTTTCTCATCACACGAGTTTTTCATAATTCATCCAAAGCATCCGTCTCCATTAATTCGGTAAAATTGAGTGCAAATTCATGCCTCTGAGGCTGAATCAAGAGAGCAATCAATAAAAGTGAAGCAAAAATAATCACAAAATAATAAACTGCTGTTCCAGGATTGTTCAATACTTCTGTCACTATTTTCCAGTGGTTTTTCTTGCTCGACTTTCGATTATGATCAAATATACCAAAGCTTTGCTTTGCACGGACTAGGAGCAAATAATCTATCATTTTCAAGCTGAATTTCACTTTCTTTTGCACACAGGAATGTAATTGAGCAGAACAACCGGAATTGGGTTGGTTCAACAGACATCTCAACAATTCATATTATTCCAAATCAAAAAGTACACGTTTTTGTGCTGAAGATATAAAGTGAATTACTTGCTGTGCATCTAAATGAAAGGAATTTTCAAATCAATCTTCAACAGCCGACGGCGTCAATTAGGTTAAATTCTTAAGAGTAGATGTTGCGGGCACCCCAAATGCTAACAAACAGACGAGATGGCGAGCCACAGGTATCCGCCCAGGGTTCCGTAGAATAAGGTTTTGAGGTAAATGGAGTGACCAACTTTGGTCAGCAGCAGGGGAACGGTCACAGCGCCGAAAAAGAGAAAACTCGGCAGCGTCTGCCAGAATCCCACTCGCTGCAGGTGCTTGTTGGGCCAGGTCAAGGGTTCATTGCCCTCCTGCTCGCAGCTATTGTAGAACTGCTTCATTAACCTGAAAGCAAACGAAAATTAATCTAAATACAAAGGAAATAATTGGCTAAAATCTAAAATACAATTTTTTATTTAATTTGAATGTATCATATTAATTTAAATGTCATTTTTTTTTTTTTTAATTTAAATGACAAATTCCAAAGAAAAAATCATTTTTTATTACTTGTCTTTCTTGATGAAAATTTGGTGCATCCACTGCTGGAATTTCTCCTCGTCGGCAGGCACACTGCTCATAGGGATTCGATTAACATGGATGTGCACCGACTTGCACCGTCCAAGTAGGAAATCTACAAGTAAAAATTAGTCAGTTTCAAATCATCCAATATAATTTATAATTGCCTTTCAGTTGGGGCGTTTTGTTTCTGTCTGTGTCGAATGAGCCTTTGCCACACTCGTTGCCGGAATAACCGACCGTGATGTCGTAGACGGCTTCAAATCTCTCTCTCATTGTTTCCAAAACGAGCCAAGCACCTCGGCTGCGGGGGGTCAGGTGGAAGTCGAGCACCTGGATGCTGTTTTCTCGAGCCACCTCTCTGGACTTGGTGATCCGCTTACCATCGTCTGGGTTGTAACGGGTGCCTTCGGGGAAGATCACAACCCAAGACTGCAGCATAGACAGACAAATTTTAATTTTTTGTGTTTAATAAAAAAAAATAATAATAAATTGATACAAATTTTAAAAAGAATAAAATGGTACATTAAATTCTATTATTAAATATATAATTTTTTTCTTTTCAAATTTTTTCACCATCAATTTATACTTCCAAAGTGGAAAGAAATTGTATTGAAAAAAAAGTTGCAATGAATTTATAAAATTATGTAAGAGGACAAAATTTTCATTTTAATAATGAATTAATTTGATTTTATGAAGGTTGATTTGTTCTTGCTTGGATAAAACATTTTCAATTAATTATTTATTGGATGATCAAAATTAAATTAGTTACCGGAATCTTGGGGTTCCTTAGGTATTTGAGACTCTGAAGCATTTTGGCAGGCTGGAAGTGTCCCCTTTTAACATAAATGCATCCGTGCTGGTGGAAGTAAAAGCCGTAGAGAGGAATCATCTGCAACTCGTGCTTCATCACAAAGCGCAAGTGGCCTATCGAGCCCTGTTCCACGGCAACCATATTGGTCAAAATCCAGTCAACTGTGAAAGTTCAAATTTTTTTAACAAATTTAAATAATTTAAATTTTAATAATATTTTAACGCTTAAAACTTTTTATTGTTCAAATTTCACGAATATTAAATTCAAACAACAGGTCAGAAAAAGACATTTGAGAGCAAAAGTCGGGAAATTTACTTTTTACGAGCATAGGCAAAGGTCACAGCAAATCAACAGGTTACGAAATAAAAAAAAAATTGTCCCCTCTCTACCTGTGGACTGGTGGTTTCCCAAGTACAGCACGGTTTCCTTCTTCCTGAAAGCCTCCTGGGCATCGCCGTAGAAATAGACCTGAAAATTTAAAATTTTTAATTAAAGCCAAAGATTTTTTTTCGGATCCAAACCTTGACGCCATTGCAGTGGTTGAAGAAGAAGAGCACGAGTTTTTGGTAGGTGCCGTAGCAGAAGTCGTCTCCGATTTGGTAGATCCACGCCGGCAACACCAGCGACATGCCCTTCCAGATGCCCCAGATCAAAATGAATTCTGGGGCCACCCCCAGCATTATCACCGTCGAGATCACATACCGGACGTACCGAAAAATCTTCATGCTGCAAAAACACAAAATTGGCACAACTTAGATCAAAATATCAATTACATTCAGATTTTAGGAAATGAACTGACTAAATTTAAAAAAAAATTAAACTGGCAAACTAAAAAAATGTTTAATTTAAAAAAATAATAAAATAAAATAAATAGTTTCAAAAGTTATAAAATTAATATGAATGATTCTACAATTTTCAGATTTTATTTTGCATACAATTAAGAATAAACAGGTGTTTTAACTAATCAGTAAAAGTCCAAAGAGCTGTTTTTATTGAATAATGCTATCCTTTTTGTGTCTACTTTGGACTATGTCTTACGCTGTAGTTGGAGTTTGGAGCTGCAATTCATCCGAGATTTATCTTATCTCGAAATTGACTAACATCTCATGCATAACTTATAATAAAATTGTACAAAATGAACAACTATCAAAGGTTTCCGCAATTGAAGGTTGCGATCTCGTTGCGCGAAACTCGTTTGAAACAGGAAGAATCACTCTCGGTGCGCGCGCGACAATTACTACATTCATGTGTGCATAATTAAATGTGCTCTATTCAAGAATAGCCGGTCGCTGCGATCAACAGACAGACACGAAGCCAAGGTCACGGCCAATCTCGGCACAAACGCGTCATTCTAAATTTAATTCTACAATTAAGTTTAAAATTATTTACAATAAAGTGGATATAAATGTGCGGTTTCGTGAATAAATATCCGGCACTAATGAACTGTGTCGTTATTTCCTTATTTGCATTGAAACAATAATAAACCGTTCTCATTATAAATTATTGGTTCGAGGGCGCGTGAGGTGTCGCGTTCAGGCAGCGAGGACTTCAAAAGCTTTCACTATTGCCAGGATAGAATTTCTCAGACGCCGATAAATATCAAATAATAGAATTGCAAAATAATAATAACGATTTATCAACTTACAGGAGTAAAAAAATAGGTTTTTTATTTGCTTCTAAAAACAAAAAGAAAAAATAAGAAATTGAAATTTGTGTTCGTATTTTATAATTTCATAAAAGATTTATTTCAAAATTTAAATGCTTAAAAAAGAAACGTGAAATAAAAGTTTGCTTCAAAATTTAATGCTTCGATATAAACAATATTAAAACATTTAACAACATTTTAACACTATAAAATTAAAATGAAGAAAAATATTTTCAAACTTAAAATAAAATAAATTTTGATGCTAAAAAGAACTAAAAATTAGTTTCGAAATGTAATTCTGAAAGGAAAAAAAATGAATTAGTTAGGAATTTGAATAATATCTTTACAGTTAATTCTGATAATTGAAAATTCCGGAAAAATTTCTCCTCAATTGTCAGAGTACAATTTTTTGAATAAAATAAAAATAATTAGATTTGACTATTTAAAATTTTAACAATTAAAAAAATGTTCGCTTTCTTTCATTATTTCAATTAAAACGGCAAAATTTAAAGCTCATAAAGTTCTTTAAAGGAATAATCATGATTTTTAATTATTAGGGTATCATTTGCTAAAAAAACTCGTCGCTTTTGTCACCCTCATGCATAATTGTTTCTGCAAATAACCATTGTTGGTTATCGAAAAAAATATTTCTCAATGCTAACAAAAATAGCTTCGAGGGCTGTTTTATCAGCATCAAAATGTGGGTGGCATAAATCGATCAGCAAATTAACCTTTTCGCAAAAATATTTGTACATAGAAATTGTTTCTGGAGCAAATTTATTACAAAAGAAAACATTAATTTTCATATAATTTAAAAAAAAAACTATCAGGTGAAATATTATTTTGGAAAAATAGCACTGTTTATACTTTTGCCTGTGTCTGTGGCCTACTTTCAACGGGATTTCCCATTCCGAGTATTGGGAAAATATTTATTACGCTTTAAATTTCCCACACTATTATTGATTCAGTATCTTTTTGCCCAGATAGTCTGAAGAAGAGATCATTAAATAAAAAAAGGAAAGGCAACAAAAATAAATAACCTTATCTCAGATTTATTGATCAATAAAATTTACGACTTTCAAAATAACAAAAAAATTAAAAAAAAAATACCCACGAACGCAAATGAAGATGCAACTTGCTACTGCAAACTCAAAAAAAGGAAAAAAATTCGTTTTTAATTTTGAAATCTTTAATTCAATAAATAAAAAATATGAATTAACATTCGATTGAAACTCACAAATCAAATTTCCAATATTGCCGAGAGATGATCAGAGAGCGAATCAAATAATCAATATTATATTGTCGGCGGCTTTACCATGTCATAAATAATAGAATGCAAGCCTCGAGCACAAAGAAACGTCACTGCTGATAGAGCAAGAAAAGGGGTTTTTCCTTTCCGCCACCGCGATTGACTAATTAAGGGTTGTTGTTGTACCTGGTGGAAGGCCCCGTCCGGCCCTGGCGCTCCGTCCTGCTTTTCATTCTAACTCGCGGCGCCGGCCGAATCTAAGTACCTTTCTCTGGGACAAGCAAAGCAAAACTGAACTGAAAACGCAAACTACGGTGCTGAGAGGGGCGGTTCAGCAGAACAAGAAGTTTCTCGCTCACTTGGAAGGATGGACGGGCCGGGGTGCTCGGGGCGGCCGCGCCTACTCGCGCTCCACCCGCATCTTGTTCCTCTTCTCGACCGTCCGACCGACCTGAGGCCTGAGCAACGACCCTGGCGAGGCCCCCCGTCAGCGTAGTGCGGGTTGCAGTTTGCAGGACACGCCCACTCGCCGCCCGGTGACGTCAGAGGTCGCGGCCGGAGAGACGCCTGGCGGTCGACGCTGAAAAAACAACACATTTCGAGCTTTAATTTCGCACGATATTTATTGCAAATTTTAATTATTAATTTAATTTGTGATTGAGCTTATTGAACGTTAGTGCTAAACTGAAAAAAAATTGAAGATAAATAATAGAGTGGATCATTTTATCATATCATATTCTTCCCAATTAACTGTTGATGCGTCTGAATAGGCGACAAGTGTCGTTTGGAGAACGTTCGAGAAAGTGATAAGTTTTGTCAATGCGCGGGCTACATTTTTTAAATTGAAAAACATGAATATCATCTCAGACTGGCGCTTTTTTATTAGGTAAGAAAATATTCAATAATGTCAAAAGCCAGATTCATTTGCTTTTAATTATTTTATAATGCAAAATTAGGCAACATTATATAAATGCTTCCCATATGAAATTAAAATTGATTGTCATACTTTCACAAGTTTTTTCTCTTCTCTTCCTTGTTGAATTTATTTTGATTGATTTTAATATTCGGTTTCAAAAAAGCAAAAAGCAAATATTTGTTGCTTTTTTAGACATATTTTTATTCGCTGCAAAATTAATTCTTAAAATGTATATTTAAAAATTGCATCATGTCAATTCTACTCTATAAAAAAACCGACTTCTTTAAATTTCTTTTAATTTTTTAAGATTTATTTCATTTATGCTATGGACCATTTTAATTTTCCAGCGTAATTTTTTTTTTAATTTCAATTAAAAATTTTATAAATAATTTGCATTCATTTTGTACCTGCTTTATAAATGATGCCTTAAAACAATAAATAATTCAAACAAACACAAAGATTTTCTTTTTTAATTCCCAAACATTATGTACTTTGAATTGTCTTGATAAGTCATGCAGGTTGCATATTCGGAACTTCTGCAGGCGCTAAGTATCTGAACTATATTTTGGCAATTTATTGGAATTTCTTTTAGATCTCTTAATAAACTTAGATGGAAAAAACTGCATGAATGAACCAAAAATAAGTTTTTTATATAATTCGAAAATTAATATAACATTTTTAAATTAACAATTAAACGAATAAATAATATACATAATTTTTTTTTACATATTAGTACTGATTAATCTTCCTAATTTTCTTGTGAATTCCTAGTTTTTAGGATTTATTTAAAACTAATATTTGATTATCCTTATCAATCAATGAACTGTAATTAAGAGTTCATATTTGTTTGAGTGCGGTTCAAACATCATTTCATTATTGAATAAAGATTGCATCCAAGTACGATAAAAAAACTGATTAAATTTAAGAATTTGCATTATATGCGCAGTGGGAATCATTTTTATCAGATAACTACAGAGTGCAATAACAAGTTTTTATTTTAATGTAGCATTAGAGGAGAGAAACGAAAAATGAACTGATACTCAGCATATAGCACAATCATATTACTCCCTTTAAATTTCCTATCAATTAAATTGTTAAATTAAATAAATGAATCAATATCGATTGACTTTAAAAAGTTCTTCTATCTTTAATATTCAATAAAAAAATTATGGTTCATAAAATTTGTATTAATGTAAATAAAATAATCAAAACATTGAGAATAATAATTTCAAATCATTCAATGTTGCTTAAAAATTATTATTATTTCTTATATAAAAATAATAAAATACAGAATTTAAAAAAATTTATTTTAATTTTTACCTATTTAATGCTTTCATTCTGTTTCAAAATGCCTCTTTAAACACTAAATTATGCCAAGTTTGACATTTCTCTAAACAAATTATGCTAGACAAATTGGATAATAATCTTTCTTAATAGTTCTCAGGGTGTAAAATCAATTGTCTTGCGGCGCGAGACAAAGCGCGAAATGTAAACATGATGAGGAGTTGAGCATGTCAGCAGGTGTCTGTCTGTCTGCAATAATATGGCAAGTGCGAAGGAAAGTTGCATGCGCCGACCGCACACGCGTCTCCATGGCGACCGCGTTGGAAAACAGAGCGGCGCTGCCAGGAATCATGGCATTTGCGACTAGTCGGTCTTTGACTCAGGTCAAAGGACAGAGGCCATGGGTTCTGCCTTCAGCGGCGGCAAAGACAAGGTCGAGCCAGCATCACCCGAAAAGGTACGCAGATTTTTAAATAACTTTTAACCTATATAATCTGATTTCTTTTAAATTTTAAGTTAATTTTTAGATTAATTTATTTCTAATTGTTTCAAAATTAACATTATCAATTATGTCTCAGTTTGATTAATTTTTACTTGAAATCAGATATTGGTCAAATTTAATTTAATTTTTACTTTTTTGAGACACAATTTCTATAGTAGTTTTTTCCATTATTATTCAATCCAAAGGCAGTTTATTTTTTTTTTTAATTTTTCTCTGTTTCATGGCCACTTTATGTATTAAATATATTTCAAATACTTATTGTTACGCCAACTCTTGTAAAAATTATTTGATTGATTTTTATTTTCTTCATACTCATTGATATTGAAATAATTACCAACAAGACCTTGCTTAATTGGGGCACCAAAGCAGGTTTACTCATTAAAAATTGAATTTCAAAACAGTGGAAAAAGTGTGAAATAGAATTGCGACGGCACGCAAATGTTTCGGATTTTGTCGCACGTGAAATGCAAATCAATACCTAATTGAGGTACGCGATTAATTATTAACCACTGGAAGGGCCAAATAGGGTCACTTGATGTCAGGCAACTTCCGAACAAAAATATACATCGAAAGACACAGAGCGGTGGAATTTATTATTGGGACTTTTCCGTGGAATAAAAAGTGTGTCAATCTGTTGATCTATCTTGATTTTAATAAGTGCCCTTGATGTTTTTATAAATGAATTATTAGCATAACATGCGTTCAAGTTAAAAACAAAGAGGATTATCACAATTATCGCCGGTAATGACATTGTTTTTAATTTTGGTAGCCCTTTTTTCAGTTCATATTTCAGAAATTTTGATCTTAATTTCTATGCATTTATTGATATAATTTGAATAAAATAAACTCTAATTTGGATTAAAATGTTATCACTGTTTTTGGTCACATAAAATGAGTCGAATATTATGTATTCAACAATAAAAGATATACATTTGTAAACAAAACTAAATTATGCAACTTCAATCTTGTTTGTACGAGTTTTGAAGCCGACATCTAAGACAAAATGTAGAGAAAAACATTAAATCGTTTTTCTGCTTGAAATAATTATTTTTATTTGGCAAAAATTTCAATTTAAATTCACTTTTCATAACATAATAATTTATACAATTTTTTTTAATCTTTTTAATTTAATAATTAAATGAAGTTTAATATTGTTATCATTTTAGATTAATAACTCCATGATTATCTTTGGCCTTTCATTAGGAAGGAAGCGCTACAGCAGACTCGGAAGAAACCCCCTTCGTCAAATCAAGAAGATGCACCGACGCGGCTTGCATGATTGTTTTCATCGTTTTCTTCATCCCATTGGTATGAATTCAAATTAAAATCTTCTTTTTTTAAATAAATTTTGATTCAAAAGATCGGCCTGTTGATTTACTGCATTCGCTACGGCAACATCTATCGCATCCTGAACGGCTACGACAGGTGCGGCAATGTGTGCGGGAGGGTCACGGAGCGCGTCGGAATCGCCCCCAATGACCCCAAGTTCACCTGTTTCGGCGCCGACATGACCAAATACAAGTACGAGTGGAGTTGAAATTAAACCAAATTAATTTGATTTCGTCACGAAAAATAAGGTTTTTGATGGTTCGAGGGGCGGGAATTCGCGACTCGGAGCAACAAGAGGCCAACGTGAACAGGGAGTGCGTCTCGTCCTGCGCGGGATATCCTGGCTAGTGAGTTTCATTATAATTACCAGAAAAGGTTATAAAAACTAATCGGTGTTTTCGAGGGAAAGAGTGTAACGATCTGAGCCGTAAAAATAGTAATAATGAGCGAAGGAGGTAGTTTTTTTTTCGTGAGCGCGGGTATAACGATTAAATGTGCGCGATTAAATGGATTTTTTCCTGCGTCGTGTGACAATTATTGTTATGTATGGCTCACAATAGAAGTCCAGAACATTTCTTCTGAAAAATTTGAAGGTTATTGACTTTATCTGATAATTGCAATTATTATTTATTTTCATTAATTCAATTAAAATTTAATTTGGAAAGGAAAATGTAACTTTTTTAAATCGTAGGAAAGAATTATGAATAAAAATAGGAACCTTTTAGGCCATTAGAGAATAGGGGGGAAGCGATTGCACTTTTAAATAATAATAAATGCGTTGCAAAGAAACTGGAGCTGCAAAAATCAAAATGTGATAATTATGAATTTTCTTTAGCTCAAATAAGATTCTTACACACCTTAGGCTTTCTATTAATAAATAAAAGAAAAATTTGGCCCCTTCTCTTCCAAATTAAAACCACTAATAATCCGATTTGCATTAAAATTTCAGCAGAGAATTCTTCAACCGCTGCATACCGGAAAAAACGCAGGATCAGGTCAACGTTTTCTTCTCAAAAACTGGACTTTCCAATTTCTTTCAGGTAAAACTTTCATATCAACAATTCTTTCCGCTTTCGCACCAAAATTTCTTAACTTTTCACTTGCAAAGTCAGTTTTTATTGATTTTCCCACTCACGTATATTTAAGAAGTGGCGCGGTGAGTAAGCATAATTTTTTCCTTTTTGCTATGATGGGGCGCTTTACAAATCGCAAAATCAACTTTCGTTTGTGGTGGAAAAATCGATAGAATGACAATGGATTTGCGACGCACCCTGCCTAGCATACACACCACAATGAAAAGTGCAAACATAAGCTATTTTTGGGTCACCGCATTTTACGCAGAAAAATATCAATAAAAAAATAAAATGATTCGCAGGAAGTCTCCGAGGACATGGATCTTTGTTGGAAGGAAATTCTCGCCCTGTTTTTCATTGCTCTTGGTATGCTGAAGAAAATTTATAAAAATGAGAAAATAATTTAAAATTTTAGGTTTTTCGCTGGTTTTGCTAATTCTACTTCGAGTCGCAGTCGCTTTGGTGGTTTGGGTCATGCTGGGTACGGTTTTGATTGTGTGCTTCATCGCCACAGCTTATCTTTGGTACGTAGTAAAAAACGATGAAAATCTTTTTAATCAATATTTAAAAAAAAAAATTAAACCAAAAACTAATTTTAGAAAGAAGATTTAAATTATTAAAATTGTTTTCCTGGAAATCATACTTAAATCATTGCATTACATTTGCTTTAATTTTCTTGACCAAAATATCTTTAAATCAAGAAAGTAAAAAAACTGTTTAAATTTTTAAAATAAAATGCCTCAAAAAATGTTAAACTATAGATTCATTGATTTAATTTTAAAACTAAATCTTTTGTTTTTTGAAGGGTGCAATGGGCCAATAAAAGAGACAAACTTAAAGAAGACTACCGGTATTTGCCCCAAAGCCAGAGTGCAAGCGAAACTAAGAATCTCAACTCTTACATGGGCTACGCAATCGCCGCGACTGTCATTTCGGTGAGTCTCAAATCGTGAAAAGCCTTGTAAAAATCCGTGTTTAAACGCGATTTTTTTCAGTTGATAAAATTTACAGCCATATCTTTGCATCTGTCCTTGCTTGAAACATGTTCACATTAACAGGTCATCGTCCTGCTGTTGATTCTGGGCCTGCGTTCGAGGTTAAGGCTGGTGGTGCAGCTTTTCAAAGAGGCGGGCAGGGCAATTACGGACATGCCGTCGCTGCTAATACTGCCGTGGCTGGTCAGAAATAAAAACGAGAAAAGTCATAAAAGAAAAGAATAATACTGATTTTTACTATATTTTCCACAGACTTTCATTTGCGTGGGGATCGCTATAGTTGTTTGGTTCTTTTTGGCACTTTTGATCGAAAGCTCTGGAATGCTCACCAGCGAGAACAACGTTAATTTCAATTACAAAAAGGACGGAGCAATGATGGTATTAAAATCTTTTTAAGTACTCGATCATTAAAATTAATATATCTTTTATTTCTTTTGGAAAAACATTAATTTTTTAATTGAATTTAACACAACTTTGAATAAATTTAAAATTAAATTTTAATTTTTTAAGGTTACTCGCTGGTATAATCTTCTGGCAATGTTTTGGGTGACGCAATTTTTCATCGCTTGTCAACACATGGTTGTGGCTGGAGCCGTTGCTTTTTGGTATTTTTCCAGGTAATTCCTATTTGTTTTAATTAAATCAAAATTAAATTTCAAATAATATCTTTTAAGGAGGAAATCTGCACTGAACAGTCCGGTGGCGAAAAGCATGTCCAGAACGGTCCGCTATCATCTCGGCTCGGTGGTTTTTGGCTCTTTATTGGTGGCGATCGTGCAGTTCGCCAGGGTGATTTTGCAATCGGTTTACAACACGCTCAAAACCGGCGAGGATAGCACAATAAAAACCAACTTGGCTAAAGTTTGCGGCTGTTGTTTGGCGTTGTTTGAAAAGTTCCTCTCCTACATCAACAGAAATGCCTACATTGAAATAGGTAAAATTAAAATTTTAATGATTTTATGATTGTAATAAAATTTATTAAAAAATTGTCTATAGAAAGTTATAAATTCAAAAGACTACAAGAAGTTTTACATTTATTTTTATTTTATTTAAGAATTAATATATTTTTCAATTTCCAATTTTAAAATAATTCATAGTTTTATATTATCTTTGAAATTCTTCTAAATTCCAGCTTTGAAGTCGACAAACTTTTTGGAGTCGAGTAAAAGGGCGATTTCTGTGATCGGCAGCAACGCGTTGAGGGTTGCGGCGATCAATTCCGTAGGGGATTTTGTTCTCTTCTTGGGAAAAGTGAGTTTCTATTTTGAAAATCGGCTCATTTACTTTAATTTCTCGTTTTGGAACAGATCGCAGTGGTGCTGAGCACCATGTTGGTCGGAATCGCGATGATCCAGAACAAAGAAGGAGTGCAGCATGTCTGGGTGCCCATTACTCTGGCCTCGATCTTCGCCTACTTGGTGGCGCACTCTTTCATGACCATCTACGAGGTATGTATTGTGCTCCCCTTTTGTAATCGTTCGGCCCCTTCAAAAGTAGGTCCTCTCACAGAGCAAGCTCGTGAGCACGATTATCTTGATCGTTCGTTATTCGATATTTGACCAACAAAAATAGTTCTTTGTTTTTGAAGATGATGATTAGTTATCAAAGGAATTAAATGAATGCAGCAGTTTAATTGCAAAATTATTTTAAAAATTTAGCTTCTATTACTAGAATAATTTGAGAACATTTAATAATTATAAAATTCTCAAAAAAATTTATTTTTCCACAATTATTCCATTGTCATTTTAAATAAATCTTCGGTGAAATAATTTTTATACTAAATTATAATTAACTTTCTTTTATCTTGGTAGAAGTTCAAACATGAGTGTAATTTTATAATTTCAGATGGCTATCGACACGATATTCATTTGCTTCTGCGAGGACTGTGAGATGAACGACGGCGTGGCAAAGCCTTACTTCATGAGCAGGGCTCTCATGGTACATATTAATAATAAATTGCCGTGAATTTATCACGGTTGTAGATAGATGGCTTTTGATGTGATTTGGTTTTTTTTTAGAAAATTTTCCATCTTCTGCTTTGGTCTAGCGCTAAAATTAAAGCTAGAAAAGCAGAATTTCATTGGCGCTTTTTGTAATTTTATTAAATCACCATTAGAAAGTAATTTGGTGTAATTTCTGATTGTTTTTATTCTTCCATCTTCTTTCCGTTTGGTGCTTTTAAAATTAAATCACGCAAATTTCAGTCTGTTTATTTATAGTTGTGTTTTGCCACTTTTTGTAGAGTTCATTGTGCAAAATTTAGGAACTACCACTTGGTGACAAAATAATGCCCATGTAGGAGTTCGTGGACGAGAGCGACCCGAACCGGGCGACCAGACCTTCTTCCGCCAAGACCGAGATCGAGTGAGCAGCGAGAAAAATCATCATTTTTTGTAATTTTATTTGCAGACGAGCGTTCAAAACGTTAAAAAAAAAACGCCTGGGAGTTTAAAATAACGGGCACATGGAGAATTGTCTCGAGTTTTTCCCCAAAAAACCAGAAGTCCGAAAAGAGTACAACGATTTTTTAAATGTGAACGCTTCTTTTTGTACTCGACGCTAATTTAGAAAATTAATGTCGTATTTCATGAGTGTTGCGTGTCTCGATTTAGTAAATGAATTTAATAATTTTAAACTTACTAATTTCATAATCTTAAATCTTAACAAAATCAAATCATTTCAATTTATTTATTTTTATAGTTTAAAACGTTTAAAATTTATTAGAAAAGGTTTTTTAAATGATGTATTTCTAATAATTAATTTGAAAGTAGCAATAAAATGTGCATATTTAAAAAACGTAGATATATGTTAGAATATTAGGGTGGTGTTCAAAATTGCTTAAAAAGGGGGTCCAAAAACATTCTGTCTATTCAAGCGTTGTGACGTGTTTATTCTTATTGTGTTTATTACATAAATGAAAAATGGTGACATCTAATAAATAAATAAATAAAATTAATATCGATTAATTTTGATATAAGATATCACTTCTAGTTTTAATTTCTACACAAAATATTTTATAATATTCCGCTGCTAAATTCAGTTTTCTATTTTTAAATATTTTAAAAGCTTTTAAATCAATTTGTTTTCTGTTAATGATCAAGCGTAAATATCGATCTGTTTATTTTATAAAAGCAAAGGCTTTTATGTCCTTCAGGACAAGATTTATAAAAAGGAATTGCAGCTCTTTTTTTATTATCAGAAATAGGTAGAACGACAAGTCGCGACAAATCATTTATCATTTCGATTCTCACGCCTTTTCCATTCACTTCACAACAGTGCCTTTTTTTGTAACAAAATGTCTTTTGTATATCGAAACTTTGCCAAAAATGGGTCAAAGCGTTTGAATTATTAATCCCGGGAGCAAAATGCTTAAAAACGCAGGGATTGTGCCGCTGCCCCTGCGTGTTAATGAGTATGCAACCGGCGCGTAATTGAAAAAACGGACACATCCGGGAAAAATCGACTGTCCTTTCAGGGGTGGGGGTAACAAGATAGTTTAGAGGGTTGAAACGGAAGTTTGCGTTGTCAGTTCTGCATGTCTCTTCATGCGGGAAAGGACGCAAATCGGGTTTTCATCAGAAGCTCACCCATTTTCCAAACCAGGATGGGCGCCTTCGCCTCAAAGAGAAAGGACAAGGTTGAGCCGGAACCACCTCCAGTCGAAGATAAAGAAAAGCCGGTAAGTTTTCTTTTAATTTAATACTAAAATTTTAATTCCACAATTTAATACTGTTTAATTTTAACAAATTTTTTCAATATTTTATTTCCTAGATTAAGATTGTTGCACGCCTTTGGCGTTTTATTAATAAATTTTTCAATTTAATTTTCTAAATTTAATGTTTGTTTTTAGAAGGAGATTGAGATTAGTGAGACGCCTTTTCCCAAGAAACGTGTTTGCACAGATGTCATTTGTCTTATGTTTCTTGCAATCTTCACCGTTGTTTTGGTAAGAAATTTTTTTTATATATAATGCTTTTCAATCTAAAAAAAAAAATTCAGATTGGACTTCTTGTCTATTGCTTTAAATACGGAGACATCAATCGGATTGTCAATGGTTACGACAGATGTGGAAATGTGTGCGGACAAGTGACGGAGAGAATAGGAATCGCTCCCGAGGACCCGAAATATACTTGTTTGGGCGCCGACATGACAAAGAAAAAGTAATAAATTGCAATCTTTGACCATTTATTTGATTAATTATTATTTTTTTTTAATTTTTCTAGATATCTTTTGGTCACCGGAGCCGGTTTGAGACAAACTAACGAATTCAACGTGAACAGAGAATGCGTCAATTCTTGCCAGTACTACCCAGGATAGTAAGTAAAAATTGTATATTCGGTCCTGGGCCTTGAACCCGGATGTTGTAACTTGTAAGCGAAAGTTCTTGATTTACAACATAATTGAAATACTAAGTTTTGAGCTGCTAAATTTGTCCGGTGATTAAACGTGGAAAAAGCTTTTAACGGCGGCGCAACTAGGAAGTGCACGCCGCGGTTTTTGGTAAATTATTTCGTGGCCTTTTGTGAAAAAGTCGATCGCACACACAAAGCAGTGGCGCCAGATAGACATCAATCGCTGCAGATGCTAATCAGACAGTGGCACGCAACAGATTCGTTCGGAACACGCTTTGCACTCATATTTACCACACATTACGAGAAATTTCACAGTTCGTTCACCCCAGAATTTCCTATTAATATCGATTAAAAATTTCCCAAATAAAATACTCACTAAAAAAAAATTGGAAATGGAACGGTTTTACGAGCAAAAAATTTATATTTTTGAATTTTAAATTAAAACAGAAATAATTTTATTATAAAAATTCTATCATTAAATTTTCTAAAATGACTATTAAAAGAAGTAAAAAAAAAAAATTAATAAGCTTATTTTTTTATTGTGCATATTCATAATTTTTTCCATGAATTTCTTATTTAATGATAAAACAAATTAAATGTCTAAAAATTATGTTAACAGTCGACAGTTTCTGAATCGGTGCATCCCCATCAAAGACGCGCAGAGAGAAAGCCAGCGGCAGTACAGCCAAGGGTCGTATTCGTCTCGAATAGGCTCCGCTTCGGGCGCCTCCAGCAACTGGGCCTTCAACCCTGGCAGCCCTCACGGACTGACCAGGCAACAACAAGTTCTGCGCCAACAACAACTGCAGTCGGCCAAAAGCCAGAACAACATCATCCGAGCCCAGCTTCCCAAGCCCGAGCTGATTCTGGTCAAGAATTATGCCAAGCAGCAAATTCTGGTGCCTCTGCCCGACGGCCGGATCAAGAGGAGCTCCGTCTTGGGCCGAAAACTCCTCCAGTACAGAGGTCAACGACCTCTCGACCCGGCCGAGCGGATCAACGTGTACTTTTCGAAAACTGGCATCCAAAATTTCTTTCAGGTTTGTACAAGAAACTTGAAACAAATCACAATTTGGAGGAAGGTAGACAAATCTGTGTGCTTGCGTGACGAGCAGGTTGCCTAACTGCCAAATTGAGGCAGCCCATATTAAATTTTTTTAGATTTATTTCAACTTGGGAAAAATCGGTGATTTTATTTTATATTTCAAATCAATATTTTTTATTTTTAAAACTGTCTTTAAAAATAATATTTTTCTGAAAATAAAAGTTTCATGCATTTATTTTGAAATGGATTAAAATTAGAAAATATCTCAAAATTAGAGTTATTCAAATATGCAAAACAATTGGCGGTTTTTTCATAAAATAGTTGATTTTAAATTATTCTAGAACATAAATTAAAACTTTAATACGGTAAATTTTGACTTAATTAATTTATTTGTTTTACTTTATTTCTGACTAAAAGGTTAGAAAGTAAATCAAATATTCTGTTCATGGTTAAATTAACTTTAAAAATAACCTAATGACGCTTTAATCTTTTAAAACTTTCAGGAAGTTGCCGAGGACCTTCAAATGTGCTGGAGAGAAATGTTGGCATTATTCTTTGTCGCTTTAGGTCTGTTTGTTTTTCAACAAACCATGCAATCAAATCATTTTGATTAATTTACAGGATTTGCTTTGGTCATGATGCTTTTATTGATTGTCGCAGTAAAAGTTGTCGTGGTCATGTCCCTCGTAGCTGCGATCGTCGTTTGCACCGTGGCCACAGCTTATCTATGGTTTGTTTTCAATTATTTATTCTTAAATTAAATTTTAAATACTTTTGTTTTAGGGCGCAGTGGGCTTACGAGAAAGATAAACTGACCGAGACATACAAGTACTACCCGAATTCAATGAGCCAGGTGGAGATGACGAATGTCAACTCTTACATGGGCTACGCCATTGCCGCAAGCGTCGTCAGCGTAAGTGTAGTAATTTTTTCATTGACTTTCTATTTTGAATAAATTTTTTTTTATAAAAAGGGAATTTTGTTTCTGGTGCTGCTCGTCACAAGGAAAAGAATTGGACTGGTCATTAGACTATTCGAAGAGGCAGGAAAAGCGGTTTCCCAAATGCCAACTTTGCTCATTTTGCCGTGGATTGTAATTTTTTATATTCTATTCTGTCAGTTTTTCTCTTTAATTTTAATTGTTTTTAAAGACCTTTGCCATTATTGGTGTTTTGATCGGTGGTTGGTTCTACTTGGCCCTTTGGATCGAAAGCTCTGGCCGATTGACCAGCGAAAACAACGTCAACTTCATCTACGAGAAAGACGGACCCGTGGTGGTGCGAAAATAGATTTTTAAATTGAAATGGCATTGAAAGTTTGTTTAGGTTGCAAGATGGTGGAATTTGCTGGCCCTTTTCTGGCTTGTTCAATTTGTGATGGCCTGTCAGCATTTGACTGTGGCAGGGGCGGTTGGCAACTGGTACTTCACTAGGTATAAATGCAATTTTTTTTTAATTAATTGTTTTTAAGATCGGCCAGAATTAAATAGAAAAAACTAGTAAAATTTTATTTTATTCAAAATAAATTTGATGTATTGAAAACTTACAAATATATTAATGAAATTTTTGAACAATTTTAAATATTTATTTTAATTATTGAAATTTTTGAATTTTAGGAAAAAGGAAAGCCTGAAACATCCGGTGGACAGGAGCATAGCACGGACCGTGAGTTACCATCTGGGCTCAGCAGCTTTTGGCGCAGCCCTAGTGGGAATTTTCCAGTTCGTCCGAGCCGTTTGGCAAGAATTTTTCCGGCTGATGAAGCCGACCGCGGCCGAGCAACTCACCCTGACCGAGGGTGCGCAGGTGTCGCCGCCGGTGGAGCAGGCGGCGTCCACCAAACTCATCAACTGCCTGATGTACCCCTTCACCAAATTCCTCGCGTTCATCAACAGAAACGCGTACATCGAAGTTGGTGAGAGAAAATTTAAGCTCTAAAAAAATCACTTAAATTTGTCACAATTTCGGAAGTTTCCGAAAAGTTTGAAACAAATTATCACCGAAATATTTACAATAAATTATATTAAATTTAATTAAAATTATTGTTGTAAATTTACAGTGATAATTCAAGGGTGTTTAATGGCAATTTTAATTTTTAATCTATTAAATATTTTTCAGCACTAAGAGGCTGCAATTTCATCGAAGGTGGCAGAAGGGCGATCAAAATGATTGTCAAGCACGCTTTGAGCATTGCTGCTATAAATTCTGTGGGCGATTTTGTGCTTTTCCTGGCTAAGGTAAGTTTAAAATTGATAAAATTAATTTATTTAATAAAATAATTTTCCTGAAAAAGATCGCCGTGATGTTGAGCACAATGCTTGTGGCCATCGCCATGATCCAAAACAAGGAAGGAGTGTTAAATATGTGGGTACCGATCACCCTGGCTTCCCTTTTTGGCTACATAGTCGCCCACATTTTTTTAACAGTCTATGAGGTAAAAATATTATATTTCCCAAGTTTAATCGCCTTTATTTAATTGATTTTAAATTAAATACAGATGACGATAGATACAATTTTTATTTGCTTCTGCGAGGACTGCGAAATGAACGACAACGTCGACAGGCCATTTTTCATGAGTGAAGGACTCATGGCAAGACAAATTTCATTTTTTCAGAGTGATGTTTGCAGTGAAATGAAATTTTGAATTTTTTTGCTATAATTTGAAATGATGATTTTGATTGTGGTTTTTGGCATGTTCTTGCAATTTGAGGTTTTGAAAATTCACCTTGAATTATTGTTTTAAACTCGATTTGTTTTCAGGAATTCATCGATGATTGTGACGCGCCAATGAGAGAGCGGTTGATGGTGAAAGATGGACAAGTTTTTACGATTGAATCGCCGAAAAAGTAACAAAAAGAGGAACATTTTTAAATTCAAGAGTTCAAATTTCCAGAGACAATATGCAGCAATTTATTTGCAATCTCAGGTTTGCCAAAAAAAAAATATAATAAGTTCATTCAGTTAAATGTAAATAAATTTAAATGGTACACACAATACTTTTGTAAAAAGCCATCTTTGCGAGCAATTTTATTACAGTCATCATAAATATATTTCTATTCAATAATGTGTGCTTTAGGTGTGGAAAATAATTAATTTTTGAAACCAGAATGAAACAAACAAACCTGATAAACGCTGAAATAATAAAATAAAATATTTCAATGCTACTTATGAATAAATATATTATATAAAAGTACCTGCTTCTTTTTGTTCAGACTTTAACCTCTAAAATTTTTTTAAATGACAAAATATCGTTGGTTAAGCGGAAACATTTTATTTTTATAAGCAGCCAAAAAAGCTACAAACACGTTCCCCCACTCCTATATCTGACCGTGTGTGTATGACTCCGACATCTGTCAATTACTCTTGAAAAGCTGGAGAAGCCACTCGTATTTTTCTGCAGTGCCATAAAACAATCACCAACAACCACCTCTTTTTGTATTTGTGTTCAACAAAAAAGTAAGTAAGATTGCATATAAATTTAAAAATTATATAATAATTAAATTTAAATCTGGATTTGCGTCACGCAAAATAAATTAAATAAATCTTAAAAAATTATAAACTTTTTTCTAAAATAGGATAAAATGAAAAAAAAAAACGGCGCAGAGGGTAAATTAAGAGAGCTAGCGCTAGGCTCCACGTTAGAAGTTGAAATAAAGTAAAATTTTTGCCTCAGTTTCTTGATTTTTAACAAACTCACGTGTATTTTTATTTCATACGAAGAAAAATTAAGAAATAATATTTTGTGTGATGCACATGAAACAATTGGAATAGTGGAAATCTGCTTTTTTCTCGCCTAGAGCGGTAGCCGAAAATCGTTAAAAAAATCCAAACAACATTTTACCTTTTTGATACAGATTATACCAGGAAACCAATTAGGCGTTCCAGGGTCAACTTGGAGCTGTCAGTAGGAAAGATCCATTCGAAAAACCATATTTGATCAAAAATTCGCGAAGAGAAATTAACGTTTTCGACCTGTTTTGAAATTGAACCGCAGTCAATTAGCAGAGTAGATGAACCACGAAGGAAAAGGTCGTCTTTCTTACATAAAGTTACAATAACATCTTTAATTTAAATTAACAAGTAAGAAACTAATTGTTTGCATTAAAAATACAGAACTTTTGAATTAGATAAGATCAAAGTGCTCCTAGTGTTTCCGGGATCAGAGACGAATTAATAATGTAATGACAGAGTGCAGGATTTAACCGCAACATTGAGAATCACCTTGAAACAAAACTCGCGATAAACGCGCTACTCGCGTGCCTTGACGGCAAAAAAAATAACGCCCTGCCAAACACTCCCGGCCTATTAATTGAAAAACCTGCTTTTGGTGGACTGAGATGGGATTTTTTGGTTTCGAGGAAATAGTAAACTCGGAAGATTCTGGCTGTTGCAAAGACGCACTCGTGCAGACAGGATCACCACCTTAAAGGTACACTCGGGCTATTTTGGTTTATAGATATTAATCTCGTGGTTGTTTTTCTATGCGTCAATTAGCAAGTCGGCGTTTGCTAAACGTCTGGCAAGAAGGGCTGATGAAGTTTTCATCTCCATTTAGCATCTGTTTGTAAAGGTCATTTTTAATCAAGACATTACGGAGTAGCTTTGATTGATCTTAAAAATATATTTCATGTAAAATAATCCTATCAAAATCCGTCAAAATCCTTTTATTTTTATTAAAAGGGTTAATTTTTAAGATATCCAGCTTTGATTTTGCAAAAGCCCGTCATTAAAATTGGGGAAATTCGGGGAAATTCCAAATAATTTTTGTGCAAATCAATCAAGTTTGATTTGATTTTTGGGTAAAATAGTAATTGAAAAATCCGCCTTTAAAATGAAAACTTTAAATGAAATGAATTAACCTCAATTTTGAGTACAGTAATTAAAATCATTTTGATATTCAGATGGTTGGTTTGAGCCTGAAGAGGTTTTTGCTGCTGGCCGTGAGCTGCGTCTTGGGCAGCGACGCGTTATTCTTCCGCGAGTTTTCTTCCACCCTGACGCAGTACGAGCGCCTCCTGCGCAACCCCGAGGGCCTGGCCTACGACGTGCCGACGAGTTCGTTGAGCGCCGAGTACGACTTCATCGTGGTGGGCGCCGGGTCGGCGGGCAGCGTCGTCGCCAACAGACTGACCGAGGTGCCCAACTGGCAGGTGCTGCTGCTGGAGGCGGGCAAGGACGAGGTCCTGCTCTCGGACATGCCCGTCTTCTCCGCCCACTTCCAGCTCACCGACTTCAACTGGGGCTACCGGACGCAGCCGCAGGACGGCGCGTGTCTCGGCTTCGTGGACCGGCGGTGCGCGTGGCCCCGGGGCAAGGGCATGGGCGGCAGCTCCATTTTGAACTACATGATCTACACCCGCGGCCACCCCAGGGACTACGACGGCTGGGAGCAAATGGGCAACCCGGGCTGGGGCTGGAAGGACGTCCTCAAGTACTTCCTCAAGTCGGAAAACGCCAAAGACGACTTGGCCAAGTCGCCTTTCCACTCCACCGGTGGCTACATGGACGTCGAGCGCCTCAGATTTCGGTAATTATAACATTTAAAAAAAATCTAATCAGACAATTTTTTAGGGTCAGGCAAAGACCAAAGCCTTGTCGGCCTGCACCCTTTATTCTTTTTTCCGTTCTACGTTTTTTTAAAATTCATCATTTTCACTGGCTTGAGATTGAATTTAAAATTTGATCAAATTTTATTATCATTCAGTAATTAATTATTATAAGCCAGGGTTTTCAGTTTTTTTTTCAATACAATTTTGTACGAGAAATAGTTCAAAAAATCTAATTGTCTTTACTTGGGGTTGATTTAGCTTAATTTAATGGACTAAAATTGGAAAAAAATTGCCATTTTCGGCGAAAATACTTTTGGATTGATGAAGATTTACCATAATTTGTTTAGGATTTTTTTATTTTTAAAATAGGCTTGATTAATCTACAGTTTTCAAGAGAGAAATTTACTTAAAAGTTTAAGTCATAAAAGCAAATAAAAACAATTTTCTATTTAGTGAATTTAATATAAAAATCACTTTACTTTTAGCCATCTCAATATTTATGCGTGCACGTGACTTTATTGAAAGCGGAAATTAACCAAGACCCTCACACAATATAAAATCTATCAATGTTTTATTTAAAAATTAGCTCGCCTTCCACTCAACCATGATTTTAGGGGTCTCTTCACTCAAAAAGTGAGAGTTGTCCGTGTAAAACCACCAGACAATGTCAACCTGCTCCGCAAAATTGCGCGCTCATTGTGCGTTGCTCGCCTTGAGCTCCCAGCACGATTTTGAACGAGGAAAACAAAAAGACAGATTTAGATTTGAGATTAAGGACACCTTATTGGATTAGTTAAATCAGGTCTTAACAACAATAGGACACATTTTTGGCGATCATTCGGAAAACGATTGTAAACTTAAACCACCATTGTTGCAAAGACAATATAATAAGGTTAGAAATATCCGTAATCAAATTAATTAACTGAACAAGGGTGCAGCTTAAGTTCTTAAATAATTAAGCTGTTTTTTTTTATTAAACAAAAATACGCAGAGAAGGTCTGGTTTATTATTATTCAGTGGCTTCTCGAAAGGTAAATCTTAATTTTTTCGTCTCCATTTTTTAATTTTTATACCAATTTTTTTCTTTTTTTTTTAAATTTTTAATAAAGTTTTTTCTGCAAATTAAACTAAAATCGCTGGAGCGTGAGAAAAATATTTTCTAAACGTTTCCTACAAACTCAGTCATTAATTTAAATTGAAAATATGTAGAAATTTTCATTAAATTTAAACAAACTTATTAAATTAAAAAAAAATAATAATAATAAATTTGAACGGTTATGAAATGAAAATTTTATTTTACCAATTGAAACAATTTACATTATCATCTCGTATTGGAATTACTTCTACAAAATAATTTTATAAAAAATATAGAAACGATCAAAATTAATTAAGCAGTTTTTTTTGCAGAAGCAAATGCGATAATTTTTCAATTTAGCTTAAATGAATTAAATTTCAGGACGCCCGTCGTGGACGCGTTCATCAAAGGCTCGAAGGAAATGGGCTACGAGCAAATCGACTACAACTCTGGCAACCTGAACGGATTCTCCAGGCTGCAGGTGAACCAACGCAAAGGTCGGCGGTGCAGCGCCAGCAAGGCGTTCATCCGGCCCATCCGCCACAGGCCGAACCTGCACGTGGCCAAAGAGGCGCAGGTCACGCGCGTCCTGATCAACCCCGAGACGAAGCGAGCCTTCGGGGTCGAGTTCTTCCGGCACAACCGCTGGCACGCGGTCAGGGCACGCAAGGAGGTCATCCTGTCGGCCGGGGCCATCGACACGCCCAAGCTGCTCATGCTCTCCGGGGTGGGCCCCGAAGGGCACCTGCGGGACCTCAACCTGCCGGTGGTGCGCGACTCGCCAGGGGTGGGGCAGAACCTGCAGGACCACGTGACCACGAGCGCCGTCCTCTTCACCATCAACGACACCGTCCTGCTCAAGGAGGACCGTCTGGCCCGGCTGGAACCTTTCGCCCAGTGGCTGACCCAGGGCCGAGGCCCCATCACCATCGCGGGCGGGGTCGAAGGCCTCGGCTACATCAGGACGCCGGTTGCCAAGACTGAGGAGGACTACCCTGACATCGAACTCATGTTCATCGCCGGTTCCCTGAACACGGACCCAGGCACGGTGGTTAGTAGAATTTTGAAAAAATTTTAGCTTGGCTAAGTCATCTATCGAAGGTACATTTTCCTAGGTTGCCCTTTCTATGTTAAAACGTACCATTGAAAGGTGGTGCATTTTATACTAAATAGATTTTTTTAAATTTTTCTACTAATTGCATAAACATGAGACTACCCCCTAACTAGTTTTTAAAAACCTTTACCAAATTTACTTAAATTATACATTAAATTGAAGGAGGTTGAAGGTTATTATTATTTTTGAAAAATAATTGTGGACGGCCCAATGAATAGAAGTTTCTATGCATCATATAAAAAATTGTTTATCTGCTTTTAAACAATCTAAAATGTTTCATTAAAGTAACAATTATGAGGTTTTTAACTCTCATTAAAATTCTCAATAATTTGTTTTGGTCTCATAATTGTGCAAAAAGTAGGAAAATAATAATAATAATAATAAAATAATGAAAATAGAAATAATATTTATAATATCTTGATGATAATAGTAATAATCATAATAATAAGACTGTTACACAGAAATTGATTGAACTGCAATGAATGACGAAAATTTTTATTCTGATTGATCTTGGACAGGTTCGGAGGAGCATGGGTGTGAGCGACGAGATTTTCGACACGGTTTTCAAGCCCATCGTGCCCGTGGACACGTGGAGCTTGTGGCCGATGCAGCTGCGGCCCAACAGCCGCGGCTGGGTCAAGCTGAAGAGCAAAAACCCGCTGGCGTGGCCGATCATGTCCGGCAACTACTTTGCAGACCCGCACGACCTGGACATCATCGTCGAGGGCATCAAGTTCGCCGTCCAGTTGAGCCGGACGGCCGCCCTGCAGAGGTTCAACAGCACCCTGCACGACATCCCCCTGCCAGGGTGCGTCGAGTTCGAGTTCAACTCGGACGAGTACTGGAGGTGCGCGGTGCGCCACCTGACCACGACCGTGTACCACCAGTGCGGCACCGCCAAAATGGGGCCGGACACTGACCCAGAGGCGGTCGTCGACCCTCAACTCAGGGTGCACGGAATCAAGGGGCTCAGGGTGGTGGACGCGTCAATCATTCCGCGCATTCCGGCGGCGCACACCAACGCCGTCTGCTTCATGATTGCCGAGAAGGCCAGCGACTTAATCAAAAGTGCTTACAGAAAATAGTATTTTTTTATAATCAAAATTTGCTTTAACAAAGTCCATAAAAAAATTTAATGTTGTATTTATTTATATTAAAATATAGCAATTTTAATTTCTCCAAGTTTGACTAGAAAAACTTGCAATAGCTATAAAATATGTATTAATTTTTTTTTTAAATACCGCAAACATAAATTAAAGACAAATGATGACAGAACCTTTGGTTAGAAACGCGAAAGTGACTCAAGAAAAGTGAACAAAGAAATCAGAAATTTAACCTTTAAAAAGGCTGAAGAGCAATTTTTAAAGTTGAAGACTCAGGAATTTAAGGCCTGCTTATTGACATCTACAACTCCTGTTTGCGGCAAATCGGCCCGAAATTTTTGGACCCAGATTTTTTTATAGATTCCTACCTATCAGTAGAGTTGATTGCACAAAGAAAAATGGGGGGTAGCGCCGATTATTCTTGAAATATGATTTTTTGAATTTTTACATTGCGTCTTATGGAAATTTTTGTTTTTGGTGATTAAAAAAAAACTGCCCGAAATTTTTTGCTCAAAATTTCACAAAATGATAAGCAAATGACCCTTAACAGATTAGCAGAAAAAAATTTGAGGGTTCATGGGGCAAAAAAATAACATTGGGCATATGTGCGATCAAAAAAAACCTCCTTGGTACTCTTAGCATTGCAATAAGGAGTCCTTAATGCGATAAACAGTGCGTTCAATTTCTGTTACAAAATGAACATGATTAAAATATAATTCATGGAATTGTATTGAAGGAGTTCCTTTTGCCGATTAATAAATCATTTTCTTCATAATACACGTATAAATTATTTAAATGATAAATAAATTTCACCTCCACCGTAAATAATATTAATCAGCAGTAATTACCAATCTGTTTTGTCGGTTCATCACGTCTCCGGCCGGCGAAAATTCATTGTTTTATGCGGTTTCACGTTTATTTGTTTACATTCAAGAGTTTGAGGCCCCGCCCACTTTTGTGGTTCGCCCGAAGGCCACCAGATGGCGCGAGCGCACTGCCGCATAAAAATAATTTTCCCTCCGCCAAAGTGATTTTCTGGAACGTCGAACGTCCATCGTCCATCTCCAGCCTCCAACCGACGACCGGCGTTTGCCATGTTCGTCGAGCGCAATTTTGATTGACTTTTATTTGTGTTAATTTTGCAGTGCGCTGAGACTGATCAAAACTTTTCAGCACCTTTTGTCCAGCGGCAAGAAACCTTGCTTCGGATTAAGGGTGAGAATCCGTTCATGTCGCTTAATTAGCCTCGGAAGGAGCCGCTCAAAAGTGTGGCCATTTTCAACGGACACGAAATTCCATTTCGCTCGAGATTTGTTGTTTTGACTTAAACGTTTTGAAGGGCAAATCACGTACGTTATAAAAATGCGTTTTTCGCCCTCGTAAGTTTGCTTTTTCAAGCTTCAAGTGTGCTTCTCATGATTTTGTGGGAAAGCTTTTGTTCTTTTGTGGCCTTGCAGGACTGTTCATGCATTAATGTAAACACAATTTTGGCGGTATGAGCCGCAACAGGCCACCAATCCGAGCGCATTTTTTTATCTATCATAATTTTTAGTAATTAACTTGGTTTTCCTTTCTTTAATTCCACAGCTTGCTTTCTTTTCTAACAAAATGAGCGACAGCGAAAACGAGAGGCCGAGGCCACCCAAAAAGGGTGGCAAACAGGCCATCGAGGACATTTACCAGAAGAAAACGCAGTTGGAGCACATTTTGCTGCGACCCGACACTTATATTGGTATGAAACTCTTTCCATTCTAATAGTCTGAATCTATAAATTTTCTTCTAAAGGTTCCGTGGAGCCCGTGACAGAGAACATGTGGGTGTACGACACCTTGGACGCGAAGATGACGCAGAGGAACATCACCTACGTGCCCGGCCTGTACAAGATTTTTGACGAGATCCTGGTCAACGCGGCCGACAACAAGCAGCGGGACAAGAAAATGGACTGCATCAAAATCAACATCAACCCCGATGACAACGAGATCAGCATCTGGAACAACGGCAAGGGCATCCCAGTTGAAATGCACAAGACGGAGAAAATGTATGTGCCGACCATGATATTCGGACACTTGCTCACTTCGTCCAACTACAATGACGAGGAGGAAAAAGTCACCGGTGGCCGTAACGGTTACGGTGCCAAATTGTGCAACATCTTCAGCAACAAGTTTACGCTTGAGACGTCTTGCAAGGAGAGCAGGAAGAAATTTAAGCAGGTTTGTCACTCAATAATTTCTCATTGAATAATTTCTAAAATAAGAAATTTCCAGACGTGGGTTGAAAATATGGCCAAAGTTGGAAATCCCAAGATTGCAGAATCTTCCAGTGATGATTTCACTAAGATTGTTTTCCAACCCGACCTCAAGAAGTTCAAGATGGATAAGCTAGACAGAGATATTGTGGACCTCATGTCGAGGAGGGCCTATGACGTTGCAGCTTCCACTGGCGGAGTGAAAGTCTACCTGAATGACAAGAGGATTCCTGTGAGTTTGAAATGAATTTTTACAACTGATCTGGTAACATTTGATTTATTTTCGCAGGTCAAGAACTTCAAGGATTATGTTGATCTGATGCTGAAGGGCCAGAATGATGAGATTGGAAACCCTGTCAAAGTTACTTACGAAAAGGTCAGCGACCGTTGGGAAGTCGCCTGCTGCATTTCGGACTCTGGTTTCCAGCAAATGTCATTTGTCAACAGCATCGCCACTACCAAGGGTGGAAGGCACGTCGACTACATCACTGACATGCTTGTGAAGCAGCTTGCCGAGGTCATCAAGAAGAAGAACAAGGGTGGGGTAGGTGTCAAGCCGTTCCAGATCAAGAACCACATGTGGGTGTTCATCAACTGCCTCATCGTAAATCCCACCTTCGACTCGCAAACAAAGGAAAACATGACTCTGCAGGCCAAGAACTTTGGCTCCAAGTGCCAGCTTTCCGACAAATTCGTCAATGCTGTAATTATTTCCTTTTAAATTTTTTTTCTCTTTTTATTTAATTTTCTCTTTTTCCGCAGGTAATAAAATCTGGAATTACTGAGGCTGTTATTTCGTGGGCCAAGTTCAAAGCTCAGAGCCAGCTTGAAAAAGTTGGTGGCAAAAAGAAAAACAAGATTAAGGGTAATTTCTAAATTTTTTTATTTGAATGAAATAAACACAATTAATGATAATGAAACAAAAAATCAGGTGTGCCAAAACTTGAGGATGCAAACGAAGCTGGGTCCAAAAACGCTCACAAGTGTACACTCATCCTGACGGAAGGAGACTCGGCCAAATCTTTGGCTGTGTCTGGCTTGGGAGTTGTCGGGCGAGATTTCTATGGAGTTTTCCCCTTGAGAGGTAAACTGTTGAATGTGCGAGAAGCCACACACAAACAGGCAAGTATTCATAAGATTTGATAAAAAAAAATGTTTATTTGATTTATTATTTGTGTAGATTCTGGAAAATGCCGAGATCAATAATGTGATCAAGATCCTTGGCTTGCAATACAAAAAGAAGTACAACAGCCCTGAGGACATGAAGACCCTTCGATATGGCAAACTCATGATTATGACTGATCAGGATCAGGTAATAAACAAAGGCGAGGCAATGTTTTTTGAATAATTTAACCGTCCGCGTATTAGGATGGCTCCCACATCAAAGGTCTACTCATCAACTTCATCCATCACAACTGGCCAGAGCTGTTGAGGCAAAACTTCCTTGAGGAGTTCATCACCCCCATCGTGAAAGCAAAGCACAAGACTTCAAATGAGGTTTGTTCCTTCTACTCCATTCCTGAATACGACGAGTGGCAAAAGACTGTTGACGTGAGCAGATACGACATCAAGTACTACAAAGGTTTTTGATCAGAATTTTTTAATTCGAGTTGCCAGTCTTTAATATTAAGCGTTATTCTAGGTTTGGGTACCTCCACTTCTAAGGAGGCAAAGGCATACTTTGAAGACATGGCCAGGCACAAGATCAAGTTCAAATATGGCGGAAATCAGGACGACAACAGTATAGCGATGGTGAATCTCTTGAAGAAATACTTTATTCTTGTGATTAATAAACATAATTTTGCTACAGGCATTCAGCAAAAAATTTGCTGACCAGCGCAAAGAGTGGCTCAACAACTGGATGGAGGAGAACAAACGGAGGCGAGAGATGGATTTGCCAGATGTCTATCTATACGAGAAAGATACCAAGGCTATCAACTTCAGCGATTTCGTCAACAAGGAATTGGTGCTCTTCTCCAATGCTGACAATGAACGATCCATTCCTAACATGATGGATGGCTTGAAACCTGGACAGAGAAAGGTAGAAGTGTTTCATTTTTTTTTATAAGAACAATTTAATGGAATGAAAATATTGTAGGTACTGTTCACCTGCTTGAAGAAAAACTACAAGAAGGAAATCAAGGTCGCGCAGTTGGCTGGTTCGGTTGCCGAGCTCTCGGCCTATCACCACGGTGAAGTGTCTCTCATGTCAACCATCATCAACTTGGCCCAAAACTATGTCGGCTCCAACAACATCAACCTCCTGATGCCCAATGGTCAGTTTGGTACCAGACTTCAGGGAGGCAAGGATGCCGCCAGCCCCCGTTACATCTTCACCATGCTCAACCCCATCACTAAGGTAAGAAAATAGATTTTAATTTGCGCCCAACTTAATTATTTACTTAAATTAAGGCTGCGTTCATTGCTCATGACACACCGCTGCTGACTGAGCAATTTGAAGACAATGACAAGATTGAACCCATGTGGTATTGTCCCATCATTCCAATGATTTTGGTCAATGGTGCTGACGGCATTGGCACCGGTTGGATGACCAAGATTCCTAACTACAACCCGAGGGAGATTATCGACAACATCAAGAAAATGATCCGAGGAGACAAGCCTTCGGTCATGGTAATTTTGAGCTTTTTTATAACTTGAGTTGCTCACATAGATTTTGCTCAGATCCCGTGGTACAAGAATTTCACGGGCCACATCGAGTCTGTTGGCCATCAGCGGTATGTTATCAATGGGGAAATTCGTGTAATTGACGAAACCACTGTTGAAATCACTGAACTGCCCATCGGAACCTGGACGCAGGTGTACAAGGAGTCGGTCTTGGAGCCGATGCTCCATGGCACTGAGAAAGAAAAGGAAAAGGAGAAGGCGACAAAGGGGAAAAAGAAGTCTGCCAATGATGACGATGCACCTGAGAAGCCAACTAAAGGAGGACCTGTCATCACGTCTGTTTTGTTCATTTAAAATGTTGATGTTAATTAATTTTCTTTGCCAAATTCAGAGACTTCAAAGAGTACAACACAGACACAACTGTAAGGTTTGTCGTCAGCATGCCTGAAAAGACTTTGGAGAAGCTGGAGCAAGAGGGCTTGCACAAGGCATTTAAGTTGCAAACGACAACTACAACTACGTCCATGGTAAATTGCTATTTCTTTTGATTTTTCACTAATAATGATAAAAAATTTAATTTCAAGATGGCTTTTGACGAGTTGGGTTGCATGACCAAGTTCAATCATGTCAATGAGATTCTGGAGCACTTTTTCAAAGTGCGGCTGGAACTGTACATCAAGAGGAAAGCATATCTGCTTGGAATGCTGCAAGCCGAAGCCAAGAAACTCTCCAACCAGGCTAGGTGAGGCAGTTGAAACGTCACAAACATAAGTTTGGTAATACATTTGCTAATTTCCAGGTTCATTGTGGAAAAATGTGCTGGAGACATCACAGTCGAGAACAAAAAGAGGGAGGCGTTGAAGAATGAGCTGCTGGCCCGAAAGTACGACTCTGATCCAGTGAAGGCTTGGAAGAAGGAAGTGGCCAAAGAAGAGGACGACGACGATGATGAAAAGGACAGGAAAATCAAGGATAATGACCGTAATGAAGAGGTCGAAGAGGGCAAGGACTTTGACTACATCTTGGGCATGAAGCTGTGGTCACTCACGGAGGAGAGAAAGAGGGCTCTCCTTGCTGACAGAGACAAGAAGTTGAAGGAAGTGAAAGATCTCGAGGCCAAATCACCAGAGCAGCTATGGCTTGATGACCTTGATAATCTTCTTGAAGTGGTACGTAATTTTATTTAAAAACAATTTTGGTTACTAATGTTTGGTTTACTTTTAAGATGGCCACTCAAGAAGCTAAGGAGGGTGATGACAAGAACTATGTCAAGAAAGCTGTCAAGGGTGGCCGAAAGGCATTGCTTGCTGCCGAGACCATGCCATCCCCTCAAGGAAGACGCATTGTGCCTCAAGTTGACACCGAGCTGCGAAAGAAAATAGAAAAGGCAGTGTCAATGAGAGAAAAGCAGGTTGCTAAGAAAGGCGTCAAGACTGAGGACATTGACGAGTTTGATGCTGAACTTGGTCTCAACAATAGTCTCTCGTTGCAAGCCGTCATTAAGAACTCTCCGCAGGAAGTGGAAAAGAAACTCAATGTCAAAAGAAAAGGTTAGGGAAAAATGAATGAGAGTTGAGGTTCAATTTTATTCTAACAACTTTTTGCAGAGATGAAGCAGACTAAGTTGAACTTCAAGTCAGCACCCAAAAAGGCAGCTAACAAGGAGTTTGACTCGACTGGGTCTGAGGATAATGGAGTTGATTCCGATAGTTTCGACGCAGTGCTGAACAGTTCTACTGAGCGCGCCAGGGAGGCTCCCAAAAGGGCAGCTGGTAATTTATCCTACAAGATTATTAAGTATGTAATTAAACTCAAATTTATTTTAGCTGCCAAGGCCAAGTTCAACTTTGATAAGGAAGACAGTGACGAAGAAATGAAATCAGATTCTGACTTTGAAGTGAACCATCAGTTGGGGGATGATGCAGCGTAAGTAGAAAGAACAGCCCCAGAGATTTAAATAGGTATTAATCAGTGAAATGTTGCTTTTAGGCCCACAAAACACGCCATTAATGTGAGTTCGGATGATTCTGACTTTGGCGTTTCCAAGAAGAAGGCAAAAATCTCAGCAGGTGAGATAATTTAATGAACATTTTGAATGGCGTTTTGAATGTAAAAATTTCAGACTTGGAGTCGTCCGATGCCTTGTTTGACAAGTTGATAGGAACTTCCAGTCCTGAAAAAGAGATCAGGTCGTCTCCATCGCCACCTCCCAAAAAGGCTGAGCCCAAGAAAGCTCCTCCCAAGAAGAAGATCGTCAGGCTTGATGATTCAGACTCTGATTTTGACATGGGTGACGAAAAGCCTGCAAAGAAGAAGCCGGCGCCTAAAAAGAAGGCACCCTCAGACTCTGAAGAGGAAAAGCCAAAAAAGAAAAAGGCACCTCCTAAGAAGAAGAAGCAATTGGATTCTGGATCAGAATCTGAGGACGAAAAGCCTAAGAAGAAGGCTCCAGCTAAGAAAAAGGTGGCTCGATCTGATTCAGACTCTGATGACGTTTTTGCCTCAAAGGTGATTAAAAGATTTCACATTTTACTCGAATTACAGATTCATTTATATATATTTTCAATTTTACAGCCCAAGAAAGCAGGCAAGAAGAAGGCAAGCAGCGGTGATGAGTCTGATCTGTCAATTGGTGAATTGGCTCCTAGAGAAAGGGCAGTGGTTGGTGGCAGGTCACGCAAACCTGTCTCGTACAAACTTGAATCCGACGATAATGATAGTGATTTTTAAGTGAAAATCCTCACTTCTCTGCATTTACATTAAGAAACTTATTGTATTTTAGTAGGTAATCATCGATGTTAAATTATTCTCTGTCAAATTTCAACAATTCTCATGTCGCAACTTCTCATTTGACCAGGATTTTAATAAAGAAATTCACTAAATATTTTACTTCTAATTTGTATTATAAAATCATACCAGAAAGAAATAAGTATAAAATTCATTTTGTTGTAAATTATTTTCCAAATAAACTTAAGAAACAGGTAAACTTGAAACTTGACTTGTTTGTATGAAACGATAATAGAAATTAAGATCTTAATTTAATAAAAAGGGGGCGTGTGATTTCAAATTAGTGAAGTTTCTAAAGGAGTAAAAGTATTAGTAAACAACTAAACAAAAACTTCAATAAAAGTCAGATATCTATACAGAAATATGCGTTATTTAATATAATAACAATTTAATTACATATATAGTCAATTTTATTCAATTTTAAGAGTTTGTGTACAAATATTTGAGCATTAACAGTAATCTTCAATCAACTCCTTTGCAACCAACCCACTTTTCTTGTTTTGGACTTTGAGCGAACGGACCAAACATGGATGCCTGTCACCACCGACATGGAGGCTCCTAGTCGGCCGAATTTCGACCAAACGCAGCTCGTGGGGCTAGCCAAGTAGCTCGAGGCAGGTTTGCAGCCGAATCGGCCACCGTGAGCAGACGATCGGCCTGCGCCAGAGCATGAGCGCCGCTTCGACTCGTTGCTTTTAGGCACCGAAACTCTTCTCGCACTCGCTTCTTTTCGACGTCCGCGGCCGACCGACGGTTTTCGACCACCACCATGGTCAAGGAGAAGCCCAACTCGACCAGGATCTACGACAAGGACGGCTTCCGCCGCCGGGCCGCCTGCATCTGCGTCAAAAGTCCCCAGGAGAACGAGGTGACCGTGGCCTTGAGCCTCTCTTTGATCTCTGGCCTCCGCAGAGGCGCTAATTTCCTCAGCATCCGAACAATAACCTCATTTTGCGTCAACAGGTGCTACTGGTGACCTCGTCGGCCCGTCCGGATCACTGGATAGTGCCTGGAGGAGGCGTGGAGCCCAACGAGGAGCCCCGAGTGGCTGCCGTCAGGGAGGTGCGTGAGGAGGCAGGAGTGGTCGGAGAACTCGGCCGGTGTCTGGGCATTTTCGAGGTGAGACTAGTTAGCAATTACACTGGTGTAATCCCCTCTTCAATTGAATCTCATTATATTCTAGTCGTGCAATGTGCAGAACGAGGAGAGGAAACATCGAACGGAAGTGTTCGTCATGACTGTGACTGAGGAACTATCAGAGTGGGAAGACTCAAAAAATATTGGTAGGAATTCACATCAGAGACCCCTTTGTGGATTTTTATTCAAGCAATTTTTAATAATTACTTATTTTTTTAATCATGCAAGCAAAAGGAAAAATCTATTAAAATTTCAAATTGCAATTATTATAAATTTTGTTTTACCTAAATTTTAGACCGGAAACGCAAGTGGTTTGCAATCGAGGATGCTTTGGAGCAGCTGAGTCGGCACAAGCCGGTGCAACTGCGGTACTTGCAATCGCTAATCAACTACAAGCACGACCCCAAGGTGACCTGAGGCGGGCCCAGACCGACCCTTGCTTCGTGTCTGCAGACTGTGTGAGTGGATGGCTCTGTGAATCTCTCTGTTTTCTCATTCCTGCTCCGGAGTGATGAACAGACGCCAGATCGATCGAGTTTTTCTTCTTCGGACTCCTCAACCAACTTGACTGCCCCTGTACAGAATTTCGGCCGGGTTAATTTTTTTTTTTTTAATTAAAGATGAGCAGAATTTTTTAACTTCATTTTACCAAAGCTTGTTTTACGCTTGATCTGAGATTTTGTTGACCAATAATTAATTGTTTGCTGTTGGGAATTATATTAATTTGGTTGATTGCGCAAACTCTGCTCTACAACGTGTAAGAAACCCTACCTGTAGGGCTGACTTTAGTTTGAAATTACTGCACAGAGACCTCTCGACTCATTCTTGAGCTTAATATTATGCAACTTTTGTAAACAGTGGAAATATATCAAGCTTGCTATTAAAATTTTAATTAAAAAATTAAAAAGTTATTCTTTTACGACTACTGTCGATGGCGGGAGATATCACAGTTGTCTTTTGATGTGTATGGTTGTTGTGAAAATTCATTAAACCTGGAAAAACTAGCCAAAGAAATCAAATTTTTTTTATTGTATTTCATCCTGTGTCTGTAAATGATTGGTAAATTGATAAATTCATAGCCATAGTCATTTTAATTAGCTGAGTAAACTTTAATTATTTGGTTATTTTCTTATTTAATTTATTTAATATGCTGAAATCCGGGCTTAACCTAAATTTTATTTTGAATTATATGCATAGGGGATGTATTATTGTAATCGTAATAATAGCGGCAATTTATTTGACATGATTCAAAATTTATAATTCAACTTCTGAATATTTACTAATTTTATTTAAAGGGGAGATTTTTTTAAATGATTGTATTTCAAGGCCATGCATAAAATTTATTTCAATAAAAGGCAACATATTACATATGCAAATAAATATTTTCTGCACTAGTTTGTTAAGGGCTTTGAAATAACAATCCATTTTGTTAAAAACAGTGAGATTAAATAATATGATATGAACAGCAGATGATCCATCAAATTGCTTCAAAATAAATGAAGCTTGAACAATAATTTCCAAAAATTATGTTTTACTCCGAATTTATAGAATAACAGATTGCTCGACTGCTATAAGTACACACGACTTTCTTGGTTATTGAAAAAGTATGAAACCTACAAATAGTTTCAAGTCTAGAGCAAACTTTGAATTACTTGCATCCAGCGTTATATATTACAAAATTTTGTTGCAACAATTTATAATTTAGCAAAGGTGCCACAATCTGGTAACATATTGCATCAGTTATTAAATACAAAACGCACCTTCTAATGCTATACAACAATGTTGCAGTTTTTAGAGTGAGTGTAGATATTGTAGATTAATAAGCAATAATTATTTTGAGCAGCACTATTTGCATTAAAACTTTCTACAAAAAGAGCATTAACTTGAGATTTTTCAGAGCTCATATAAATTTTAGTTGGCACAAGATGTGATAAATTAAATTTTCTGAAAAGATAATACCATTTTATTTGAGAATATTTCAGATTATTTAGTAAACAAATCACATCCCTCACAATTTAAAAAATTTCCATAAACTACAAAATAATAATAAAAAAACATACAGCTGCTTCACATCAAGAGATTTTTCTGGCAAGATCTAAATTAAGCGTCACAGGGAAGACGGGGCAAGATATAATATGTTTTGTTCCTCACTTGCAATTAAAGCTAAAAGTGTGAACTTTACTTCTAGTATAAGGTGTCATTGAGACTAGACAACATTACTCTTTTAGATGCCTATTACGAGTATAATATTTTAGTCAAATTATTAAATTTTAGTCGAGCAGGCTGACAGTTTGATCGGTGATTGGTGAGCTTGGTTGAGACTCTGCAGAGGTTGCCGAAGTCACTAGAACATTGAATAATTATATTTAATAATTTATTGTTTATTAAATTATTACTTCCGAGACTAATGGACAGAATTAACAAGAACCAAATTACCATAACCAAACCTACTGCCTACAACAAAAAATTTTACAAAAGCATGGAAATTATATAGCATTGAGATAGAAACTGAGAGGGCAATTTAAGGGAGAATAAAAATAATAATTGAGCTCAAAGTTACATAAAAAGACTTGAAAGGAGTGCATTTTAAAAGTGTAGCACAATAATTAAGCAGAATAAAACACTTTGAGATGAGAGAATTGTTAGAATAGAAACCTCCAAAATCGATAAGAAGTTCTTGTGATTTAACTGATTCGTCAGGCTACAGGATGAAGATGACGATTGGAAGGCATGAAAATGTTATGACAAAAATGATGAAAATCTTAAAATTTTACTTACGACGAATCTGTTGACCCTCGGTCTTTCTCTGGTAAGCACGCCTTGGTTGGTGGTCTGCTTGGTGTTCATGCTTTCAAACATAGCCCTCAAATTAGAGGTCGACTCCAGACTTTCCCTCTCATTGGAATCGTCTTTTTCATCATCATCCTCGTTCTCTTTGTTGGCCATTGTGCTCTCCCACTTTTCGAACTTGGCCCTCAATGCTTTGGCATGGGCTGCAGAACTGGCCTGTTATCAACAAAATTAATTTAGAATTAATCCAACAGAAAATGAATAATTTTCAAACCGATTTCAAAAAATCGTCTTCAATCTTGTCTGTTGCCCTCACAACCCCAGGAACTCTGTCCTCGTCGTCCTCTTCCTCTTCCTCTTCGTCTTCCTCCTCAGACTCTTCTTCCTCCGAATCCTCCGAGTCATTGCTAGGTCTGTAATCTGGCGGGGGAGTAAAGCACTTCAGAGGTTTCGGGCCAGCAGGAATGTTGTCTCTGCTGCCGTCCCTTTCCATCTGCCTGAAAAGGTTGAGCATCCGGCTTGCCGTTTGGCTCCGCACCAACTCCTCCTCCATGGGGCGCTCGTCGGCCCTCACAATTTCCTCATCCCTGTAAATGGGTCTGTCCGGAGAGTCCTCCTGTCAAAAGCAAACGAGTCAGTTTAGAGAATTAAAAAAGGCAAATTTAACATCACCTTGACCACACCATCTCTGGGAGGGGTAATTCTGAACACCTTTTTCGGTTTGTCTGGCTGATTCTGCTGATACTGTTCAAAGAACTTAAACCTTGACGAAATCGTTTCTGTCTGAACCTCAAAGTCTTCAATTTTGTCCGACGCCTTGACTACATCATCCTCATTTTCGACTATACTGTTTCTCACAAACTGAAAATAACCAGAGTTTAATATAAGGTATACGTGACAAAAATTTTAATTGTACCGTTATCTTTTTAGAAGGTGTTGTGGGTGTTCTCAGCTTTGGGGGAGGTTGCAAGGGTTGCTTTGAAGCAGAGTCCATTTCTAGGAAGAGAGACCGAGATTTCTTGGAGATTCCTAATGGAAAAATTGCCAAAATTATTTTTCACGTTATTAGAAAATGATGTCTTGCCAAATTCGACAGCTTCAAGATCATCATTTTTGTCCCTCTTTGCGCTGTCCTCGTCTTCCTCGTCATCATCAGCATTTGTGATTTCTCCTCTCTCGAACCTTTCTCGGAGAGCCCTGGCCTGAGCGTTGATGATTTCAAGCTCCTCAGCTGCTTTGCTTTTGGGTTTCTGACTCTCCGACTCCTGCACTGCCTGAGTGTACATCTCTTTGATTCGACCGCATTTTCCCTGATATTTGAAATTTTTAAATAAAAAACCTTCAATTAAGAATAAAATTCAAAAATCACCATGAGCAGTTTGGAGCGGAGCTTCTGCACTTCTTCCTTTCTTTGGGCTTTCTGTTCTTCGCGCCGCTCGTGTTGCGACTGCTCCCACATGTTCTTCATGTCGTCGTCCAACCGTTTGGTTACCAAGGGTACCACTTTCTTCTTCTTGCTCTTCTTGGGTTCAGTGGGCTCCGCATTCTCCTCGGCCTCCTCCTCAGATTCGTCATTCAGGTCGCCACCTTCAGACTCGGAATCTGAATCCTCGATGGGGATTCCGTTGAGAAAATCAGCGTCGTTGACTCCGACGTCCATTCCTTTTGACTGGAACCTTCAAATAAAGATTTATATTAAAAAAAATCACAATTTTAATTTATATTTAATTACTTTGCCAGTTTGCTGAGGATGCTGGGAGATCTCTTGACAAATACTTTATTTCCTGACGACTCCTCCTCTTCATCTTTGCCGTTGGTAGTGCTCTCGAAAACTTGGAACCGAGACTTGATGTTGATGCCCCCTAATTCGTCCAAGCCCAAGTCAGGCTTTTCGCTGGCTGTTTTTTCCAATCATGATAAATAAATAAAATAATAATTTGTTTATATTTATATTAAATACCTCTAACAACGTCAGGTGGCAGCTCTTCAGGAGTATTTTCACAAATGATCATTTTTGGCTTCAATCTGCGGACTGAAAATTTTCATAAGCAATTTTAACAATAAGATATGATTATGAAATATACAAGGATTGACTTCTTCCTCAATTTCAACTGTCTTTGGCTTGAAAAGCTCTCGAAGGTGGGGTTTGCAGTAGAGCTCTCCTTCGTGGCTGCCGTAAGTGTCAATTCTGAAATAAATTAAGTGAAAAATGAAATCAATTAAGTTAACCAACTAATCAAATTTACGTCTAAGAATAAAAAATGTGAAGATTTTAATAAGTTCTGTTCAAAAAAATTAGCGTAAAAAATCAAATATTTGAAAGTCTCTCAAGATTGGATTACAAACTAGCACAACTTTGCATCTACCATTTTGCTAAAATGATAAAATAACAGTGATTGAAAAAAAGTACTCTATTCTATGGGCCAATTAATCTTAAATTTAACAGTGCATATTCATTTCACATCCCAATCTTACAGCGTTAATAAATAAAATAAAATTAACACTTCTCAATAATTTAAAATTGTAAAAATTAAAAAATATGAAAATTCAGTTTTGCATAACACGGCCGGCTTTCATTTAAAAATTCAAATTTTCTTCTTCTGATCATCATTTTCACTTATTCCAACGATTTTGCACTTCTCAGGCGAGACTTACGACAATTGCTTGTTGCATTCTTTGCACCGAAAACAGGATTTGTGCCAAACGGCTCTCTCTGCTTTAATTTGCTCCATCTGGAACACCTGCGAGTTGCACTTGCGGCACAACTTGGAGCCGCTGCCATCGCTTTCCTGACGAAATAATAAATAATCGGAAATTTAAAATAATATAAAATTAAAGAAAAAAATTCCAATGAATTTGTAGTTTTTAGCGTGAATTCAAATTAAGAAAAACAAATAATAAGTACCTTGGAAAAAGTTCTGGCGGCCTCACTGGCATCGCTCGAGCGAACGTGAATTCGAGAGCTCGATTTCTCGATGGCGTCGAACTTGCTAAAGCTCGATTTCTGAATATACGAAAATGATTTAATTAGTTTTAATTCACTTTCGTCTGGTCGTTTTGTTATCTACGTTAGTACAGAACCAGTCTTGCTAAGTGAGTGTGCGTTGTTAGGACCGAAAACAAGCAGCTTCAGACACCTGAGGCAGGTTTGTTAGACTGAAAAACCTTCACCAAATATCTTAATTAAATCAAAATGTTAGTAGGTGAGAACAAATGTTTGCTTTCTTGGTGCGGTTTCATTAGGGTGGATTAATTTAATTGACTTTCTGGTATTTTTAAAATTAACTATTCACTCTTGTTTTTAAACACATTAGATAAATCGGCATTCCTCAGCTACGTACCACGGAAATGCTTTGCTTCTCGACTGTTTTCTTGGTTTTGGTTTTTTTGGTTTTTGTCTCGCCGGAGCTTTTGGACTTCTTGACCTTTTTCTTTGGCTTTTCCTCGGCAACTTGTTCGGAGGGATCCTCATTTTGGAGGTCGTCCGTCTAATGGACAATATCACCGTTTTTTTAAGAATAAAAAAAAAACGTTAAAAAAGTGTTAAAATTAATAGAAAAGTTAAAATTTTTGCAAGTTAATAAAACACACAAATTAGAGTGTTAATATGTCATTTCAGGATTTTAAAGTTCATATTGACTGTTATTTTTTTAACATCTTTTTAAATTTCTTGTTAAAATTAAAGTGTTTAATTTGAGATAACCAAAGTAAAATTAGTGGATATAATATTCCAATTTTTTTAATAATGATAAGATGAATACAACAATTAATTCCAATAATCATTGATCAAGGTTCAATTTTAATTAATAAATAAAATTAAATTACAATTTTCTAAAAAATTAGTAAAAAATTTCCCTAATTTACATTGCAATTTATCACCATAAATACTTATTGATTACTAAAAAAACTAAGCTTATTATTAAATATAATACAGTTTAAAACATCTTTAATTTAATTAATCTGTTGAGTGAAATTAAAATCATTAAAATTAAATGAATAAAACTAATAATTAATGTAATGAAAGTGATTATTACTACTGATTAATAATGTTTTTAATATCTTTGATTATTCCTTTCAGCCTACAAAAAGCAGCGTTATAATTTTTCATCTTTTTTTATTTGATAATTTTTTCTTTAAGAAAGTCACGAATTTGTTTAAAATAACTAATTTAGCGCAATTTTGATTGCCTATTGAAGCGGAACATAGGCAACTTTACACACATTTACGCCGTGCCGGTTGCATCCTTTGAATTTAAATGAAAACTACAATTAACAGATTTCTTCTTTCTCGTCGATCAAGATTAAACTGGAAACCTTTAATTTCACCATCTGTTTGTTAAAATTTTCCAATCCAGAGAAATCATTCTGTTGATCGCCAGAGAAAGCTTCAAAGGTTTCCCCCGAAATCAAAACAGGATTTATACCTTTGCTCCCAAACGCGCGCAACCCTTGTTACTTCAAAGTAATCCGATTTCAAATGAAACGCGACCAACCAAATGTTGATATGCGTGGAGTTTCTGTTTGATTCGACGCGAAAACAAGACAGCTGACGAGAGGCACCGGAAGCCCCTGAGGTGCCCCCGAGCAGACGACCAACGGGGTCGATACTTCTTTGCTCTTTCTGCTGGAAAATGTGCTTTGTCCTCTGTGACACCCTCACACGTAATAATTACTCTTGCAACAGACCTAATACGACACAGTTGGCAAATCAGCTGATACAAAATATAATCAATTTGAACCTTTTTTAAGATTTTGATTTTTTCTTTAGTAATTTTGTTGGGAGAAATTCGAATAAATGTTTCGTTTGTCTTTTCACGGTGTTAAATGTTAAATTACAACAGGGGAAAGGAAGAAAGTTGTGTTAAGGCAGGCAAATTACAGCGAGTTTATTAATTTGCAAAGGTGCACAGGAGAGGGGGGACGAGCCGAATCACACGGGTACAAATCAAATGTCAGCGATTGCACCCCTGGCTCTGAGAATAACGCTTGATCGCATGTGAATTATTTTATTGCACGCGTCCCAAGGAAACTAAAAGCTTGTGAACTACAATTTACGACAAAATTAAAAACAAAAAATTATACTCACAAATTCTGTGTCCATTTTGAAGGGTTATTTCAGCAAAAATAAGGACCTGAAACAGATTAAAAGAATTTTTTAAATGAAATTTTGTTTAATAAAATTTATTCATAAAAAGATAATTATTTAAAACACCGCATAAGAATTAAATCACGATAATTTATAATCTTAAATCAAAAATATCCTAAACAAAACTTTTTCAACAACAATTTTTGATGGAATTTTCATCAATCAAATTAAATTTAAACCAGGCTGATTAAAAATAAAAATCCCAAAGATTTTACTTAAATATTTATCTTTTTTCCCTTATCTTTATGATTGAAATAATTTCAGTTAAAAATTTTATTTTTATTTTAATTTTTGGCGATTATCTGAACAATTTGTTTCATTGATCCAAATTTGCGATTTTTTGCAAGGCGCGAAAACTCATCCTCATAACATTCTCTGTTTCCGTCAAGCATTTGCGTCAAGTCACCACTTTTTACTACCACGCCCGAATTTTTTGTCCCTTTCTCAAGTGCGTCGATCCATCTCTCGTTTTTAAAAGCAGCTCCGGGCGCTCTCGACGGAATAAAAAAAAATAAACTCTGAGATTAAAAGCGCAGCGACGTGTTGGCGCCGACAATCATCATTAATAATTATTTGATTAAGGAGACGCCGAGCTCTCGTCCGTGCAAAACCACCATAATAAAAAAAAATAATAATAATTGCATCAACGTTTAAACGACACACACGAGAGAGAGAGAGAGATGAGATGAGAGAGTGAGACCGAAAATAATTTACTGTGTGTGCTTCACGCTTGTTTGTTTTTCCACCGAGCACACAGCACACGTACAGCACAGGCGAGCGAGAGGCAAATGAACCCAAGTCGTCGTCGTATATTTTCACCCAAGCCAAGAGAACATGTTTTATAGCCTCCTCGGCTCGGAATTCCTTCTTCAACCCTTCCGTCCTCTCCCTGCTTTTTAATGTGTAAAACATTAGAATTTCGCAGAATATGACAATTTTCTGCAGACTGCGCTAGTATTGTACATTTGCATAAAACTGAACAAATTAATACCTATGTAGGGCCGGCCGGGTGATTGGTGTTATTTTTGAAGAAGAATGTTCTCCGAGAAGAGACACTCGCCTAATATGGAGATTCCGGCACGGCGATTTGGAAAGCTCCGTGGGTCGGTTCTTAAGTCCAGCAAAGTCGGCTGCTTCTCTTGAGGAACGCTCTAAACTGTCCTGAGTCGTGGATATTCCCGATTCTCGCCAAAACCGTGAATCATACTGAACAAAATAATACTCAAGACGAGAAGAAAAGAAACATGTGACAGCTGATGAGCACCAAAACCGCGCTAACCGGTTTCCAAGGTTCGGTTAACCGACCCTGTTTTCAGATTTTGAACCAAGAAACTCAACTCTTTGGACTGTTTTGGAGTTGGAGTTGAACAAGATTATTGTTTTTAAATTATTTCGTCTTTAAAGATACAGGATGACGTCAAAAAATTGTTCCGCTTTTGTAATAAACCGGTTTGTTTTTTCAAATGCAGCGAGCACCAATACTGAAAACTTCAGCCAATCACATTCCGGTACCGATGTGGTGCACGTTGCATACTTTAGTGGCGCGATTTCAACTCACCGCAGCACTCGAAAGCCGTGATTCTATTACCTGCGTGCACTGGAATTAAATTTTGGCCGAATTTTCAAGGAAAATTAGTCCAAACGATAGAAGCGCAGCCCCTGCGTTGTTAGGTGCGGTGTTTGCGTCGACGGTATTCAGAGAATTTTGGTGCGCATGGCTGTCGAGGAAGCAACGAATGGTGAATTTGTCTATTTTTAGCCTGGCAAAGCTCTTCTCTATTCTTGGCAGTGACCCAATGGGCAGGAAAGAACCAAGGCAGTCTGTCAGTGGGGCCTCTACCACTCAACAAAAGTGCCTCCTCGTTTGTGCTGCGATGAAAAGAGCACACGAGCGGACACATCATTTTTTCGCATCAGCCCAACCAATCGACGATTGGGAGTTGTTTTGACCCCCTTTAAATTGAAACACATTAAGTCCCAATAAGAAAGACGTTGATGCAATGAAAAGATTGAAAAAAATATTTTTTTAAAGGGATGCCCAATTTTAAATTAAACAATATTTTTAAAGCGCTGATTCGACTACTAGAGTTTTATTTTCAGGAATTTTTTCATGGAGCCTAATATAAGCACAACAGCTTTCCAATATTCTTTCTTTTTCTAAAAAAGTTCAGATTCTAAAATAAAAATGTACTAAAATAGTAGTAGATTGTTAAAATAGATAAGTTAATTTATATATAAAAAAAAAAACAATGCAGCATAATCACTAAAAATTCAGATTTAACAATTAATTTTCAAAATGCGGAGTTCCAGCTGTTTTGAAGAGCATATAAATATATATGTAAATTCTGATAAAATTACATAGGACATTTCAATAGTTAACAATTAAGCTAGTCAATATCCCTTTTGGCCGGCTGCTTGTTGCACGAGGTCAGTTCTAGCATGGCCATTAGCATTTCCAGATCTCTCTTCCGGTGCTTCTCAATGCAAGACAATGGCTTGGGGTCCAGGTCCGATACACCAATATTAAATACGAAGCTTTGCTGACTAATTGTTTCGTGAATGACATGGCGAGGAGGAAGAATATCAACCCTGAATTCAAATAAGTAAAATGTTATATTAAATAATTGTTAGTGAAATTTGTCACCTCTCTTGAGAAGTTTGCTGGAAGGATAGAAGTACGGAGCAGTCTTTGGCAGTGGCGGCCAGGAGGTAGCGCTGCACAGGGGTCAGGTATTCGTCGCCGTCTAGGAAGGGGAAAGCGTCATGGACTTTGAGGTCAACCTGACTCCGAGGAACTTCGAGCATCTGCACCGCAAGGATGCGGCCGAGGATGCAGTTTGGCGGAAGCGGCTGGCGATTCCAGTCACAGACCGGCTGCCACAGCGAGTTGACTTGCCGGCACAAGCTGTCCCTTGGCGAGCCGTTCGCTTCCCTCTTTTCTTCAGACAGAAGCGCACTTCGCAGCCGCTCCAGGGTGCTGCTGTCCGGTATCTCTCGACATAGGCTCTCTATCACGAGGTTGCAGAAAGTCTCCAGTAATCTATAGAAAAATTAAAATAGATTTTCAAATTGTATTGTTTAAAATATGAAAATTATTACACTTGATGTTCTGCTAATTTATTCTTAGGGCCGAACCAGCAGCGTAAAACGTCTAGCAAATTAGTCTTTTCTCCTTCTCCATATATTAAATATCCATCCTAAAAAGTAATCAAATAATTTATTTCGAATATCGGATAAATTTAAATTACCTTGAATATTTTTAAATTGTTTTGAGGGGAAACCAAGAGAGCTTGTATGGCATCTTTCATTCGTTGTTTATTGCTGAGGTGAATTTTTAGAATTAATTAAAAAAATAATTATTGATCACATACCCCGAGTACAAGTCCAAGGGGCAGTAGTCAGAGAGGCGAGATATGCTTTTGTTTTTCAGCTTCAAGTACTGTTTCATGCAGTAGGTGCACTTTGGCATTATCCGGTCCTCGGGATGGATCCAGCCCTGCTTCGGCTTTATCTCGACGCAGAACGTGGACGTCCCCCCTACTTGATCCGTCAGACTCTCGGGAAGAAGGGTGTAGTCAGGGTAAACGGCCACCAGGTCGGCAGCGCAGAAAACATCCTTGTGATTTCTGTGAGCTAAAATAAAAATTACAATTTATTTAAAATTAAATTTTGAGGAGTAAAATTACCAGGTCTTTGGTTCTGAAGGATTTGGCTGATTTTCTGCACTTGTTCTTTGTCCAGTCTGTAGACGACCGACTGCTTTAGGAAACAGGAACCGAGCAGGGGAATCATTACTTTGTGGTAAAACGCCACCTCTTGTCTCAGGCGCTGCGCCTCCGAGTATCTGTCGGCCTCCGAGTGCCGCACCAGTTTGCACTTGTCGACCTTTCGCAATCGAACTATGCATCTCTCCTGTAATTACATTTAAAATTTATGAGTCATTGAATTATTTGCCAGAAACAAAACACTGCGTAGGCGATTTATAATTTAATATAAACAAAAAGTGAAAGTTTTGCAACAAAACTGGTTCAATTCCCTTCGCAGTCGTTTCAGCCTTTAAATTTATTATTTTAATTATAAGATTTTGTCAAAAATTAAGTATAATAATTTAAAATTTAAATTTAAATTTACACACATTTGGAAGGGCGATGACCAGGTTGGCGTTGCCTTCGCCTCGGTATTTCCATTTCACGTTGGAGAGATTGAGCCGCGGCACGGAGTTCTCGTTTTCGGCAGCTGCGACGCCATTCAACATGATTATTGAACCCTGCGAAGTGATTACACAACTGTCAATAAAATGAAACTATTGCAATAATAATCATTTGTCCGCCCCCGGGTGTGCCACCATGTGTATGTAGGATGTCGTGAGTCACCCGGCGGCGGCGGCGCCGACGAAAGAAAGAGAAACTCGCGCCAGACAGAAGCGACGTTCGGCGCTTCCGTCGGCCGAAATTTGGAAATTCCAGAGGTGGATTTTTTGAAATTCGATACTGATCGGCTCGGGTGAATATCAGGGTTGAAATCGGCCCGGGATCAGGGTTTGAAGGGCTCACCTCAGCTGCTCGACGTGCTCCGATCGTGAAGGGAGGTGCGCGGCGTGGTTGCTCAAGCAAGTTTGAAGAAGCTCTTTGGACCAGCCCCCTTGGCGCTGTCATATGACCAATGTAAACAAAACAAATCGGAGAGGATCAACTTCTTTTCCTGCCTGCGCTGGTACGTGTGATTTTTCCAAATTTCCAGCTTTTCCTTTGCTTGCACCGCAGAGTCTGTCTGGGAAGTGATGAGATCGAAACTTGATCCGTCCTTTTATCCGCTTTTATCGCTGTCAACTGTCGTCATTAAGCCCCACGTCGTGTGTGGTTCCTCGACCGCAGCCAGGGATTTTTAATGAAATTTTATTTTGATAAGAGGAAAATCTTGATTTGCGTCACAAGTTAATGAGGAAGTTTCTCTGGACGATTTCAAAAGGAAGAGATAAAAAATTAAGCAAATAATTTCCGCTCTAAATTATGAGTTTTTTTCTTTATTTAAATAAAACTCTCAGAATTTTTCAAACATTTATTAATTTTATTGAAACTAGCTGAAGGGAACACGTCGTTTTTATGTGTTGGATTTAATTATTAGTCGCAAACAGAAAACCGGTTAAAACTTCAAAAACGCTCTTTTTTTTCTTCTTCATTGAGATTTGGTTACATTTTTAGGTATTTTCTACGAATTCGATTTCAGCAACATTTTCTTAGACACAATCAATCGCACTTTCTTTTTTTCTTGGGAATATTTTCTGGAGGATCGCAGATTTATTGCAGGAAAGTGAACCTGGAATGTCCTGTTGTTTTTTTACTCTTCGACTAGCAAACAATGATCGAGTGGCACTACTTGAATGGAAATAATTGTACATTTCGTTTGAAGATAATAATCAAAGTGAGGGCTTTTGAGCCTTAAAAGTATATAAGTCATCAGCTTGGACCTCGATTCCACTGGGAATGCCAAAAATATTATGGACGTTGAGCAAACAAATGGAAACAAAACAGGAAAATCATTCTTGACCGAAAAAGATAACAATATCAAAAAGCTAGCTTAAATTTTTGGAAATATTTTTTTTAATAAAAACATAAAATATCCTTTAAAAATAGAGGCAAAATTCATTGTGGTTGTACAATCGAAAGATGTTTTTCTCCAAAATTGAACCCTGATTGTTTATGAGACTAAAACGGAGGCCGAAGATTAAAGTTCATAGAATTTATTTTGGCCAAGCAAGACAGATTGAGACACAAAATAATTATTTGACCATCAGAAACAATAATTACTAAATATAGTTTGATCTCTTTTAGTTCTTTGGTTATAATGTAAAAAAAATTGTTTTGTTTTTTTTTGCCCTATTTTAAAGGATTTTCTGTTTTAGGCGAGATGGCAGTGGTTAAGAATAAATTCAGTCGCTAGCTCTGTTTGACGATGGAAACGAAGAAGTTGCGAAAAGCAACAGGACATTCGGATTCGCTGACCAGGTTGTGGTTGGGGAAAATACTGGCGAACGGGTTTCTGACGGGCTGCTGGATGACGTGCAGACTGGTGCCGAGCAGTTCCCACACCCTTTGGACGTCGAGGTTGGCCTCTCGGCTGGTGTAGGCGGTCAGCAGCAGGGGCACCCCGGGCGACTTGCCCAGCATGGGCGCGATCGAGGGCCCCCAACTGTCGGCGCCGTTGAAGCCGGTGTTGCGGTACAGGCCGCAGTTGAAGGCGCACACGACGCTCGGCTTGATGTAGCATTTGCGGCAGTACTCGGCGTACGTGGTGCGCGCGTGGAACTCGAACACCAGCCGCCCATCGACGTGGACCTTTTCGTCCTGCACGCCGAGCTCGCAGCCGATGAAGACCAGGTGCAAGGTCTTGAGCTTGGGCAGCAGGTTGATGAAGAAGTACTTCCACTTCCGCATTTGGCTGCACTCGAAGGCGTCCTCGGCGCCGACCACGTGCACCACCAGGTGCTCAAAGTCCTTCGGGTTGGTGGCGCCCTGAGAATAAAGGAGCTGCAGGGCGTGCAGAAGGGTCAAAGGGTAGGTGGCCATTTCGGAGAGGTGAGCGTCGTACAGTTCTCGAGCCATTTCGGGTGGGCAGGGGAAGTCGAGTTCTTGAAGGTATTGCCTCATGTCGGTGCTCGTCTCAGGGTAGAGGACCTTTGGAGGTTTTGGAAGGTTGGACTTGGCCAGGTCGCTGAAGGCAGCCTGCGATTGGATGAAGAGGAGTCGGCAGTGCAGGGTTTCGCACCACGTCTTGTGGCCTGCTGGCAAGTGCTCAGGTTTGCAGAAGTTGACCTGGTGGCAGGTCGTGCAGGAGGTTTCAAAGGCCTGTTTGCAGCAGGTGGCGCAAACCCTGGGCTGCAAGATCAGGGCCGACTCGAGCGGAGAGAGGCCCCTTTGCAGGGTTTGCTGGCACAGCTGCAGCTCTTGCAGCCGGAAGACGTTTCTGTCCTCTGCAGAAGGTAACTCTTCCAAGGGTGAGAAAAGGAATGTCCGATTGGTCTGCTCGACGCGTTGTTTGATGAAGGTGCAAAACTCCTTGTGGTACGGCCAGTGCTCGAGTTGGTGCTCCTTGCTGCAGTAGCACGCCAGGAGGCAGCAGGTGCACGTCAGAAGGGTGCCGTCGTCGCTGGTCTTCTTGCAAACACAACAACAGTTGCTCAGGTGGTGCGCTACTAGTGCGGATTGCTCCAGGGTCAATGTTGGCTGCTGTCGGAAATCAAACGGAGTTTTTTTTTGGCCCAAATTATCGTTTTTTTCCGGCGCCTCGCCCTTGTTCTTGTTATTCTTCTTGTTCTTTTTCTTGCCGCCAGGTTCGCCACCTTCAGGGGCAGGGGCGGCTGCAGGGGCAGCTGGTTTCTCGGCCTTGGGTGGTTGAGGGGCGGGTTTTTCCTCAGCCTTTGGGGCCTCCTGCTTCGGGGCCTGCTGTTTTTGTTGCGGCTGAGGTTCCTTGGGCTTCTGCTGCGGCTGTTGTTGAGGTTGTTGCTTGGGCTGCTGGGGTTGTGGCTGCTGAGGGGCAGCAGTTTGGCCGGCGGCGGCGGCAACCAGTGCGGCCGCAGCGGCAGCATTCGCCTTCTTCTTCCTCCTCCTCCTCTTCTTCTTGGCCGCGCTGGATGAAGTGGTCGCGGGGGTACCTTCCTCAGGTCCTGATTCTTCAGAGACTTCCTCATCGTCCTTCTTAGTTTCAGCCGCAGGTTTGGCTGCCTTTTCCGCAGGTTTTGGCGCATTCTTTTTGGCATCTTGTTTAGCTGCAATTTAGAAATTGACCGAGTTTGTAATATATATTTTTTTTTTTTGCAAAAATTGAAGTCACCGAATATTTTGATGAAAAAATTAGCGTTTCTCATAGTTTCTTTTATTATATTAAAATAATAATTATTGACGGTAAAAAAGGTTTAAATTAAAAAATTGTAAAGTATTTTTACAATAAAATTTTTAATAATTTTTTTAAATTTAAAGAATAATTATTGATGCGAAAAAATCACAAAAAAATTAATATTGAAGATAAACAATATTTTAAAATAATAATCAAAAATAATTAATTTAAATTTAGACGTGACGTTACTCCAGCGCTATATGGAGCAAAGCAAAGCTTTTAGGTGAGGGCAAAATGTGGCAAACAGTTAGCAAGCTCATTTGTATGAGAATATTTTTAACATACCTATTATATTATTTACTTTTTACTTATTGCAGTTCAAAGCAATTAAAATTTCTAAAAATAATATGATGATTTGAATAATATTAATTTTTTTTAATTAACTATTTGGATCTGGCGATTGTTCGATATATTTTGATATTACTATTTATTTATTTATTATTATGAAAGATCTAGTAATCTTGTTTTTAAAACACAAGTTCAAGTTGTGTTTTTCATTTTTCACGACACAGTTCTTTCAGGGGGGCTTAAATTTGTGTTGCTTATGCTTACCCTTTGGTGTCTCCTCAGTCTTTGCCTTTTCCTGTTTCTCGTCACCAGGTTCGCTGATTGATTTCTTCTGTTCTTTTTTGTTTTTCTTTTGTTGTTGTTGTTGTTGTTGCTGCTGCTCGGGCTTTTTCTGCTGTTCTTGAGCGGTCTTGGCGGCTGGCTTTGGCTCTTCTGGCTTCTTTGGAGAATCAGGTTCGCTTACTGACTTCTTCTGCTCTTTCTTTTGTTTTGGTTCCTCGGCCTTCTTTGGAGCTTCTGCTTCGCTTACCGACTTCTTTTGTTCCTTTTTAGACTCGTTCTTTTTCTGTTGTTGTTGCTGCTGCTTAGGAGTTTCAGCCTTTTTCTCTTCCTTGGGAGGCTCTGGCTTCTTCTGTTCCTCCTTCTTGGGCTCAGGTTTTTGTTCCTCCTTCTTTGGCTCTGGCTTCTTTTCCTCCTTAGGTGCCTGTTTCTTTTCTTCCTTTTTGGGCTCCGGTTTCTTTTCCTCTTTCTTGGGCTCAGGTTTCTGTTCTTCCACTGGTTTCTTTTCCTGCTGCTTTTCTTCCTTCTTAGGCTCTGCCTTCTTTTCCTCTTTCTTTACTTCCTTCGGCTCCGGCTTTTTCTCCTCCTTCTTTGGCTCAGGTTTGGATTCCTCCACCTTAGCTGGCTCATTTAATTTTGTCTCCTTAGCAGGTTCAGCCTTTTTCTCTGGCTTGGATTCAGAAATTTTACGTTCCTTTTGTTGCTGCTTGTTCTCCCCCTTGGATTCAGAATCTTTCCTCTCCTTTTTGTTGCCCTTGGGCTCATTCTTCTGTTGGGGTGCGTCCTTTTTGACCTCCTGCTGTGTTTCTGAAACCTTTCGCTCCTTCTGTTGCTTTTCTGCTTTTGGTGAATCGGGCTTAGCTTCTGCTGGCTTTTCCGCAGGCTTAACCTCCTGCTTAGGTGGCTGAGGTTTTTCTTCCTTTTTAGGCTCTGGTAACTTTTCTGGTTTTGACTCGGACACCTTTCGCTCTTTTTGCTGTTGTTGACTCACCTCTGGAGCTTTGGCTTCTTTCGGAGACTTAGGCTGCTCTTGATTAGATTCTGAAGGTTTGCGCTCCTTTTGCGCCTTAGGAGACTCCTGCTTGGTCTCTGAGACCTTTCTCTCTTTCTGAGCCTTCGGAGACTCCTGTTTTGACTCTGAGACCTTTCGCTCTTTTTGAGCTTTTGGCGACTCTTGTTTAGACTCGGAGATCTTTCTCTCCTTTTGTTGCGGTTTCTCCTGCTGCTTAGGAGCATTTTTCTCTTTTGGCGATTCAGGTTTTGGTTGCTCTTTAGGAGGAGGTTGACTGACGATGGCTTCAAAAGTAACCGGCGCAGGTGCAGGAGGCGTACTTGGCTTTGGAGGAGTTGGTGGTTTTTCAAGCTTTATAGGTTCAGGTGCCTTGACTTCGGGCTTTTTTGGTTCAGGTGCCTTGACTTCGGGCTTTTTTGGTTCAGGTGCCTTTACCTCGGGCACTTTTGGTTCGGGTGCTTTTTCAACAGGTTTTGCTGCTATTTTCAAAGGAGGAGTGGGATCAATGAAGTCACCAAACAAAGGACAGAAGTCTCCTTCAGGTGTGGGAGTTCTCGACTCCTCCTTTGGCGGAGAAGGTTTCTTTGGCGCGGCAGCCTTTTTGGGCTCAGGTTTGACCTCGACCTTTTTCGGTTCGGGCTTTGGAGGTTCTGGCTTTTCCTCAACTTTGGGTGGCGCAGGTGCAACTACATTCTTTTCAACAGGAATGACTGGCTTCGGAGGAAGTTGTGGCTTTTGCTTGGGCTGCTCAGGCTTCAAGACGGCAGGTTCCGGCGACAATGGCAGAGCAGGAGTCTTTGGGGGAGTTGCAAGCGAAGGGGTGCTCGGAGGCGGCGAGACCGGCGAAGGGGTAGCCGGGGGTGGTGAAATCGGCGAAGGTGTGACTGGAGGTTGAGCAATTGGCGTGACTGGCGGCGAAGCGACCGGAGTGACCGGAATCGGCGTGGCTACTGGAGTGGCAGGAGGCGCAGGAACAGGCTGTGCAGGCTTCGGTGCCTCAGGTTGAGCTTGTTCAGGTGCAGGCGCGCCCGGGGCAGGCTGCCCTCCTTGTCCCTTCCCCTTTTTCTTTCCCATTTTATTACCTAGGAGAACAGCAGGTGCAAATTAGCTTCTTTTACTTGTGCTTCAACTTGAAAAGCAAGATTTGCGTCTTGAAATCTTGATTTCCCTTACCCAATGTGACGCAGTTCGGGCAGTAGTGGAAGAAATGCAGGCAGGACCTGCAATTAAAAATTCGGACTCATGTATTTGATTTTTGAATCACCGGAAATCTCTCATTTATAATTTTGCAGTTGCATTCCTTTGATAATGTTAATTATTTCTCTTAAAAAAGAGCAAAATGTAATTGTTAAAGGCAGAAAATAATAATGCGTCTAAATTTTTGAGCCGATTCCTAATGAAATTTAAAAGCGAAACGAGTTAAAAAAATTTAAATTGTTGTAAACGTGAAAATTTATTTAAGCCTTCAGTTCAATTGAGCAAGGCATTTTGTTTCAAAATTGATGAAGAAACAAGCCAAGGGGGCAAATTTGAAATTTTGAACACGTGATCTGTACTAGCTATTGAGAGTCAGTCGCCGCAGTTGTGCTATCGGGCAGCACGCACTGCGGGGTTGAAATCTATTTTAAAACGTTGTGTGTTTGCCAAATAAAAGTGAGACCCTGCCCGCTCTCTGTCTTGCTTTTCCCAATACTTCTAGTGCAATCCGGATTCCGAGCACGGGAGGTAAAAATTCTTATTTAAAGACACACGTTTTTTCTCTGCACGAGCAGAGAGGATATTCCGAAACTGAAAGAGCCGAAATCCACTTGAGACTGGCCTCTGCAAAGAAAGCGACCCGTAAATACCACCACAGGGTATTTTTAGACTCCACAGCAAAGATCACCAATTAAAGCCAGTGTTGAATGAGTATCGAATTGATGAGAAATTCCGTGTAGTATTAAATTAAATTGGCAAATTACGAAATACGAAGGTCCATTGAAAAAATATTAGCTTAACATAGACCTAATCTGATGAAATTCCTTACAAATAAATTGAAATTTTAAAATCAAAGATAAACTCTCACCTTAATCAGTTGATCAGGCGCTGCTGAAATTAAATTTCCATTCGCTCACAGACAGTTATGAGCAAATCGCGTTGTCTCTGTGAAGAATCTATCACAGCTCTGGTGCGGTGCTTCCTTCTTGCTGGGCGGTTAGATTGTTAAGAAGGAGATGCGAGAGAGAAACAACGGGTGAGCCGTGCCAAAAAGGTTCTCAGCCGACGAGCTAAAGATAACTACATACATAAAAGAGCCACAAAGCGCGTCTGCCGTGTCGTCGCGCTGCTCATTCAAAATACTTTCTCCGAGATGGCAGGCTCATTTTCATTTTGAACCCACCAGACTGAAAAATAATAAAGAATAATTAAGAGAATGAATTAAAAATTACGTGTTGCAGAGCGAAAATGTCGGAGCCGATTTACAGCGTCCCTATCGTGCACCAGGACCTGAGGCAGGAGGAGACCATCGTTCAAATCGCAGACAGTTTGAATTATCTCCAGAAATGTGCAAATGATATTTTGAGTAGAATTGACGCAAAACTGGAGGCGAGCGCGGAAAAGCTGCAAGCGATTCAAAAAAGGACTGCCAGGGCAAAGCAGGTCATTGATAAGCTCACCGGCATAAAAAAGGCGACAAAAGTAATATTTTATAATAAAAATTTTGCATTTTATTATATATTTAAATTAAGGTAATATCCAGCGCAAAATACCCAGCTAATGAGAAGTACTGCCCGTACACTTCTATTTTTTCACTTGAGGAAAAACTACCAATGGTCAGAAGCAGTGTTCCTATCATTTCAAAACATGCTCCCTTAACTGAAAAAAATATCCAGGTAAACGAAAGAATCTTACTTAAAAATAAATCATTATCTTTAATGTAACTATTTATTTTAGGAGAAAATGCAATTCTATCATGTGAAAAACTCGAATAGAATGTTGCGGAAAAACTTTGAAATAGCTTCGGAGGAAGGGCTTGGACGGCTCCCTCGCAACATCACCTCTGTCACTTCATTGCTCCTCTTCAACACAACAGAAAATCCGTAATTAACCAAAATGCATTTTTTTTTTGTTACACTTTAAATGAAAATTTACTTCAGATACAAGACCAACCTAGCAGACTGCTTTGGGCTGCACTACAAAATCAAACACGCAGTGCCTGAACCTCAGGAGGCCAAAACCAAACCAGCGGTGACACCCATCAAGAGTACAAACATTGAAACTGAAACGAAAATTGGTTACTACTCACCTGGGATGGCAGAGGTGCCTGAACTGGACATTCCAATGGACTTGCCTAATCTGCCAGGTAAATTTTTGTTTCTAAAGTTTCTAAAATATAAAAATCGTTTCTGCTTTTTCCAATATTTATTATAATTAATTTTTATTTAGCAAAAATATGAAATATAACTAAAAGTAATATTTAAAGAGAAATTCATTAATTATAAGAGATTTTTTATTATTTATAATACCAGTAAATTAATTGAAATATTTTATTCACAGGCATTGCTGACGATTTGGACTTTGAATTTCCCTCGACTCCTGCAATTCCTCCACCTCCGAATGTACCCAAACCAGCGCCAGTCAAAGCTCCAGTTGCAGTCGAATCTCCAGTCAAGGTGCCTGCAGCACCAGTGCCAACCCCAAGTCCCATTCCTGCCGCGCCTCCGGCTCCGACGTCTGCACCACCTCCGCCTCCACCACCTCCACCCGTTGTTCCTACTTTTGTGGAAGCAACTTCCACTTCTTCAGCAGAGGCAATTACCCAAATTAACTGCTCAAATTTTATAAAAGATAATAAATCCGCAGCACAAACAAAAATCCGCTGCTCCTCCGGCCGAGGTTGGCGGCGACATGCGGGCCAGCTTGATGGCAGCGATTCGGCAGGCCGGCGGCAAAATGAAACTAAAATCTGCCTCCGAAAAGAAAATGGAGAATAAGAAAAAGAAGCAGGTTTGATTTTGAAATTAACTGTAGAAAAATTACTTAAATTTATTAACAGGAGCAAAAGGAAAAAGTGGTCAGTGGAGATCTTATGGCGGATTTGCATGCCAAGCTGAAACTTCGCAGAACAGTAGGTTTTTAAAAGTAGTGAAATCTAATTAATAATAATAATCAAATCTCAGGGCATTTCGGGAAGAAACCAAGTTGACGGGGGTGGCAGTCTTCTTGAAAAAGTGTCAGCCATGATTCCGCCTCCTCCGGGAGTGCCGCAAGCCCAAGCGGTGGACAGTGAGGACACGTCCGACTGGGAACCCTGATGTCCAGTTTGAGCGATTCAGTGGTGAAGTCGAAAGGACAATTTTTCAATTTTGTTACTTTTCTACGGATAAACTGCTGGGAGGTTATTCTTGGGAGAAATAAATGAAGATATAATATCTTTAATTAGAAAGCTGTGTTGTGGTGACGCACATTATTTATTTGCAACGACCTTTATCCTCGCCAAGCAGAACGCAGCACTCTTTATTTTTCGCTCCGTGACAAGAAATCCACATAATTTTGCTGGGTAAAAATAAAACGAGTTCTGATCCGCATGGCGCGAGGCGGTTTCCAATTTCACTCCTCCTTACATAACAATCCTCTCTGTGCTTTTTTACTTCTCTTCAACAACATTCAATGGGTTGGAGCAGGTTTGGCTGGAAAAAAAGTACACCGGTTAGTTCTGTTTCCAAAATTTGATTTTTATTCAGTGCTCTTCAAAGGTAAAAACTCCTGTCGGCAGGTAGTTCTGTGAAAAACGTCCTTGGAGATTTTCTTCGTTCACTCTTGATCACGTTCGACTCGGAAAAGTCTTTGTATCACTTTAAAAGTTTGCATGTCCGGATGGTTACTCTACCCTAATTAGATTTGAATCCATTATTTTAGCACCACTATAATTCTTTTAAAGCATTGATTATCTTTAATTCCTATTTAAGACCTGCATTGTGACTATAATTATTTCTATATAAATCGCCGATTCACTTAAGCTTCACAGCACTTGGCTAAGGAGATTTCTAAAACTTTTTTGTTATCCCTGTTATTTGAGACGAGATATAAGAGCTAGTAAAATCTTTTGGGGAACAAAGTGACTCGCGTGTGTTCGAAGGGAAAATAGAAAAATATTAATTAGATAAATATATTCATCAGGAACCATGAAAGACGATGCGAAAACTCAAAAACCCTACAAACTCAGACTTGTCTCGATACTCATCTTAATTAATTATTTACGAGCGCGCAGAAATAAAAATAGAGAAAAGGAACTGAATCAATATTTTGGCTCTTAAAAACGTCTGCTCTTTACCTACAAAAGCAGATCGGAGATGGAAAATTTGTGCTTATAATTTGAGCAAGCCTAATTAGATTGAATTTGAAATTCTATATTTCTATGATAAAGAGAATTTTAAGAAAAAAAATCAGATTATTTATCAATATGATAAATTTCAAAGGGTGTGAGAATTGTATGTTTGAAAAATTGATTTGCTTTGGGGGATCAGAAGGAGGCGGCCATCCGGTAGAGGCCGGTGTAGCCGCAGAGGCGGGCGCGAAGGGCTGGAATGAGTAGGGCTGCCGCGGACAGGTCGTCCAGGAATTGTGAGCACTCGCACAACAGCAGGTACATTTTGTCGCCACGGGACACCGATTTGTGCAGGGTTATCCGGCGCAGACCCGCCGACCGCGGAAGGTACCGGTAAAGCATCCTCGCCCCTAAAAAAATAAACAAAAAAATTAAATGGTTAGAAAATTTTACTCATTAAAGTAGCCAAATTATTACAAAAATGGGGTAAAATTTCAAAATGTCTTTCAATAATTTCAAAGAGTGGCTCTTATTGTTGTAAGCTAAATAATAAATTAAATTAATATTATGGCTTTTGTTAATTTGCCTGTTGCAAAATATAAAAGGTGAAATCATATTAGGAGAGGAATTGAATGAAGAATGCCTTTAGCAATCAAAATTGATGTCATTCATCTTTCATGCCTTGATCGTTGGGAAAAAACGCCTGACATTCTACACAAGTGTAACACGTGTGTCCAGCGGGTTGCATACATCACTAAAATGAGGCGCACCGCATGTAACCGAGACACGCGATTATTTCATTATGGATGTTATTTATTGAATCGTTTCCTCATAGGAGCTGATGTTTGGCCAAAGGATTTTTGTTATAATCTCATTAGTTGATAGTTTTTTTTCATCAATCATCAATTTATTTTAATTTTCTTGTTGAAGGTATTTAATTACTATTATTTATTTTTCTCGATCTATACAAATAAATAAAGAAGAATAAATATTAATAATTAAATGCTTCATTGAACTTTAAGAAATATTTAACAATGATATAATAAATACCTGTCCAATAAAGCCAGTTTTTCTCGAATTTTTCGCCGTCGTCGCCGTCAAAAACCTTGTAGATGCAGATGATGTAGCCCGTGGACTGCGGCCTGTCCGGTTTGGTGCCCGGTTCGTGGAGCGGCGGCCGCGCGATGGTGGCCACTTCGTTGAAAAGGTCCATGGTGTGCGAGGCGGTGTAGCGCATTGTGGACGGGTCGAATTTGCGCAGCGAGTTGACCCGCAACCCTCTGAAGAACTCGTCGGGGTCCGTCTTCTTTGTGTTTATCACATAGTAGGAAATGAATGGAATATCGGCTGTGAATCAAAAAAAATAAAAATTACTCATATTGTTAAAATTTTTAATTATATTCATTTGATAAATAAAATTGAATTTAAAGAATAAAAACTTTTACGTATTAAATTTTTTAAGAATAAAATCAATCTTATTAAGATTACATAGAGAATCTGAAAGCATCTTTAAAAAAAAAGGAAAAATGAATTACTTTTAAAATAATTTAAAATATTTATGTTTTAGTATATGAATTATAACCAAATGAATTAAAGTTTGTTTTAAATATTTCTTTAAATTAATTAATAAATTTTTTAAATAACCGAACTTAAAATTGAAAATCTTCAAATGAATTAAATTTCTAATTGTATTAGTTTTATTGACACGTCGTTTTGTTTGAAAGAAAACTGATTCACTTAATTGTCCCACTGACCGTTGTGCTCCATATTGGAGAGCAACATGCCTTCGGTGGCCGACTTGGCCGAGCCGACTTCGCCCAAAATCTCGGCAGCCACGCTTTTTTGCTGCACCAGCGGCCGCGCGAGTGGCGACTCTAATTCTGGCTCTATCGAGGTCATCGGCGTCATCAGGTGCAGCAGGACGCACAGTTTGGGGTCGTCCACTTCAAGGACGCTCAGACTGCTCGGCCTCTTCTCAGCCGTCGGCAACTGAGAATTTTTTTCTTTAAATATATCTTTAAAAACATCAAAGGCACGTTTTTTACTGTGACTCCGGCAGGCAAAAATCTGTCCAGGCTGGTTATGGGGATGATGAAACAGTCTCTGTCTAAAGTCTTTAGGCTAATTGGTCCAGACTGAGTGGGGGTGGTGGCCGTCGAGCTGCGTCCCTGGTTTTTCTTGGCCGGCGACGACCCTGAAGGCCCGTTCTCGCGTATCGTGTCCATCAAATGGCCGCCGGTGATTTTGTCCAGCATCAGATTTCTGCAAAATTTGAAAATATTATTGTTAAAATTTAATTTTTAGTAGAAATTGAATTAAAAAGCCATTTTATCAGCCTAGAAAATGAAGCAGAATCAAAATCCGTCATGCTCATTTCAACTTTAAGGACTGTGAAATTTTCGTGCACAATTTTTTGGATTTTTTGAAAATATTTGTCTTTTGGGTGTGAAAATTTTTATGGGAAGTAATATAAAAACCAGGAAAACAAATCAAATAATGTTTGAATTAAATTCATTGGAATATTGCAATTTTAATTTCAATAAAACTTTCTTAAATTTGACTGAAAATAAGTACACTTGGAAGTTTTCACATAATCTGAATTTTATTTTCCACCAAATTTTCAACCTTTTCAAGACAATTCTTTGTTTATTGTAAAAATAAAAATAAAAAATGAGGTATTTTAATAATTGCATGGTTTTGCTATAGAGGTTGACGTCATCAGCGCGCATATAAATTATGCAGGCCAATTAAAAAGGCTCGAAACGACGACAATCTAGGGAGAGAACGCAAATTTCCACAGTCCTTGCTCTTAGAATAACATAACTCTTTGATGCCAGCACTTTCAGGGGCAATAATGAAGCAAGCGATCTCGGAGGTCTCTCCACTAATTATTATTTGCGTGTCTAATTATACTGAGATTCGAGCAAAAATGCATTCTCTGTTGCAAAGAGTCTCACTTGAGCCGAGGCCAAGCAAAAGAGAAGCAAAAATCATTCAGAAATTAATTCACTTGTCTCGCTGTAAATAATGCATGTGTGAGGTGCTCGCGGAATTGGCGAGAGATTTACCGACGGTTTCAACCCTTTATTTCAATTAATAGTTGCGCGCGTCTCTTTGTTTACTCGCGTGTGAGAAAAGAGAGGACAAGGCTAAGCTTTCAATTTTAGCGCCGCCTCATCTTGCGCTTGAAATGCTCCCATTTTAACTCTTTAACGACTTGTCCGTCGCATCACTTTGTCTTTTGTTTCCCATCTCGCGGGCGCGCGAGCAACCCTTTTTTGTATGTACTCGTATCGCGCGCGGCCCCGCGCCGGCTATAATTAAAAATAAATGGGCGCCGTACCTCGAGGAAATTGCTATTCACCGGGCGGGAGTTTGTTTCTTTTTTGCAGCACCAAATTGCTTTGTTGTTGATTTATTTTATCTAATTTAGCTCTCATCTAGACCATTCTCTTTTAAATAGTTTTAGTTTGAACACAATAAGTGTTGATATTTTAAGTTTTCTTCATCAAAATTTTGTATTTAAATGATTGGCACATAATTATAATCCCATTGCTTTGCACTAACAATAACTTCTTAAATTTAAGTTTATTTTTAGCGAATTAAGTTGACAATACACAAAAATTAATGAAATTACTTATTTTAATATTCATATACTTAAATTAACTACAAAATATTTCAAATAAAATTTTGAGTTAAGATTTTTGTTACAAATTTTATTTTATATTATCTGATTAATAATTGCCCAAATTCACATTATTCGCCATCAGCTTTTTCAATAGGCCGGCGCTGATTGAGTCCCGGTTGACCAGATTTTAATTATTTGTTCCCACTTTGTAAGCGCCAGAATGATTGAATCATAAATTACTGTAAATTACCGTGTCATTCGCGCCCAGAAGTCCATCGAAAGAAATTAATTGATCGACCGCAATGTTTATTTTTTTTTTCTTCTCTATATGAACCTTTTTGCGACCGCATATTTTGGTGCCGCGGAAATCGCGCCCTTTATTTATTTATTTGGTCCTCGGCTGGGACCTCCTCTCTCGATTTATCGCCGTCAAACAAATATTTTGACTTTGGAAGAAGCGAGTGGCGCTTCCAAAGTATAAAACCAGCTTCTTGTGTCTTTTTCTTTATGTATTTTTTTTTGTTATGCTGGGGGCAGGTCTCGTGTGCATGTTTTGTATTTTGATCGGGCGTGCGAGTTTGATGTTCACTGAATAATGCAGAGAAATAGATTGCGTGCTGAGGTAATTATGCTGCTAAGATCAATGCCAAAGCGTGTCGTGCATAATAGATTACGATGCAGGCAGTCAAAAACGTCATTTTCCAAGTACACGAAAATAAAAATAGGTCCTCTATGATTGATTTTTTCCTAAATAATCCATTTTTTAAGCACTATAGAAATATGGAACGTGCAGAGTTAAGTTCTTTTTATAAATTTAATGTGACTTTAATTTTGAATAAAAAACTAATTTGTGAGTTTTTAAGTGGAAAAATCAATAAAAATGTGGAATCAAATGTTTAGATTTTTAATAACTCAATAAACTATTCTATTGTTTTCTTAAATTGATCGCAGTAATTATTTAATAAATCTAAAAAAATTTAGCTTCTCTAGTTTTTGCTGCAATTTTGTATTTTAAGCATTGAAAATCAAAATTTTAATAATTGTGGACTCTTATTTAATTCATTTTGGGATGCAATATTTTGGCACATAATTTCAATTTTCAATTAAAAAGAAACTAAATTACCAAATAACTACCTGGAAATATTTAATATTTTGAATTAAGTTAATGTTGGCTTAATTATTTTTAAAATTTGCCTTCCTTCAAGACTTATTAAGTCAAATCAAGTCTTTCCAACAGCTGGAGACATTTTAGAAAATAATTTGAAATTTTTAAATTTGAAGTTTGTGATTTAGAAATTATTGAATATTCAAGTTATTTAATAATAAAAATTTGTCAATTTGTGTAGTTTTAACTGTTTATTTGTGTAATAATTTTAAATTTAGGCAAAAATAAAAAGTTTATAAGCAAAAAATTTAATTTCTTTTAACGTTTTAGTAATACAAAAAATGAGAGGGTCTAGCAAAATTGTACAAAACTTGTTGTATTAAAATTACAAGGTGCCAAGTATAATTGGAAGGGAAGAAGGTTGCGCACACACCTGTAGGGCTGGTCGTCCATGGGGGTGTAGCCGGCGGTGGCCGAGTCGGAGCGCGAGGCGCCCCTGGTGCGGAGGCGGCCGCCGGAGCTCTTGCCTCCGCCCCCGTACGACCGCTCCTTGGTCTCTGCACGGAAATTTTTGCGGAACATGAGATTCATGTTTGCTCAGGTAATGTGACTACAAAGAAAGAAAGAGAGAGAGAAAGAGGGAATCGCCTCGAGTGTCCGAGGCTCGGACGCGCACTGCACCGACTTGGCTCGCAAATCTCGCCGCTCGCCAATCCCTGTCGCGCGGCCAAAATCACCGACCAAAATATCTGTCCGTCGGTGTGCTTTTTGTTGTACCGGTTTTTTTTATATATCATTTCAAACGTCTCAGTCGTTTTGAGCTCAATTTTTTCTTTTGCTGTTTGCTTTCGAAAGAAGTTTGAAAGATTATGACGGCCTGTGGTCTGTTTTTATGTCAAACGCGCACGTGTTTGCAGCAGCGCCGTAAAATTCGTTTACGATGAAAGAGCTAATGTGTACTATTTTCAAAGTGGAAATTGTATAAACAATTCCTGAAATTTTGTCTAGATAAATTTTTTTTTTTAAATTTACTATTTTAAAGATTGAGTGATTTTCATCAAAAATGTTTTTATAAATGAGATTGTAAAAACAAAAACTATAAAATCAATCGCATCTTCATCTTATCAAAATATTATTTCCAGATTTCTTGCCTTTTTTCTAAAATATTTATTAATACTATACTCTTTCCTATAAAATTAAAATTAACCAAGAAATTGAACAATATAAGTGCAATTACATTATATTGATGCATGAAATTTACCAAAAATAAATAATTTTTTTATTTATATTTCATTTATTTTTAATTATTTATAATTGTCTCTGTCACTATTATTTTAATACCAATTTCCTTTTTTTGCAACCAAATTTTTTTCAGTATTACTCAATCGGAGCTCTAAATAATTTTTATTACTATCACTCTGAGAAACTTTTAAGAATTTTCGTTTAAAAAGTATGAGTTCCTTTTTTTGCTGGATTTATATCTAGGAATTTCAATGAAAAAGTAATTTCAGGTACAACAAATATTTTAAACGAAACGCTCTTAAAATTTGCTTAAATGCATTTACCAAAACAATAAACAATTGAAAACTGCTTAATATTTTTTTAGTATTTATATCCTCTGCATGTACCTTTTGTTTTCAGAACAGATTTTGGCAGAGTTATTAGCATTGAATGTTTACTGAGTAGAAACTATTTTTGCATTAGAAACTTCGAGGGCTAACAACTCAATAATATTTGGCAATATTCATTTTTTTTAACTGCGCAATTGGAATCTATTAGATAGTTTGGAATTTTTAATTCTTTGTTTTCATTAACCGAGTTTTGACAAAATAAATATAAATTAAATTCAATGTTCAAATTGTATTTTACTTAGCATCTTAAATTATTATTATTTTAATTACTTGAAGAATGATGCTAGGATATATTTTTTCATATATTCGAAGTTCTAATATTTTATTTTAATTATCTCAATTTATTTATTTTGAAAGTATGGTGAAAAAATCCTAAATCTAGATCAAAATCGAATTAAATTTGCCCTTTTCAGAAAAGCGATTCAATCGATATTCTCGGAAAAAGCGGGACCGTAAACAAGCGGCAGCAAAAAAGTAAGCGCAAACGCGTCTGGCGAGAGTAAATCAGAGGAGCATGGGTGGGTTTGTTTTATTTCCCGTGGGGCTTAAAAGTCCCATCAAGAGTAGCGTGGGTTTTGGCACCGAGAGGCGGCGCGCGAGGCGAAAAGTGTTGGTGCATCCCATGCGAGCAAATTAAATATTGGACGCGCTGGCCGCCGCCGCCGAGTCTCGTCTGTTTTCCTTATCAAAGAACAATGGTCGCGGGTCGCGTGCGAATTGATTTTATACAAAAACAAATATAACAGAGACGCGGATGAATTATTTATGTGCGAGGACCCACGGCTCTTTTATTTCTCCGAGTCTATTTTTATCTCGTTCCGGTTAAAAATAAATACTCTGAGTGAGAGAGGCGATAAACATTCTTGGCAGCGACACCGCACGCCGTTCCGAAACCCAAGCCAGCGTTGGCGAATTAGCGTGGACCATTGCTAAGGCTTCATGCTGACAGGCAAGTGGTCCACTCAGGGTACAGATCTACTGCTCTTGCCCACCCCCACATCGCAACCATCAAAATCAACAAACTTCAAAGTTTGCAAATAATGCAAAAAGGAAAAACTGAAAATATTGAAGTCATCAAAAGTTTAAAAACTTTCAGCAAAATCTAGAAAATTTAAAATAATGTTTGGAATTTAATTTATTTTATCAATTAATATTAAAATATTTATTCATTCCAATCATTAAAGATGAGCTGAGAAATGTTTTTTGAAATTTCCTATGAGATGAATGTTGATTTTATGATCCCTCCTTGCAAAGAAATTTGATGCAAATAAAAAAAGGGCCGTTTGTTTTCATCAAGCATAATCGAAACTAAAATTTACTTGCTTAAAAAATAAAACTTCTCATGCAAATAATTTGATAGTTATTTTCAATTACTTATATTTTTCTAGAGGTGCAAATTTAAAATTAAACATCTTTCATCTAATTTATTCTGATCATTTTTCTAATAAAATTATTGCTCTTGGAATTATTGTCTTTTTTTCAATTTAGTTTTTATTTATTTGAAATTTTCATCAAAAGAAATAGTACAAATCACAACATTGTCTCTCTCTGGTCTTTTGACATGCAGATAATGACGTCGCCACACGAGCGAACAGCTAAATTAAGGTCCTCTAGGCCTCTTAATGCGAATTACTTAACAAGCCGGAACAAGAAATTGGCGATCGGTATCACGAGAATAGCCAATTTGCCTGGGCACACGAGCGCTCTTTTGACGGCGCAGGCCAAGTTATGCATCACGCTCGACATGCAAGCCCGGCAGATTGCATAAGCAGCGCTCTCCTGATTGTTTTCGTCAGATAAGAGCAAGTTAAAAAAAGAACCGGACTTCCGCGTGCTGAAAGACAGTTTGTCGAGGAGTTGATTTAGCAGGGAAATTAGATATATTTCAAATCGTTCTCATAATTTGTGATAAAAATACAGACTAATTATAATTTTTTCCAAAGAGAATTGATTTAATTAATTTAATTTGAGCAAGAGACATAAACCTTCTTGCTGATTTCAGATTTGTAAAAATTTTATTATTTTTGTTCATTATTTCTGTGAAAATAAAACATTAATTAATATAATAAATAAAATTAAGGACTTTTTTTATGATATTTTGAAACCAAAGTCCATTTACTTGAATACTTTGAAATAAAATAATTATTTTTGTATTAAAATTTTGGAAATAATTTATACTTTCTGTCCCAGCATACATACATTTATTGTTCACCTGTAATTAAGTGTTTTTATCACAAAATTTGTAACAAAATTAGTTTATACCAGATTTCCAGAAATCAGAAAATCACCTTCAATCGTAATTTTATTCATCTTCTGGTTGATTAGGTTTGAATTCAATTAAATTCAGACTATCGAGCTTTGTTTGTTTTGTCAGCTTAAAGCTCAAGGACGAGAGCGGCGCTAATTAGACCATCACATCATTTAATATGCAAAAAGCGATTTGCAGCGCGTCGAGCGGAACCGTGCAATTGATCATGGCATGTGTCGTTGCGCTGAAATTATTTCTCAGCTGTTTCATCAGATTTTTGCTGCGAGCGCGGTCTGCATATTGAGGCGATAATAAATAAATGGCCGTTGGAGCAGCGAAATGCGGAGTTTAAACTCGGCTTTTGTGCCGGCGCCGCGGATCAATACCAAAACACACTCACTCTCTCTCCCTCGGTGTTGTTACAACGAATTCCACCACGGAGAGGAAGGAAAAGACAATTTGGTTGTTTATTTCATCAAAAACTGCTGCCAACTCGCTTTGCACGCAATTTTCGGGCAGCACAATGTCGATGGTGTTTCGCGGGTGCCGGCACGAATTATTGCCGCGATCATTGACGCAGAGAAGTTTAACGTTTTGTCGTTAAACGCTGGTTCGAATTTGAAAGTATAATTATATAATGGCAGAGAACGAATTTTATTGTTCGGCCACGTCAACAGTCTCGAAAGAGGAAATTTGTTTTATGAGGATCAAAATTATATTTTAATATCAATTCAGATTTTCTTGAGCAAGGGGTTGACGACCGTTGAAATTATAAATATAAAATTAATAGGCATTTTGGATTCATTTTTGCTAAATCGGAATAGTTTTTTTTATCATCAGAGAGTTGTGTGATTATTTTATTTAAAATTGTAAAATTTCAATTTCCATAATAAATGAACAGTTTTCCATCCAATATCCACAGACACAGAATGATTGATGGCCAGGACGACCTTGGCGATTCGTTCTCTGACCCATTTTCAGTCGATTCCAGGCAGATTATGAAGATTAATCTAACGGCTCATGGCAGTGTCAGAGCCGAGCAAAAACCCATTAGGCGAGTAAAACACCGCAAACGCATTCTCCCTCCCCAGGGTCAACCCTTTCCTCTCTGCCTGCAAGTTCATTTAGCAAAAACTGGAAATTCAATTGGATCTGCGGCGGCGGCGGAAAACCACCTGTCCCGGTCTTAAAAATAAATCGTCATCCTTGGAAAGCGGAAAGCGGTGCCAGAAAGCATTTTTTCTTGACGCGCGTTTTTAAATTAAGAACTTCGCACCTGCTGGAGCTGAATTTAGTGTTTGCCACTCTCGAATTAATCGCTTGAGATGTAAATTTAGCCCCGGCTTAAATCTGGAAAGATTTAAGGCGGCCCTCGACGCAATTAACCGAGCGACAGCTCAGTCCATTTAATTTAATGTCATTTTTTCCGTCTCCCTCAAAATTAACTCTTTTATTATTTTCAAGCCGAACACTCTGTTTGTTTCGAATGACAAATTACAAACTATAAAAAAGTAAGTAAAAGTTTGTCATATTAAAAGGAAAGAAACTAAATTGTAATGTGCTTAGCCGAGCTCTCAGTGGTTGAAATGAATTTCGCTTCTCTGTTCCGTCATTACTCCCCACGGAGAAAATGTTCTCTGCCCCATGAGCACAGAGGGATGAAATTTTGAGCACCACCAAAGTGCGCACTTTCAAACGCAGTCTGCTCTAGACATAAATTTCACATTTTGCAAGAGTAATTCCATGATAGAATGAAAAAAAAATCAAATAATGATGAATTAAAGGGGCGAGTTATTAAAAAAAAGGGGGGAAATCATTCAATTTTTACAGATTTTTCTAGGTTTAATTTGGTTTAATTAACAAATTTCCTGCCATCTTTAGGTAAAAATTGTAAGACTGTTAATTAGTTCCATGAAAATTATTTGTAGCTTTAGATCAATGATAAAAAATCAAAGAAATTTGCAGATACTTGGAAGATTGACGGTTTAGAAATGAAGTTTCAAAAAGTCATCCCTTTACTCTCGTCGGAACTGCTGAACTGCATAATAAAATTAAAATTTACTATGAAATTAAAATAATTGTAAAATAATTGTCTTTTGCTTCCCTATTGTTTGTTTCAAGAATTACTAAAAATAGACTTTGAAAATTATTACTGCCTAAAGAGAAATCAAATCAAAATTAATCAAATTTTGCAAAACAAAAATAACTTATATTCTCCAGAAATGATTTTTCAAAATTAAATAAATGAAAAATGGGCAAAATTATAAGAATTATACAAATGGTTCAAATTACGCCTGTTTTTGTAATCTCTAGTTAAGTTCCTATCTATTACATAACGTTTCGTAAACTTAAGTTCTGAAAATTAATAAAAACTTCATAGTTAAAACTAATTATTTACCATCTCAATTATTTCTATGATAATAAAAAAAAAAAACGAAATTCTCACATAAAAAGTAAAATATAAAAGCTGAGGGGGACACACCAAACGCGAAACGACGAATTAGGAAAAAATTACAACTCCGTGGTCGGAGTTGATACTTTCCTGGAGCAGTCGGAGGCGGCAGGGGGGTGGCCCGGGGGCCGACGAGGGCGGTCATGGAGGAGTCGTCGACGGCCTCCGGACAGCACTGCCAGCAGCACTCGGGTTCGACCTGGTAGCAGCAGCCGCACTGGAGGGCCGGCGGGCCGCAGTAGGCGGCCACGTCGAAGGCGGCCAGCGGGTGGATCTTGATGCGGCCGCCGATCTGGCCGCCGCCGGCCTGCGGCGGCGGCGCCAGCATCGGCGCCGCCGCGAACAGCTTGTTGTGTGGCGGCGCCGCCGTCTCCATGTTGACCTGGGCCATGGTGCGCCTCGACTGCCCGCCCGGCCTGACCAGGGCCACCCCCGACAGCCAAGCAAAGAAAGGGTGCGCTTGCGTGCCGGCCGAGGGTGCGGGTTGACTCGGCTCGCTGCTCTTTTGTTGTGTCAATTAGACCCTCTTGTTATATTTGTAAACAAAACACATCCCAGTTCGCTCTGGAATTTTTTCTAGTCATTTATTTTTGGTTTAGGGCAAAAATTTCAATTTTTTTTTTCATTTTTTATTCATGTAGGAACAAAAGAATCAAAATTTCTCTTAATTTGAAGTAATACTTTTATACTTACTCTAAATATAAATTTATCACAAAATAACAATATTTAATTAATTTTCATTCAAAAATCTATCAGTCGATTGAAAAAACTTCCAAAGTATCCAGCTCTGATAATTACTGTTTATTTTATGATAATTTATTCTTTTTTAAATAAAAATACCGGTGGTGTCAGGAATTATAATCTATTTCCTGATATTCATTCATTTAGGTAAAATGATATGAGCCTTTTACTGTTTAAATCATGAAAAGACTTTGACGAATTCAGAATTATTTCAATAAATTAATTTGGTCAAATTATATCATAAATCATAATATTGAATTTCCTTGAGATCAATTTCGAATATATTCCGGAATTACGTCATTAGAATGAGAATGAGGTGAAATTTCCAATGGTTGAGGAAATCGATATTTTCACTCGAATTCCCTTTCATAATAAATAATCCAGAGAGACGCTTTTGCCCCACATTGAAGCAAGGCCGACCCATTATAAGTGATCGAAATATATTTCACAAATGGCAATAGTAACTCGGATCCGTTTTTTCCAAAGACTTCTTATTTCTGCTGACGGCGCTAATTAAGAGCGCTAAAGACTCAATTTCGCAATTGGCAACTTTCCACTCTTTTTGAATCATTATATTTTCTCGGCCGAACAATCCGCCTTTGTTTCGCGCCGCAGAAAGATTCTTTTTCATTATAAAACATTATAGATGAACGACGAGCGTGGCAGAGCACAACTGTCGACACGTTGCGGCCAACTGGGGTCACGGCCAAAACCACCCCTTCTAAGCCCATGTATAGAAAACTTCTTCTTTGACGTCCCATTATGGTTGGCATCGTTCTTCCCCACAAAAGGGTTAAGGGAAAGTTTTTTACTGCCGCATGTTGAGTGCCAGACTTTAAGAATAAATTTTATTTTCTGAAAATTTTGCTGAGAAATTCCATTTCTTCTAGAATGTCTACGCAGTGGCCTCAAAACAACAAACAATTAATTGGAAATCTTTGAATTTTAATCTAGTCCAAATTTGAATACATATTATAAGATTATTAAAAATTCAAGTTGAGACTGAAGATTATTTATTTAGAAAACAAAGCGTTTTTAAATCTATAAAAAACTAATTTCACATGAAACTGAATAAAAATTAGGAAAACAACAAAGGTTTCCAAGGAATGAAGTTTCTGTTTAAAAATGTGAATTTTAGTTTAAAAAGTTTCAGACACAATCTTTAATTGTGGGCAAAAATGAAACAATTCCAAATAAAAGTTTATTTACAAAGACATAAATAAAATTCCAGAGCTGTACAAACTTTTTTGTTATTCCGATATTCAGATTGATTGAGAACCAAGAAAAACCAAGAGAAATTGGTTTTTGCTCAACCTGCAGAACTTTGACGCAGGCTACAAACTTTCCGACGACACTCTCATTCATTATTCATTCACGGCGCTCCGGAACTCTCACTTCAAAACATCTGCCGCAACCCTAATGATGAGACGCTTCCCAAATCAAATCCATTAACGCTTTGGCCCAAATTAGTTGGTCTTTTCATGCGAATAATCCTCATTTTCCACCACTAGAATAAACAGAAATTAATTTTTAATCACCCACACGTGTTCGTTTTTCATTACATTTTCAGTTTATTTTTGGCTGCCAAACACACGTGCGCGCCGAATTGTATATCAACAATATTTTTTTGTTTACCCACCTTTCTGGGAAAGGGTCGGAATTTAAACATGCAACCCTGCGCTTGAATAGAGGAAAAAAAGTAAATCGATATGAATACTTTAATAGATATATTTCGCTACACACTGCGGTGAGAAAAATATTCTCAACCTGCCTCTATTTTTCCTTATTTTGGCAAGACGGTCACGCGCAGCAGACTGGTTTTTAAGAGCAGCTGTCGGATTTCACAGCAAAATTTACGAACGTGGAAACTTTTATACTGCAGTATAAAAAAGTCAATAGTCAGTTTAAAAGAAAAATTTTTGTGTGTGTAATTCAAATATTTATTTATATATTACGATGTTGTTGAAATAGATTTTAAATTGCAAGAAACTAATTTAATTTGATAGTTTTGATTTTAAATAATTTCATATTGAAAAAGTTCAAGACGATTGTTAAAATTTGTTAATAGGATGGGTGCGAAGGAATAAAGTGTTCGGCGCGCTCCTCCTCGACTCTGACAGTGGGTCTGGAGAGCGAGTTGATCAATAATACTGCAGCGCTGCAGGTGTTCCCCCCACTAGGCGCTCCGAGGCTCTCCTGAGGCTGACCTGACCCCAGGTCTCTGCAAATTTTGACTTGCCGACCAACCTTTAAAACCATTACAATCATTATTCATGTTTGGTCAAATTTAAATTTTTTTTTTAAAAAAAGTGAAATCTAATTTTTCATGAATTAAAATAAAATGAAAAGAATAATTCATAAATTAAAAATAAAAATCGTCCTAAATGTTGTACATATTGTATAATAAATATATTTTTTATTTTGCATTTAAAATTATATTTAATTTTAATTCTTCATTTGGCACATTCAATAACAACTATTTTTATTTTAATATATATTTAATTTTGAATTTAATTAAATTTCAAATCATGTGTCAATTGCTGCCGGCATTAAAATTTCACGTCTGCTCTTCTCTTGGCCCCTTCTTGACTTTTTACCACAGTTAAATTTAGTCCTTGGACTAGGCTGCCGACGTTGAACCTGTGACACATACTCTTTATAGCTGACCCCTGACCTCTTGTGGTCCCAACACAGACGTCGTAGCAATCGTGTCTGCGCCACTCGACTAAAGATGTTCACTTTACAGCTCAAATAAAAATTGATGAGCTGTGCCAGCCAGCGCGGCCCCTAATCTATCTTTAGTGCTTGTTGCAATTTTAATGTTTTCATTTACAGCCTATTACATTCAAATGGGATTTTTTTCACGGATATAAAAACGTTTTATTTTTTTTTATAACTTAAAATAATAATGAGCGTTTATTTTACAAAGTTGATAAAATAAGGTTTAAAATTTTGAGCCTTACGAGTTAATATCAAAAATATGTACAATTTTTTCAGTTAGAAATAAGTTATGTGCATAATAAAAACTAATGGTTAATTAAATCTCTCGATCCGGTCTATGTGATGACGACGCCTTTACTGAGACACGGGCCGTTGACGCTTTCCAGCAGTGCCGGCCAAAGGTACGTCCTGATGTCGTCCTTCTCAGGGTTCGACGCGTGGAAACGACTGTGCAGGTCTGGCCTGTACTTCTTGAATTCGTATTCGAGGGCAAGAGGTGGGTTCTTCAAAAATACGATTATTTTATATAAAAATTTGATTTTTATAAAAAAAATTTACCTGGGTTGCAAGGGACCAGGCCATCTGCACGGACGACCTGACGTAAGCAATGAGACCCTGGCACGTTTTCAAACAAGGGTAGTCGTAGAGGGCGGTCCATATTTGTGAACAAACGTCCTAGATTTAAAAAAAAAAATTGTTAGAAAAATTGCAAAAAAAATTAATAACATTGATATGGTTCATTTTTAAATTTAAATAATTTTTACTACAATTCACTTGATTTTTCAATATTTCTTCGGAATGAGAGTTAAAAAATCTTATTACTTTATTTGTTTTTAATTTATTTATATATTAAATTGAGGTTAATAAACAAATTTGTGACAATTTCAAAATCTGATAATAATCGCAAAATGAATTAACAAAATTTTTTTAATAAAAACTAAATAGATTAAAAAAAATTGTAAGATTAGTTTAAGTTATAGAATGTATTTTAAATTTACATCTCTTGAAAGTAAAAATCTTTAATTAACCTTCTCTTTTCTTATATAGTGGGAAAATATAATTATAAATCAATTTCCTCTTATTTTTGTCTCACCTCGACACTTTGGCACAGATTGAATTTATCAGCCGTGCTGGCAAGGTAGTGTGCAATGCTGGCTTCCAAGTCGTCAGACGCTGCTCTCACCTCGCTCTGCTGACCAGGTTCGGGCATTTGCAAAATTTTCCTGATAGCCTCCTTTTTCTTGGCCAGCACCAGCAGCACGGCGCGATAAGATAGCTGCAAAGTTCGAGTTAACAATCGCAACTTTTATATGTTAAAATTTTTTCTTACAACTACGACTGAGAAGAGGATTTTTGATTTGAGCTCCTCGGCGCCTTTGAGCTCCTCGAGGATGTCCAGGGCGTCCAGAGTGTCCACCTTGGCCTGGGCGTACAAAGACTCGTACTTCATCACAAGCTTGGGCACGACGGGTTCCGTGGGTGGCGGCAGAATTGGCCGTTTTGGCACGTTGTGTTGCATCATCGGAGGTGGAGGTGGTCTGGGAAAATTTCAAAATGTTTTTTAAGTTAATTAATTGAGTAATTAAATTGCCAACAATATTGATAATAATAGTTTAAAAGGAAATTATATTATTTTTCTTTGGTTTGATTTTTTAAGGACTGAAACAATCCATTAAGGAAAAGCCGAATTTCAACTTAAGAAATTAAAAATTATCATTCCGTTTAATTATAAATAAATTAACTATCTAAACGTGCTTTATTTTATTATAATCATTATTTATGGAAATGAAGAGATCATCTCCTGGAGTGTCAACTTCTTCAAACAAATTATTATTTTAATTCATTATTTTTTATTTGAGAATAATAATTTGGGCAGAGATTGCGTAGTTGTGCACTAATAAACCTGGGTATCAATAATCGAAAATAGGAGATTTTTTTTAATAGGCAATTACATTTTTCTCTTTATAATACTATTAATAATGTTGCTCTATATATCATAATTAATAAACACCTCGAAATTTATGAAAAACAGATCCGAGGAAACAGGAAAGCTGATGAAACGTAGTGTAGGCTTGTTTCCTGCTGCGCGCAGGATGCGAATATTCGCGCGACAACTGGCCAACATCAGAATATAAAAATATTTCAGTAAAAATTTTGATTGGAGTGAAATGTGGACTGTAACGCCTTTTCACATCGTAGCATTTTTGCTATCATATTATGTTATTATAACTTAAATATTTCATTTCGATATGAAAACAACTGATTATGGTTTTGTTTTCAGCAATTCAGTAGTGTTTCCTCAGCACTTATTGTAAAAATGAGACCTTCCAGGGAGAAAACAGACACTTTGAATGTTAAATTTGCAGTGCATCAGCGGAGTGCGTTCAAATTTGAAACATAATATTTAATCACTCAATTTTTCATTCGGCAAATCGCAGAAAGAAATATAACTAGGGTACGCATTCAGAAGTGCTGTGGACTTCGTACATGCAATCCAACCTCAAAACCCACAACCATAACTTCGCAATTGGCATCCATAGTAAGAATAATTGTCTTCCATGATTGCATGCCTTCAGGATAACATTATTACATATATCCTGTATAAATATAAATCATAGATTTCAACATTAACGACATTAGCGAGCGATGCGTCAACCACGGCAATTGAAATTCAGACAACCCTTCCAAATCAAGAATTCACAAATTTTTTTGAAGAGAGCACGTTGACAGAGCAAATCATCGCAAGCACCCTTGAAGTAGAAACTACCACAACCGTACTATCAACGCCTACAAATCCGCTGACAGAACAAACATTGACTCTCACTGAAATCACTTCATCAGCAAGCCCAGCGATAACTATCATTACCGATGCAACTACAACAACTATCACACCTACCACCACTACAATAGCTACCACCACTCCTGCCACAACCACTACAACAACCATTACTACTCGTACCATCACGACTACCACACCAACCACCACCACTACCACTCCTACAACCACCACTACCACTCCTACAACCACCACTACCACTCCTACCACCACCACTACCAAGACTAGCACAAGTACCTCAACCACAACCACAACTCCAAAACCATTGTGCCTTCCGTACAATTGTAACTTGACTGTAAGTTGTAAAATTTGATTACCCCCGTCATTAATAATACACTCATGTTGTTCATTAGAGGTCAAAATTAGGACCAGATGGTAGAGTACTGGGTCGGTTTTTTTAACTAATTTTAAGCAAAAATTGAACCAAAGAATTACAAATTCAATTCATCAGCGTCAGCAGTTACTGATGGAGTCCTGAGGGAGATTGGGAATAGGCAGTACTTGTTCAGCTCAAGTGCGGTATGTGTCAATACATATAGTTAAATATGGTAGGAATTTGCATGTTATTAACCAATAATAAAATTCAGAAAAACTGGACCGAAGCGGCAACTGCGTGTTGCTCTCTTGGGATGAGTCTTTTGAGTTTTGAAACTGCTGACGAATATTTATCTATGGCAGATATTATTGATTGTATGCGTCTCTAGTTTTCAGTTTTGACCAAATTCAATAATATTTGAGTAGTTTCTAATAACGGGAGTTTAAATGGCGAATTCTACACATCTGGAAGTGACAACAAATTGGAAAACTCTTTCGTTTGGTGTGCATCGAATAATGCCACTATTGCTTCCCCGCCGTGGGCTGCTGGCGAGCCGAGTGACAAAACGGAAACGGAAAACTGTGTTGTGGTGTACATGGAACCCGGCAAAAATCCCCAGCTCGGTGACAAATCGTGCTCTACAGCCACAAAATATATTTGTGAAGTATTTTAATCTCATTAGTAGTGAATTATATGAAAATGACTAAAAATATTTAGGTTGCAGTGATTCCAAGAACTGCACCAACTTTGCCACAAACCTGCAAAGCTGATGTTGATTTATTTTAATTAATATCAAATAAAAATTTTAATAAAACATTAACTCTTAGCCGAACTTGTTAGGATCAGATAGACAAGTTAATAGTATGCTATTTTTTGCAGTAAAAACTGTAAATATTAAAACTTTTATAAAATTTTAGTGACTGCGCCCGTAATTGATGGAAAGTTTATAGTTCTATGTGGAAAATTATACTTCTTTAGCACATCAGCAGTATGAACAAACTCGTTTATCCAAATAAATACTAAATAATGTTCCTTGTTAATTAATTTTAAGAAAACCTGGCAAGATAGTGCAGACGAATGCTGCAAAAGGAAAATGAGATTCGTTGCTGTAGAAACTGACGAGGAGCATATGTGCCTGGCTGATTTCATAACCAGTAAGCAAAAGTTTAAATTTTTAAATTATGCTTATATGTTTGATATTCTGCAGATCCGTACGGTCGCCAATATAACGGACTTTGGTTTTGGACTTCTGGCTCAGATAGTACCGTTGAAGGAGTCTACAATTGGTGTTACGCGGACAATACTCAGGCAAGCATGCGCTTTTCCAGTGTGCTCAAGTGGGACTCTGCGCAGCCTGATAACTATAATAATGAAGACTGCATAAATTTCTTCACGTGGAACGTGGCTCCCCCAGGCAGCATCACTTATAATGATTATGCTTGTAGCAATACGTTGCAATATATATGTGAGGTGATTTGCGCATCATATGATATGATTTCAAATCAATTTACACGCCTGACGTGTGGTTTGCAGCGGCCATTGTTTGGACCAGTTCCGTTTCCCGAATGTCCAACAGTAGTTTGCACACCGGAGGTGAGAAGCTGAATAATTACAATTTTATAAATATTTTACTTAATTAATAAACTTATCGCAGCTTGCAAAAGTTAACGAGTCCCAAAATTGGTTGTGTACGTTCAATTGAGTGTGAATTTCGTGTCGAGCAATAAAAAAGTTTTTAGCTTCATCAGCCGCAGTGGGAGATTTTTACAGTGGGTGCAGCAAACAGTACTTTATCAGTGCTGCAGTGGTAAATTGAAAATAGCTTAAATAATAACGAAAATAAGTCACTCAAATTAAGAAAACACGAGACGAGGCTATGGCAGAGTGTTGCAAGTATGGCCTACAACTTTTAAGTATTGACACGCAACAAGAGCTTCAATGCATTGTGGACATGAATAATGGTGGGTTCAAAGTATTTTACTTTAAACTTCATAGCAGAATTATTAAATTACTTGAAACTTAATACTTAATAATATGCATATTTCCTGACGATGAAGCGAAATCGAAGAAATCTGCGAGATTTTGGACATCTGGGTCCAACATGGGCATCTTGAGTGTCAGCAACCACGGTTGGTGCACCACGAAGAATCTGATTTACAACAAAACCCTTTGGGAAAGTTCACAGCCGGACAATCCGTACACAGAAAGGTGCATTTCTTTCAACGTGGCTGTTGGGGCCGCAGCTTTATACAGAATTCACGACACTGCGTGCTCCACAACTTTACCTTTTATCTGCGAGGTCAATCTTTCTATTACATTTAACAAAATTTTTATAATTACAATTATAGGGTGATGTACCACCACGCGTATAATTTGAACAAGACGAAGACAGAGGGATTGCAGCAGGTGCAATTTAATATTTGTGTCTTTATTTTCGTTATTTTCCATTCAGATATATGTCAATTTTTTTACATCGATGACAATTGAAATTTATTTTCTTCTTTACAAAGACGATAAAAATTTGAGATCATTCATTTACTTATATCAATGGAAATATTTGATTCTGCGTTCCTGAAATTTATACTCTGCTAAATTATTAGGATTCCTACGTTATAAAAATTAATAAATTTATATTGAATTTTAATTAACTTTCTTCCTTTATATTTTGATTGAAATCACGCTAATACTGTTAGTGATAAAAAAATAAATAATTATTATTTTTTTTAAATTTGATGGGAAAAAACAGATTGCTAAATAAAATAAAAGATATTTTTATTTTTCAAAAGACAAAGTTCTATCATAATACAAAAAATAAAAATTTGATTTAAATTGGATTATTTCTTTTTAAACAAGATATTTTTCTAAAAAAATATGATTTTTAAATAACAATATTTGTTTTAAATTCAAATTAAACTACTTTTACAGCCTCAATTTAAACTCAAGTTTTATTTGGGCTGGTATCTCATGATATTTTACAACAATTATGAGAAAAATGTGATAACTTTATTATTTATTTTTCCCATACAAATGAACAAAACTTACTGTTCATAAAAATTGGTAAAATTTAAAAGAAATGGAAAAGAAAATCTCTTTTTAATAGAAAAAAAAAATTAAAATCTAAATAACTTTTCTTATAAATAATTTATTTTTAAATATTAAGTGATTAATTCAGCTGATTTCAATTTTACGACGTTCTTTTACAATTCAAGCGTGACTTCTCAGGAGCTTGAAACAAGACAAAAGAGCAGCGCATTTTGAATTACGCAACCTTTTTGCTCTTTGTTTATATTATACGCGGCGTGAGGTCTTTATAGCTCTCCGCTGATGTACTTTGACTTGCAAAGTGCACTTCTTATTACGAAGCGTATGTGCGAAAATAAGCCGATACATCCTTAGAGCAAGGGAAAGTGAAACCGGAGCTTTTTGTGTGAGAAATAAAAAAGCCAAGAGCGGAAAGGCATTGTGTGTTTTACATTGAAGTGAATTTATATATTTATTCCGCGCCGCCGAGAGACCCACGCGCGTTTCTGGCAAAACTCGTTGTTGTGTAAATCCGCGGTGCTTCGCGCGCAGAGGGACAGAAATGGCAATGGAGCAAGAGGGAATAATAATGCAGAGAGCAGTGGCCAATTTTTTTAACACCCTCGCGCAATGAATGGGCGTTGTAATTCCAAGGCCTTGAACGCTCCTTTTCATGCTCCATTGCCTTTATTGGACCTCAAATTGAGTAATAATCGTAAATTACCAACTCCATCGCATGGATATTAAAAAAAAATATAATAAAATAATACTAAATTTGCAAAATTTTTATTTATAAAAATTTTGAAAATTTAGTATAAAATTTATAAAATAAAAAGTATATTTCTGTTAAAATGATTAAAATTTGGTACGGGAATAATATGTGTAATTTTCTAACCTATTGAAGGAAAATAAATTAAAAATAATTATACAAGATAATTATACCCATTTTAGGTTGAAATTTACGTTTTAAAATCAACTATTTGACGGTAAATTACCTATTTGCTTGAATATAATAACTTTTTTCGCCTAAAATCACTTATAAATTTTAGTAAAATTATTATTATGTATTTTAAATTCAACTAAAAATTAGCTTAAAACACTTTATTTTCCACCCTAAATTATTATTATTTTTTCCAAAGCCTACTTAAAATTTATTTATAAACTTCTGGACATCGGAAAAAAATTGCGTTTCTCTCTTCAAAAGAGAGCAAATTGCGAACGAAAATTAATGTGCATCTCACCTGTTTGGCACGGAGTAAGGGTTTTCAAGAGGTGGGCTGTTTCGCGCGGGCAGTTCTGGCCTTCGGCTCATTTGGGACTTGAGCGAGGACGACGACGAGTCGCTCTTTTTCTTTTCGCGCTGGATGAACGACTCGCAGCTCGGACAGCACTTGCCGTTCGAGCCTTTCGAGGAGGCCACTGAGAGCGAAAATTGCCAAATTACAAACTCGAGAGGACAAAAGAATAAAGGAGAAAAGTACCTGATCTGGCGCCGGGTTTCTTGGTGTACGGCGAATTTCCAGACAACATTATGGTCGATTCCGAGTCCGAGTGGTAGCCGGATATGTCACTCGAGTCGTCGTCATCTTCGGCCACTCCTTTCATCAAATCGAGCACCTGGAAAAATAATTGGATGGGGTGAGGTTTGGGAAAAAATTAGGATGATAAATATATCGAAATAAATAAAAAGGGTCGGAGCAAAGATGGAAAAGTACACATTGGTTTTATAAAATTTTGGTGTAGGTTTTATTTATAAATTTAATTAATTTTTTTTTATCATTTTAAATACAGTTCTAATGAGTTGTTTGTTGTAAATATTACGCAAAGTTTTCTCTTTTTTATAAATTTAATATTTTTATTAATTTTCAACTTTGTATTTGTATTTATAAAATTTATCATTTTATTGTTCAAAATAATGGAGCCCATTTAAAACTTATTTAATTTTTCCTATACCATGTGCTAGGGAATTTTTCACACCTCTCGACAAGAACAATGTTTTCTTTCACTACCAATTAAATAATCAAACAATAAAGTTGTAAAGACAAAAACTGGCAAGCAACGACTCATTCCACATCCTCTCTTGAGGCAACTCATCACTTCAAATTGGCTCTTTCCTGACAAAGTGAGCAACAATACATTACAAATACATATCTCGCTGAGAAACAGGAAGCTCCAGTGAAATTAAAAAGTCTCCAAAATAAAACAGCCATAAAAAGTTCAAAAATTGGCTCCCAAGAGATGAATGTGAGAAAAAGCGTTTTTGCGCCTCGATTGTTGCGAATAAACGGACGACGGGTGAGAACTTTTCAACAACAACCGACGTGCTCATTTACATAGCAGCGGACAGAGAAGAGACGTTTTTCATCAGAAGCCGACCCGGGAGGTGTTACACTTTTCACGCCTAATTAATCAGGCAAAATTTTGTCCCGCTGCTCGTGAAATTATAAATTAATTCATTGATGAAAATTTATGGAATATGAGAAAAAAATATCCGTTACTCAATGTAAAAAAAAAAAATGCTTGCGGTAAAATTATATAAATATTTGAGCCTGCAGGAGAGGATTATTATTATTTTTTCTTACAATCAAGAAGGAAGTTATTTCTTCGATATTTGCGATCTGCTGCATTAACGGGAGGAGTGGTGAATTAAAAATGTAAAAACAGTTATGTTAATCAGACGCATGTTGTGATGCGTACGCTAATTGGTCATAACTCACTCGGCCGCGGGTCAAATCGCGAGAGAGAAACCGCGCGTTTAATGAAAATTGATTAAGAGATTCACATAAATAGTTGGATATAAAGAGAGATACGACGGTCTTTGTTTGAATAATTATAGCGGGCGAGATCGAGCCGCGCAGGAAAGTTGATTCAATTTGAATTTTGTGATCTTGTCTAGACACGATTCTTTTGTTTGCATTATAATTTACATATACGAGAGAGTGAATAACAATATAATACTAAAGCTGATGAGAAAAATGGAAGGTTATTTGTTTTATCTTAAATAGCTCTTTTAGTAAAAAAAAAAAAATAAAATTCAGCATATTTATTTATTTTCCATTAAGAAACCTTAAGCTTTAGGGAAAGGCTCTGATGAATAATTTTTATTTTGAATTTCATGATTTGCATACATATTTTTTTTTACTTATTTCTTTTAATGTGTAATTTCATCCACTTTAAATTTTAATAAATCATTTTTTTTAAATAAGCAAATTTAAATTTGCCCTCATTAATTATAATTTTTTTCATATTATAACAATAATTTATAGTTTTCATTTAATATCTAAAAAAATTTTAGAACTTTAAAAAGCAATTAAAATTTGCATAATTTTTTGTTTAATTTTCCTTACCTGGTCGCATCCGTAAGAGAATCGCATGAGGATTGGAGCCACAATCGCCGTCGCATCGAAGGTGTTGGTCGATTCCTTCCTCAGTTGCGTGAATTGGAAAAGCGCGTCTTTGTCGCACTCGATCCTGCGCTGCAGAATGCCCAGCAGGACGTTCAGGTAGTGGTTGCCCAAAATGGGTTCGACGACGTTCAGAAGGGTCTTGTTCTTGATCAGACGTTCCTGAATCTCAAGTTGGCGAAGGGACAGTTGGCGTTGGTGCGACGCCTCGATGGGCGTCGTCGGCGGCTTCTTGTTGTTGCTGGCCAGCGAGAGTTCCTCCAACTTCTGCAGAGCCTCCTTGTAGGTCTCCAGAACTCGCTGGAACTCGAGTCTCAGGGCGTCGTGCAAGTTCATCAGGGTCTGGTCGGCGGTGGAGACGAGACCGTGTTGGCCCAGACCTTCCAGGGATTTGTCCAGAGCCTGTTTTCGGACTCGCAGAACTTTGCGGATCTTCTGGTTTGACAGGACGATGACCTTGAGCAGCTTCTTGCAGCTGAAGACGAAGGGACTGGAGGGCGTCAGCAGTTTGCTGGGGACCCTGCGCAGGGTGATGTTGGCCTTGGCGTCGTAATCGTGCAGCGCGAAGAACTTGACCATCTGCATGACCACATCATCTGGCCTCAACAACTTCATCCCGAAATCCAGACCTTCGGAGAGGAAGACCTTGGCGTACAGGGCTTCCAGGATGGACAGGCTGTTGGGCATGGACTCGACAAAAAGGTCCACCGGCAATTCGTGCAGGATCACCTTGAAGGTCCCGTGGCTGAGGCGGTTGATGAAGTTGGCCGCTTCTCTGTACTGATAGTTTTCGTACAGCAAAATGATCCTCTTGACGGCCACCCTTGGGCTAACGTCGGCAATGGTCATGCTGTTGATGCGCGAATCGATCTGCTGGTAGTACCTGACGTTCGAATCATCGTAATTCGCTCCACGTCCGGCCTGGCCGAACATTTTCTGGACGTTGCTGCGGCCGAGTCTGCGTTCGGGCCGAATGCGTTCGCCTCTCTCGAGTTCGGCGAAACCGCCGGTGGAGGCGGTGGAGCCGGGGTCGTCGCACCACGAGCCGGCCGAGTTGGCCGTCGGCAGGCTGTACTGCTTGCACAGCGGCGGCGGAGGCAGCATGCGTTTGCTGCTCGCACTCACACTGTGGAAATACTGCTTCTGCTGTTTTTTCTTGCCACTCATGTCGCGCGATCTCAAGATCCCATCCAACCGCACCAAAAGAAAATTATTCGATTTCCAAAGGATTGAAATTAAATTGTTTGTATAAAAACAGCACTTTTGCTTGAAACACACCGCACGAGTTAAAGTCACTGCTCAGGTACACGCTTGGGCGGAGAAGCGCTCGCGACGGAGGCACAGGCGAGTCTGACCTCAATGAGTGCAGGCGCTACCAGGAGATGCTGCAGGTGCCTCAGGGCTGGCGAACGCGACCAATCGCTAGCGACTCCTCTCTTTCTTTCTTGCCAGAGAGAGAGGATAAAGGGAATTCAGGAGCAGCCGCGGCCGCGGGGCAATAAACGCCAGCCAGCATGCACGCTGCAGACCAGTTCGTCAACTCTCTGCTTTAAAGCTCTTTTGCATTCTCGATCGAGTGGCTATTTAAATTTATTTCTCTCTCCGCGCCGAATTGTCCCACTGCTGATTTATTTGGCTCGCGGCGCTCGCGCGAGAGAGTGAATTCTTTTTATCGAAGGGTACTTCTTACTTTTTATCCTCGTTGTTCATAAACTTTATTGGTGCAATGACCCGCCGCCGCCGAAAAGGAGTACTTTGCTCATCAAAGCGTCTTTCAGTTCATCATGGTCGGTAATTTCAAGGCGCGTTCAATCAACCCAGAAATTAGCGAGCTCAAACCTGCTGTAATTAGACGAATTGCAGTGGGAGATTAAATTATATAAAAATTATCAATAACTCTAAAGACGCTGGTGATAAAAGGCAGTTTTACTGAATAAGGCGAGTTCTTGAGATCACAATTACAAATTTTAGTTAAAGGTCTCCCGGGAACACTTTTATTCAAAAATAAAATTATCAAAAAAAGTATTTGCGGTGATTTTTTTTTACACATTGTAAGATGTAAATAAATAAATGTATTTAAAATTTAGTTCTAAAATTCATAGCTGCATTCTTGAATTGAAATATGGAAACAAAAGTCAGTTTAAATTTATTTAAAATTTAATCAATTGCTTGAAGCTTTCACTGATATTTGTTAAAATTGTATTCAAGTGGAGTGAATATTAAAACTCTGCAAAACAAAATTTATTAATAATATGTAATTAAAATCAATAAAAAATTTGAAAAAATACAGATTTTTTTAAAATTTTGTACATAAGATTGAAAGTGTTTTGTTACAGGTGCGGAGAGAGCTTAAGTTTCATGAAATAGCTATTGATTAGCTTAATATTTTCAATTTACATTCTCTATGATATATTTTCATGTAATTTCACATCTACAAGGCTGAGAGTTGGGCTCAATTAAAAAAAATTCAACTCAAAAATAAAAAAAAACTTATTTTTTGGGTAGTTTTTTAATAGGTGCGGAGAGAGCTGCTGTTCGATGAAAGTGCTATTGATTAGCTTAATATTTTCAATTTACATTCTCTATGATATATTTTCATATAATTTCACAACTGGAAAACTGGGAGCTGGGCACAATTTAAAAAAATATTTAAAACTAAAAAATAAACTATATTTTTGGGTAGTTTTTTTAGTCTCTAATAATTTGAATGAGTTTTACTTGATTTTTAAATAATATTAAAGATCCATTTTAGGAGCGAATTATAAAATAATTATTTTTTTTAGTAATGCATAAGCCAGGAATTCTTCTTCCGATTGATGCTTTTTTTATCAATGTTTTTGGTTAATAAGTTTGTTAAATTTCCTTTTTAGCCTACTGAGCCAGTGCTAATTTTGATGCCTCACTTATTGGTCGATCAATCAATTCCTTCAGCACATCCTGCTGATTATCCCGTCTGTTCACTTTTCAACACTAGGACTCTCTTTAATTACCATAGTTTACAGCCAGTTGAATAACACACTTAAATAATAAATAATCGGCAGAATCGTTTGATTCTTCTCGCTCTTGAGCAATCTCATCAATCATATTACAAGAAGCGCTCCCAAGCAAATTACAGTCATTCGGGCACTCGCAGTAAAATGCCCACTATTATAAACGGTCAATTAAAAGTTGTTTCCACGAAGGTTAGTAGGCTCAAAAATCGCTTGTTTTCCTCTCTTGCGCAGTTATTTGAATAAATGTATTTCCATTGTGGGACGCCGAGCAATCCTGAGCGTTCTCAACACTATTGCAGGATGTGAAAATTGATTGTGATTACATACTTGCGCGTGGAATTTTTACCAAGAAAGAGTTCCAATTTGCTGTCTGGGCCGCTCAGACTGTCCCATTTTCCATGTCGGGGGGCACAAATAAATAATATTATTTATTGTATTGAATGAAAATAGTAAAAAGTTTTATTATTATTTATTACTATTTTATTGTTTTATCACAAAAAGGAATTATTATGCAATTTTTGAAATTTACATTTAATGATATAATTTCAATGAGGAAGTAGAGCATACAAATCTTATCATCCGTCAAAATGAGATGTGAGAATTTTTCCGACTCGGCGTATATCTTTTGCAATTTTCGAGTTTTTGTCTCACGTCACCTGGCTGGCACTCGAGATGAACCTGAGTGAACCCTGATTGTACGACCGAGAATGTGCGCGCATAAAACACACATTCATACGCTGGCCAACACAAAATATTACGACCGCAGCAGCTGCGCCGCACAAACGGTAAAAAACATTCATTTTCACGCTTCTTTTCTACTTGGCTGCCTTTCTTCGAGAGCTTTTCATTCTCTACCTCATCTGGCCGCGAAACTCCTCACAATAACACGCGAATTATACAATAATTTTCTTTCTAGCTTTCGCGGCGGCCCGAGTGGAAAAAAAATTCAATACATTCCGTGCCAAATTGATTTCTCTCTTCAAAAAATATGAATTGAAGCGAGTAAATAATTTTTCCTGCTCACTTATTCGTGATTGCGAATCCAATTTAAATTGGGCTGACGAAAAAAGTATATATAATTTTAATTTAATTTTTTTCATTTTCATTTTATAGTGAAATTGTTCTTAAGCGACCGAATGCAATTTGACAACAAATCTATATGTTTTTGCGTGGTCATCTCGGACGTAAATGGAGAAATCCGTTAATTGCAGCAAATTAGCAGAAGGACATTCTCGATTTTTATTCACTCTCTGTAGAAATCGAATCTTGGCGTAACAACTCGCGCCACACGATCCGCGTCCTGCGGGGTCATTAAAAAAGCAGATCGCGCTTCTTTGCGGTCGGAACTCGTCACGTGTGGCGTATGAAAGTCTAATTTTTTCTCGCATTTCAAAACACATAATGCAAGACTGACTTCTAAGTGAGCGTGAAAGGCCCCTGAGGACGACACCAAAGGTGCACAATCGCAAATAAATGTGTGTCCTGATCATTTTGCAACACAAAATATATAACAAAATCGCTTCCGGCGACGCGTGCATGAGGCAATTTGGGGCATTTATTTTTCGTACTGCGTCAATTTGAAAAGTGAACGCGCATTTTGGCCAAACGTGAAATAAGCAAACAAGTGTGGTTGCGTCAAATCGGCCGCCGCGGTGCATCACGAATTCTTAATTGGAAAATTCGTGTTACAAAATTCAACGTAAATTCGGCTGCTGCGCTCGAATAGTGACACTGTCATTTTTTTTAAATAGGAAAAGATTGCAACTAATTCGATGAAGGTCTTTATTGTTTCCTTAATTGAGTGAATGGATGGAAAAAAAAGTGTTTTTATTGGTCGACATTCTAAAAAAATAATGCTCTGTAACTCAAACTAAATTTATTTAGTACATCTGATTTATAAACAGTTTTCTTACAATTTACAACACTTGTTGAAGGAAACCAAAGTTGTTGGACGATTCGTAGAAGAAAATTTTTCGTATCCGCCGCAAGTGTGTGAAATCCTGAATGAAATTGATTTGACTTCCGCCAAGCACCTGCGTTAGTTGTTTTGAATTGAATTTCAAGAAGAAGAACATTGCGCGATTTCTCTAATTCATCTGAAATCTAAATGAAGCCGGACAATGGCCATGAAAAAAGTCGCTGCACACGATCAAGTCAATGAGTTCGAGACGATTTTCTCTCCGCTCGAGCCAATAATCGGCCGTTTGTTGTGGTAAACCTGCTTGAATTGGAAAGCAATCAATTATGTACATTGTGCGCCGCAAAGTCAATGACTCATGGAAAAAAATCAGCCGGTTTGCGTTCTCTTAAATTAATTTAACAACTTTTGCTCAGCAATTATGCTCGAATAATGAGACACTTTTGCGCAAACATGTATGACAATAATTATACGCATGCAGATTAGGAAAGAGTGAATTTAAACGGCGGCGGCAGGGCTTTATTGCAAAATGATGAAAAGAATAAAAAAAATTGTAGCAAAATTAATTTAAAATTAAAAAATATTCAATCTGAAAAGCTTAATATGTTACTTTTTTCCAAACATTTATAATTTAAAGATTAAATTTTATCATAAAATGAATATTGAAGGGGAATTGTTGCAAAATAAATTATTTATGTCTTTATTTATTCAAATATTGGTGAAATCAGTTAATTTTAAAACACCAAGAGATTAATTTGACCTTTTAAAGTACATTTTTAGCTCATTTCAAATGTTTTAAAATGATCTTCTTTGCTGTTGTGGATTAATCGGATTAATAATAAAATATGTAAAGAATGATATAATAATTTGATAATTCCAATTTGAATGAAGTGGAAATTGAGAATCACCGCTAATTTAAAAAAACGACAATAAAACTAAAAATCTTTTTACCTGATATAAAATATAAAAATTGGTCTCACATCCGCCCCCCAATTCTTGCGCGTCCAAAATACATAAGTTTTCGCTTCATCATCGCAATTATCTGCCGAATTGCGACGTTACTTTCTTGCCCGGCCTCCTCTCTCTTGATTTTTTTTTCTCGGGCAGAACAATAGTTTCGGCGGCCGGAATGTGTGGGAAATAAAAGGGGTCGGAAGTGGCACGGAGAGGTTGTTGCATCTCAATGAAACAACTAATAAAGGAGCGCGAATCGCCATTGATTGGCGCGGCAAATCAAATGCATTCTCATTAGGCCATTGTGTGCAAGTGACATATAGCTGAGAGCGATTTTTTTATCTCTTCTCTCCTCTTCTCTTTCTCTCTCTCCACTCCTTTTCGAAAGGATCCACAACTTTCGACGGCGGCCCTCCTCGACTCTCTTTGCTCACATTTTTTTAATCTAGCCCAATTTTCACGCTTGAAAAGTGAAATTCGGGCTAATAGATTGTTCGCCGATAATCCAAAGGCACCACTAATAAATATTATGTTAATTAAGCCTGCCGATCCAGTATTTCGCTTTTATCAAGAAGTGAAATCTAGTTTGGCGAAAAACAAAAAGAGAAACATGAGAAGATAGATAATGAAAGATGAGATGAGAAATACTAAAAGTTATCAAAAATAAC